GGGATGGACCTATGGGGCCATAACAGGACCACAAGCTGCAGGAATGCACCCTTCCCTCAGTCCTCCCCAGGGACATGCTAGACACAAGCATTTCACACTATTGTAAAGACCATGAGCAGTGCTGGAGTCTTCATGCAGGACAAACCACATTCAAAGTGGGGTGAGTGCTTCTGCTCCGAGAGAGCACCACGCTTTTAGGCTTTGGAAACAGACCCATGCCCAGAACAGCCCATCTCTCACCAGGCCCCCTGGGCTTGTCGGGGAGCCAGAGTCCCTCCTTAGATGAAGAATTACTCCCTCTTTGGAGGGGGTTTTCAGAGGCTCTAGCCCAGAACACACTGCAGCCCCTGCAGCAATACCTGTGCCAGGGTCGGGGACAGCCCCCACCCCAATGCTGAGCCCTGAAGTCTCACAGTCTCTTCTGTAAGAAAGAGCTGTGTTGGGCTGGTGGTGTGGCTCAAGTGGTAGAGCACCTGCCTAGCAAGCATGAAACCCTGAGTTCAAACCCTAGTACTGCCAAAAAAAAAAAAAAAGAGAGAGAGAGAGAGAGCTGTGAGGGCGATGGGACAGGGAACATGGTCCTTGGGGCGGTGCTGTGTCCAGGCCATGGAGAGGAGGAGCAGGGAGGCTGGAGGGTGAGGGCACCACACTGTGGTGTTACCAGAAAACCCTCAAACCGCAAAGTCTTGAAACACATGTCTGGGCCCTACTGGCTAGCAGGAGGGACCCGCTGTAGTAACCCCAGACTAGGGACGGGATAGGTTGGTTCCTCCCAGCTGTGCATCAGGCCTGAGAGAACCCCGCACCATGACACGCACACAGCCAGCCTTGTGCAGCCCCTCCCTGTGTCCCACTCATGGACCTCACACCTGCCCCCGACCCACCATGAACTGGATGTGACTTTCCTCTGCCATCGCCTTCTCTGTTCCCTCTTCCGGTTCCTTTCTCTGGAGCAGAGAGCCTGCTCTGGGCACCTGCTCTGTGTCCCAGGGAGGAGGCCAGGTGCAGCCAGCCTCCACAAGTCCTGGAGACCACAGGAGACACAGCCCTTGCCAACGGCGCCCTCTGTCGACTGGAGGGGAAATGACCACAGCGGTTTTTGGGTGTACAGGCACAGGTGGGTGCCCACTCCTGCTACTCAGACCCATACTTCCTCACAAAGTCCCTGTGTCTAGATTGTAAAGGTGCAGATGAGCTGCACCTAGCCAGCAGGAGAATGTTCTATCAGGTCCTAACAGGAATTTCTAAAATTCCAGTCCTAGAAATCAAAGCTCAGAGCAGAGGGTATCCGGTTTGCAGGGCTGAGGAGACACCTCTGAAGTCCCTTGCTGACAGTAGGATCTGCCTCCTAACAAGGCTGGACTGACTGACTTATGCTGGCCTTGGGGCATGGAGGGCAAGCTGCTTCTCACCACTCCCCCCAGAGGCTGCAGGCCCTGCTCAGAAGGCTTTGCTGAGAGGAGGTCATGACACCTCCTACCTGTTACCCCTCACCGCCAGGCCCCTCTTCAAATGCACCCTTTTCCTTGGCCATTATAGGGCCTGGATGCTCCTCCTGGCTTCCCAACATGGTCTCCTTCTTACCTTGTCTAAATGCCCTGAGAAGTGCCCTGCCTACCATGGCTAGCCCCCTCTCGTCCAGCCTTCCTCTTCAGGACAGCCACAGGACAAACACCTTCCAGTGGCTGCTTTCAACGCCAAACTGACCTGGTGAAGGAGGATCAGAGCCTATTGCTAAACAAATCCAGGAAGAAATAAACACATGAGCAAGAAGAGTAAACCAGCCAACTCCACCATAGGCGCTCACTTGGCTCTCAAAGTGATCCTGTCCCAGGCCTGGGGGCTCAGGCTAGGGTAGAGGTGCCTCCTCAATTCTGCCAGGGCTGCCCACTGGGGTGGAGCAGTGTCTGGGCATGTGAGTAGCAGATAGCAGACATACAGACCCCACCCTGCCGGAACTGGGGTTGGGCTGCCCTCTCTTGGCCACCCGTGTTCTCCTTCCCAGCAACATTGCCTTAGGAAGGCAGGGTTTGTTTAGCTGGGGTGATGCTGCAGGCGAAGCAGCAAGAGAGGAAGCTGTGCCCTGCTGCACACTGGCCGACACCCCCAATGCCCATGCAACAGTCTCCTCCCGGATCTTTGAAGAAATGACATAGGTGTGACAGACAGAGTTCAGAGATGGGACCCACAGCTCCATGAGACTCTGGTTTTCACTGGAACCCAAGGCCCTGGGATTGTCCTACGGGATCTGCCCACACGGGTGCTTCCCTTCAGGGGCTCAAGGCACTGCGACCACAGGCGACGCAGGGCCCAGTGAGAAGTACTGTCTCACAACCGAAGGTTTCACAGCTGGCTGTAAGTGAAACACAGAGGTGCTGGTTGCACGCCCATGTTCACTGTGGCATATTTACCACAGCCAGGGGGCAGAAGCAACTGGTGTCGACCCAAGTGGATGCATGGATGAGCAAAGGGTGGCTCAGACCTACAGTTCCAGCTACTCTGGAGGCTGAGCTGGGAGGATCGCTTGAGCCCAGCCTATGCAACCAACGCAGCAAGACCTCATCCTCTCCCCTCCAAAATATGTAGCCTATTTATAAACTGGAATCTTTTGGGTTGGCCTTTTCTTTTTCTCCTTGTTTTTTGTGGGGCTGAGATTGAACCCAGGGACTTGTACATACCAAGCAAGAACTCTACCACTGAGCTACATGCCCAGCCCCGTACAATGGCATGTCATCCAGCCCTAAGAAGGAAGGAAATTCTGACACCTTCTACAACATGGGTGAACCATGAGGCCATTTTGCTGAGGGAAATAAGCCAGCCACAAAAGGACAAAGCCGTGTGGCTTGTTGACTTATCTGAAGTGACTCAAATTCATAGAAAATAGAGTGGTTGAGGCCGGGGCTTGATGTAGGGATGGGGAGTTAATATTTAATGAGAACAGAGTTGGTTCTGCAAGATGACAAAGTTCTGTGGGGATGGTTGCCCAGCAACATGGAAAGGCTTAATGCCCCGGAAAGGCACACTTAAAAATGGTTAAGATAGCAAATTCTGTTACCTGTATTTCGCCACAAAAAGAGAAGGAGGGTGGAGAGGGAATTGACTGGGCCTGTCCCTGAAACCTGGGAGGGGACTTTCTTGGGCTTAGCTCGCATTCCTGGAGGACCCACCTAATGAGACCAGGCTCATTTCATCATCAAGAATCTTCCTTTGAGATAATGGTTTTTTTGTTTCTGTAGTTTTGTGGCGGCACTGGTTTTTGAACTCAGTGCCTCTTGCTTGCAAGGCAGATGCTCTTACGGCTTGAGCCACTCTGGCAGCCCTTTTCTGTGATCAGTTTTTTCGAGATAGAGTCTCTCAAACTATTTGCCCAGGGCTGACTTCATTCCACAATCCTCATGATCTCTGCCTCCCGAGGCAGCTAGGATTACAGGGCTGAGCCACTGGCAGCGGCTTCCTTTGAGATATTTTTTAGAACTGGGAGACTATAGGGAAGAATTTGTGCTTACATGGAATAGTATCCATGTCATTTTATGACACACCCAGTCTTCTGGTTCACAGCAACCAAAGAGCAGTGGTGTAGACAGGAAAACAAATTCTGTAGGAGAGCCAGCTACAACCAGTTGGGCCTACATTTGTTTCAGTGCTCCTGACTATAAACACATCTGATCTGGGGTTCTCCTTTGACCTGGCTCTAACACCTTACTGGTTTCCCTGTGAATGGGTTATATAACATCTTTAACACGTGTTCACTCTAAAAAACAAAAGTGTTGTCCAGTGCTGTGGCCCAAGTTTATAATCCTAGCTACTCAGGAGGTAGAGACTGGGAGAATCATGGTTGAAGAGCACCTGGAGCAGTAAGTTTGCCAGACCCCATCTCAACCAATGACCGGGTTTGGTGGTTCACACCTGTCATCCCAGCTATGCAGGAAAGTATAAATAGGAGGATTGCAGTCCAGGCCAGCTTGGGCCTAAAGCAAGAGTATCTCAAAAGTAACCCGTGTGAAAAGAACTGGCAGAGTGGCTCAAGTGGTAGAGTTGCTTGCCTACCAAGATGAGGCCCTGAGTTCAACCTCTAGTACCACCACCACCAAAAAAAAATCCAACCAATCAACAAACCAACCAAAAAAAAAAAACCCTGTTAAATAAAATAGCAGTTCTTTTAAAACAGTTTAATAGTTATCATTTAAATAAGGCTTTGGTATGGTTTTGCATGTCTTTACAGTTTCTCTTCTGTAACAGACATCTTACAGAACCTAGTATCAAATTCATGAGGCCACTGGCTCCTCAAGGTATAAAAAGAGAGGTAGAAAGACCAGAGAGAGGGGCTCACTTCGTTCTGGGGTGTGTGGTGCACATCCCCACAAGGAAGTTGCACCCTCAACAGGTGGTGGTCCAGTCAGGCCCTGGGAGTGCCAGATGCCTGCCTACCTAGGAGACATTGCCAAGACATCCACAGGAAGCAGAACCAGGAGGGTGGGGGTCTCCAGAGGCCGGCAAGGCCCTCTCGCCCACCACCCACCCATCCAGCTGGGGGTGGCAGCCTGACTGTGAGGAAAGCAGAAATCTGGGCCTCGTCTAGCACTGTGGTCCCAGTGAGGTGCCTCCCCCCGGGGACTGTGGGCCAATGTCTAGCTGCAGACATCTTTGGTTGTCATGACTGGAGAGAGGGAGGCAGGAGGGTGCTACTGGTATGGAGTGGGTGGAGGTTAGGGGCACTCCTGAATATCCTACAGCACGCAGCATGCCTCACCACAGAGAACATCTGTCAGAGAAACAAAGCCAAGTGGACGGAGTGAACTGGGGTGGGGAGACTCCAGCCTGGCACCGCAGCTCTTCTAATAACAGGTGCAAGCTCCCCCCGGAGGGCTGACTGCAGGCAGAATACACCTCCCTTGGAGGAGGACACGACTGTCCCCACTGGCAGGCGGGGAAACCAACGCTCAGAGAAGCAATGAGCCAGGTCCTGACCTAGGCCTGCTTGGACACTGGCGTCTGCCCTCACCTTTTCTTCCAGCTCACTGGATTCCTCCTGAGCCACTGGCTCCACTGTGAACTTTGTCCTTTGCTCACACATTTAAGGTGGAGATCCACTGAATCTTTTAAATGGATCCTGTTGTCTCTGGAGGCTGCGGGCGCCAGAATCCTGGGTGGGGCTGGTGGGTGAAGGAGCTAGAGGTCCTCATGGGCAGGGATGAGGTCCACCCTCTGGGCCTGTCCAAACACCAGGAAGGTGCCCAGCCCCAGGTTGCTGATAATGGCCACCAGGTTGAACACACAAGTCCAGGAGCCCGTGGCCTCGATCAGGTAGCCGCCCAGACACACACCTACCACACCTGGACCCAAGAGAGCACAGGCAGACTGAGCGCTCCCCGGCAGCTCAGCCCCACACACCTGAGAGCTCCCAGGACAGAGTGAGGCCTGGCATACCTGCCCTGTAGACCCTAGGGTAAATTTGGTTGTCTGAGCTTTTGAGCCAAGGAAGGGCTGGATGCAGATTCAAGGTCTCAGAGGACAGAGACCCCACAGGCCTTTGAAAATCACCCCCAATGGGTCCCTCCCCCTCCCATGTCCCTCCAAAAGGGAACTAAGAGCGGTAAGCAAGTTATAGGAAGTGGAGAAGGAGTCTCCACCCCTCCATCAACCCAGCCTCTTGACAGAGGAGCCGGGTGGTAGCCCAAAGGGCCTTAAACTATGGGGCTGACTCACATCTGGGGGTCAGAGGGATTGGTGGCCTCTGAGCCATTTGCCATCATCCAAGTTAGGTGGGTCTCTCAACAGACAGCTGTGTTCCCCCTGGGTCAGCTCAGGGAGACCTTCCCGCTGGGACACCTCAAAGGGCACCAGGCACAGCCCTTGTAGGACTAGGACAGCAGAAGGGATGAAGCCCCACCCTGACCCTGGCTTGTTTCCTAGTGGGCTCAAACTCACAGGGTAGGAGAAGCCCTGGAGGCCTGTCTCTCACCTGCCAAGGCTCCTGCAGTGTTGGCCACACCTGTGAACAGGCCAGAGCGAGAATAAGGATATGAGAGTCTAGGCATTGTGGTTCCCATGGACCACCTGCCTGGGGACAGCCCTGCTGGCCAGAAGAGGATACAAGGCTGGTGTGAGCAATATATTCTCACCAAACAGAAAGCCTGCGCAGGACGGGGCCAGGTCCTGGATGTTAACAGAAATGCCACTGTGGGAAACAAGAAGAAAGAAAGCAGGTAAGTGGCTACAGGTCTGGTCACCCCGTACAGAATGAAGGAACTGGTGGAGGACAGGAGAGGGAGCCCCGTCACTGGACGCCATGGGGCCTGCCAACCCTAACAGGATGCTACCTGGTCTGCAGGCTCCATCCAGCCCACACAGCAGCTCTGCCACCCTCACACCAGACACAGCGCCGGAAGCTACTTCTAACACTGGAGCACGTGGGAAAAACATGTTCGCAGCGTGCTCAGAGCACACTGATGGTTGTCTGCTGATTTGAAATGGCCTTGGGCTGCTGGTTCCTAAAGGTGGGATCCTTGTTTCTATGGATGGCCCTGGTCCGCACCAGCTGGATACTCAGATCAGCTGTGCTGAGTGACTATTTGTGGGGATCCTGCTTTGTCCTCACCTTTCACAGGCCCCTGCCCAAGGTCTAGGTGCCCCCTGGAAGCCTGGGCAGCCCTGCTGGATGGGGCATCAGGCCCTTTCTTACCTGTGGTTGAAAGTCTGGAGGCCAACGGAGGCTGATGCAAAGATCACAGCCTTGAGAAAGCTTGTGGTGTGACCCAGACACAGGGCGAAGATGCTTGACAGGCCGAGGCCCATCACCTGGAGGAGAAGGTTGGTGAGGGGCACCATGAGCCATGCTGGCTCCCATGGCCTGTCCCGGCTCAGCCCCACCTGGCAGCTACCCAGATACACCAAACAAAGGTCAGGTCTGCCTGACCTGAAAGCCCCTCCCAGGCTGGTGTCTTCCCAGAGGACAGCTGGGATGAGGCTCTTCATAGATGAGCTCAGCCTGCTGGTGGGGCTGGAGGCAAGAGGCCTTCTTTGTGAGTGTCCAGGCCCAAAGGGGCACAGAGCCCATGTGTGGAGTTCAGAGGAGGGTCTTAGGCCAACCAAACTGGCCCCCAACACTGACCTAAAGCGCCTTCTAGTGGCCACCTACACTGTCCACTTTTGGGGTCCACACCCCAGCAGCTTGGCCTCTCTTGATGGTTTTAGCACCTCCAGACTCTCTGCCGTTAGACAGACTTGTCCTCATCCTTGGCAGGTGCCAGCTGAGGCCCTGAGTACTTCTTTCTGCAGTGACTGCGGCCCATGACCTTGACGTTGGCCCGGTCCCAGAAACCAGGTGATTTGGGTACACAACCCCAGGACCCAGGAGATCAGAACAACATAGAGAGAACCATTTGAACAATTTTCCTACCTGCATGAGCTTCCGGACTGTGATGGTTCTGTAACCTGTGCAGAGAGACAGACACAGGACGAATTCCCACTGGCCCACTTGGGCTGATTCCCTGATAGTCCCCCTGAATAGCCACAGAAGGAGAACAGGGGAGGAGGAAGGACAGGGGTGGCCCAGGGCGGCACCTCAGCACTCAAGGCAGGGGTATCTCCCGTCACACACAAGGCACCTCCATGTACAGTACTTGTGCCCTGGAGGGTCCCTGAGGCTGAGGTCTGCACAAAAAGCATGGAAGGATGGTCTTTTGTGTCACTGAAAAGACAGCCATGCGGGTGATTACAGAGGTGCCAACCATCAGACGGGTGAGTCCTGCTTTCTCTGTCTCTCCAAGTTTTTGTAGCTTTTCCACAGGAGTGCATTTTTTGCACTGAGGAATTCTAACATGTTGAGAATAAGCGCATGTGTGTCTATGAGGGCACGGCCCTAGGGATGGGAGCAGGGTGTGTGCAGCTGGAACTCTGTGGCAGTGCTCCCGAAAGCCCCCCGGGGCTCTGGAAGGTTCAAGAGCAAACTGGCTGCCTGCAACCTCTGACCCCACCAGGTACCTTCCCTCCCCTTCAGAGTGTCAGGGGCTGTGTCTGGCCCCGAGGTGGGGATCTCCATAGTCACCATGACACTAGGGTCCTCTCACTGTCCCCACCCGGCCTGTGAAAGGGGAGAAGCACCTGACTCAAGGCTCCCTCAGCCTCAGGCTGCATCCATTCCCTGAGCTGGCTCTGAAGGCCAGGTCCCTCTGTCACAGCCTTGCCCTGGCTCTGTAGCCAAATTCCAGATGGGAGTGAGTGAGGCAACTGAGAGTGTGGCTTCTGCCAGGACGCCCCCCTCCCCCCGCCAGGACTCACCCTGATTGATGAGGTGGTCAGAAAGAAACCCACTGAACAGACTGGCAGGAATTGCCACCAACCAGGGTACCACATTGAAGACCCAGCCCTGTGGGGAGGAGCACAGTCTCAGAGATGGCTGTCCAGATCTACCCCACCTAGGAGAGCTCTTCCCACCCACAGGCTGGGCCCTAAAGAGAGGCCAGGCCCATCCTGCCTATCATCAATCCCTGGGAAAGATCCAGGGGTCAGAGCTGGGCTGCCCTGCCTTGGAATGTGCAGCCCAGGGGGCCAGGGGCTCTCCTGAGTAGCAGGTCAAGGTCTTGTGCTGGAAAAGCTGTGCTCACAGCCTCGGAACCAGTGCCTACCCTCAAGTACAGACAAAGCCGTCTCAAGGCTTCAAGCCCACAGGGGATCAAAACCACCACAGACCCAAGTGGTCTGGTCATCTGCATGTTGGGACCCCAGCCCGGGTCTAGCATGGGAGTAAGCAGGCAGCTTTGCGGCTGTCCTTGCCCTGTACAAGCTCTCAGCAGGGACCCACCTTGGAGTGGGGGAAGGTCTCCTTAAAGAAGGTGGGCATCCAGGAGAGGAGGATGAAGAAGGAGCATGCAGAGCACAGCTGGGAGCAGATGGCTGCCCTGTGTGGGGCACCAGGCTCAGGCCTCTGACCAGTCACCAACCTCCTCCCCACCACCCACTCTTACCCCTGGGTATCAAAGTCCCACTCCCTCTGAGACCTGGGCAGCTTGCTGGGGATTCAGAGCCTGGAGCCCTACCAAGAGCAGCCAGATACACACGCCATGGTTCCATCCCTGTCCCACACTCTGCCCGGCCATGCCAGCCCCAGCTCACCAGACAGACGGTTTCCGGAAGAGCTGTCTCCAGGGCACTTTGGAGGGCCTGGCCATGGGCAGGCCTTGTGCCAGGACACCCAGGGCCAGGAGGAGGTCTGAGGGAGCAAGCGGTTTAAGAGTGATAGCTCCAGGGCTATCACAGGGGGAGGAAGGGTGAATTCAAGTTTGATATATTTGATACATTGTTAGAACTTTTATAAATGCCACGCGTAACAATGTACACCCACCCAGAACAACAATTTAAAAAAAAGAGGGATCAATCTCAGGCCAGGTGTCTGTTCCTAATACACTGGCCACCTGGGTTGTGCCTAATGAGCAGGTCACAGGCATTGTCTGTTCTCCCAGGGCCTGGTCCCACAGACCTTCATTCTTGCTACCTGCCTTCACCTACGGGACTCACTGCTCTGCCTTAGCTCCAGATAGAATGAATCCAGGGCTGTGACAGGCTGAGAACTCAGCAGTGGACATTTTCTCTTGGGCTCTGGTTTAGAGAGTCTTTTGGAGCCAGTTACAGTTGCAGCCCCAGGATCCTGGTGAATCGACCCGGCACCACTAATGTTCAGGGACTGATTCAAAAACAGTGGCACTGTGATCAGTTCACACGGCTGCAGTTACCTTTTTCACTTAGCAGGTACTTGTACAGGTAACACACCCAGAGCAAGGTGAGGCCACCAGAGAAGTAGAAGACGCTCTGCCAGCCACACCACTCCAGCAGCAGGGAGCCCACAGCCCCTGTCACCAGTGTCCTGGGGGGACAAAGAGGAAGTGTGGCTGTGACCCTTGGCTGCTGACCCTTGGCTGCTGTCTACAGACAGCACTTGGAGACACTTGGAAAGCCCTTCCCCAGTATGAGAAAGCCCCCAGAAAAGCATGTTTTATGGCCTGAGGAACAGCTGCTCAGATGCCCAGTCCTGTGGGTTTTGTATCTGGGAGAGACTGGGGACGTTGGAGCAAGGGAGGGTTTTGGATCAGGGACAGAGCATAGAAGCAGCTGCTATGGGACCTGAGTTGTTTTTCATTTCTTGCTCTTAGACTTTCACATTGGACCATGATTTGCAAATGGATCCTTTAAATTAAAAAGGCAATGAGAGGAAGGATGACCGAGTTGACACTGAAATGAAACCTCCATTTGTTTATTTATTTATTTATTTTTGGCTTCCTGTATCATAGACAATAAAATTCCAGAAAAATCTCTCAGCGCAAAAACACAACCCCTACTTTGCCATATCCTGAGGGCCTTACTGTCCCAGAAACAATGGGGGACCCTCCCGTCTCCTGCTGAGGCCCAGCTAGGAAATAGTCACTGCCTCCGCAGGACAATCAGAGAGCATGTGGGGCTCTGGGTGGGACAGAGCCAACCTCCTCCTTCCTGAGCCTCCATTCTACACAGCACTTGAGGAAGTGAGCTAGGCCTCCAGCTTGGGAGTAGTGCTTCTTCTCCCTGCTCCCTGGGCACAGACAGAGCCTTCCCTGCCTCGCACTCCACTGCCCAGTAAACCACTGGCCACCCAGGTAGAATGAGATTTCAGATGAATAAGGGACCATTCTGTAGAAGGGTGACCCCTGGTGTTTATCTGACATTCACACTTCACTGCCCGCTCTGTTTTTATTGCCAGCCTGTCTGGGCTGCTCCCGGCCCCACCCATAGGTGCCTCTATGCCCCCCCCCCTCCTGAACTCAGCAATAGCAAACCAAGGAGGGCTTGAGCCTGGTACATCACAGACAGTGCTTCCACCCACCTTCACCGAGCAAGGCCTCTGATAGTGGTGCTAAGTCTGCAGGGGTGGGCACAGGGAAGGGAAGTCTGAAGGCACACTGTCTCAGGAGTAGCCCCTGTGCCCTCACGTGGGACTGGGAGCAGAGAGCGGGTGGCCTCTGGCTCCCTCAGCACAAAGGAAAGGGAACAGCTGCTCACCCAACACATGTTCCAGAACCCCAGCCTGCATTGCCTGGAAAGGCAGAACCATGCACAAAGGAAGCACCCTGCACAAGCCTCGGAGAGCAGCAAACAGTGCTGTCAGAGCCCAGCCTCAGGCTAGTGGAGCCTGCAAGGCACCTCCAGACCTGGCCACCCCAGCTGTTCCTGCAGGCCACCCCTTGAGGGTACACCTGACAGCCTTACCCAAACTGGGAGCCAGCGCCAACTGTGCTGTAGGTTAAGGCTCGCTCGCTCTCCCGCACTCTCTGGGACAGCAGGCTGGTCAGGGCCGGGAAGTAGACACCTGGACCGAGCAGAGAACGCAGTCACCCAGGCTTCCAGCAAGGGTCAGCAAACCAGGGGTGAGAGCCAGGCCAGAAGGCTCATCCCCAGCCATCACTCAGGTTTGGGTTGTAAATCCAAAGGATGTCCTACATATCACCCCATAGTCCCCAAGGGACTAGCAGGGCTTAGCTTTTCGTGATACTTGGTGAGGAAACAGACTTGGTTTGGGTGAGAGTGGCACAAGCTGGTCCTTGCTTCCCAGTTTCACGTCGGTTCTCTGGCTCCCCGGCTGCACCCTGCAGAACACTTGTACTGGCATATTCACACACACACCAGCTTCTCTGCTGGGTTCCAGCATCCTTACATACCTCATGCATGCATGTCACATGCAGACACATGCCTCTGCCAGGAGACCATTGCCACCTGTGGTCTTATAGACGGACATTCCTCCTTAGGATTTTCTTTGGACAGCGAGTTCTTTAGCAGTTTGAATGTTTGGAAATTACCTTACAACCCCATGTCCTCTCCATTCTAGACGGTTCTAGAGCCTCAGTCTGGAGGGGCTCTGTGAGGGATCTGGTGTACGGATGATAACAGGGACGGGTCTCAGGGAACACCCTGTCTTTGTCCACAGGACACTGAGTCTAAATTTTATGTTTTTATCCATGACGGTAACATATGTCATGTCTGCCAGTTCCCTGATGGAAACTTTTATCCACAGGGCATGTATTAAGAGGACTGCCAGGGAAGAATCAAAATTGTGGAACACAGAAAAGGCATGATCAGAGGGAAATGTGTAAAGTTAAGCCTGTTGATCAGGAGGTAAAAACTGCGAACCAAATGAGTAAGCATTTAACTCAAAAGGTTAGAAAGGGCCCAGCAATCCCTGCTGCCCATCAAAAAAAGAATAGAAATAACAAGGGATGGAGGCGTGGCTCAAGTGGTAGAGCACCTGTCTAGGAAGCACAAGGCCCCAAGTTCAAACCCCAGTACTGCAAAAAGAAAAGAGGACTGCTCAGAAGGTCCCATTTCTTGAGGGCCATTGTCAGCTACCTGCCCCTGGGTCCGGAGCCTCTCCGGAAGGCAAATGCTCCCAGGGCAGGAAAGCCACAGGACTGTGGTACCCCAGCATTTCCCTTTGCCCTTGTACAGGTGTAGCTATAGCAAGGCACCTCACCATCCCTATAGACAGTCACCATTGTCAGCTGGTCACTTTGGCTGCCCCAGGGCCCCCCAAAGCAGACTTTTGGACAGAGTAGCATACATGCCTATGGTGCACAATCCCCTTGTCTACCCCATTCTGGTACCAGAGGTGGAAGCCAGCAGCTTGAGGGAAGCAGCCTGAGGCACTCCTTACCTTGCAGCAAGCCTGTGAGGATGCGTGAGAAGGTCATGAAGACCAGGTGGGCACTGCCAAGGCGGGCAAGCAGTGGAGTAACAACGGTGATGAAGCCCCAGGTGGAGGCTGACAACAGGATGACCTTCTCACCCCCGATGCTGGAGAGGACACAGAGGGAGGGGAGAAGATGGTTTTGCAGGCAGGCTGAGGGGCATTGCTGCCATACAGAGCCCTCTGGGATGGGTGCTGCAGAGGTCCCACCCTGCAGAGCAGAGGCTCACAGCTGAGTACACAGGGCTGAGACTGGTCTACCTCAGAGGGCTGCCTCTGAGGTCACTGCCCACCTTAGAGCTACTTCTTAGGATTCAGGGTGCTCCCTGCTGACCCAGAGCTGCCAGGCCTGGCCTCTCCTCTCTCAGGAAGCATCTTCTCAGGGTGGGGCCTCTACCCAAATATTTTCTGAGTTCCTTCCCCAGGGGCCCCTCCTCTCCCAGTGTGCAGCTGCATGTCTTGGCCCATAGCCCCTGAGAGGCCCACGGTGGGTGGCAGGGGAGGTGACCTCCCTCAAGCCTGGGCTATGGGGTGCCTGGGGAGGGGGCGGACAGGGGAACAGCAGGGTGGTTACCGGTCCCCAAGGTGGCCGCCCACCACCTGTGTCAGGCAGTAGCCCCAGAAGAAGCTGCTAAGCACAATGCTGGTCTCCTTCTTGTTCCAGCCAAAGTCCTGGCTCATGGCGACAGTGCAAACAGGCATGGTGACACGGGCACAGTACAGCAAGCAGGTGCCTAACAACAGCATTCCTGTCCATGCCTGGCACTCAGGCCTGCAAAAGAGGAGGAGACGGTCAGGAAATGGAGAGGCCTCCCAGGAATCCTGTGTCACTCAGAGACTTCCCCAAGTGCCAGAGAACGGGAATTGGACGGGCTTATAAACATCTGAATGTACCTACTGGCTGACTCCTAGAACATGAACACGGAGGACACATGGCACAGCAGAGACTGGGAACAGCCTGACAGCCTATAGGAGTGGCAGGTTCATGGTGCCCAGAGCCTGAGCCAGTACTGTCAGCTGCCAGGACTGCAGCCAGAGTCCAAGCGGTGGACCAGGTACAAGTAATGCCCACATTCCCAAGATTCCCTTGGTCCTCATGGGCCCAGGAAGACAACCAACATGCCAGGGACAGTGTGATGTGCAAGGGCATCCAGAGGCATCTGCGCTCAGGTGGAGCAGCACAGTAAGCCCCTAAGGACACCCTGAGAAAGCTGCCAGTCCTGCTCATCAGAAAACTTTGGGACAGGCAGAGCTGAACTGTCAGGAGAGGGACAATCAGGACCTTGGAGGAACTGGGGCAGGGGAGAGGAGGCCAGAGCAGCTGGACCCTGTGCAGAGCCACACCCCAACTTCTGGCTCCCAGGCAGGCGTGGCTCACTGACTCCCTGTGCAGCTGATGAAAGACTGTGAGAGATGAAAGTTGCCCAACAAGGTAAATAACACGATGGGGCCCAGCTCTGTCTTCCACCTCCAGGTTCTGGTAATAGGCCCCATGCCCCACCTGGTTCCTGACTGCCAGGTCAGGGGGGACAGTTAAGTCTTGAGTTCTTTGTAGTGAAATTGCACAAAGTAAGTTTCGAGCTGCTTAAAATAAAGCCACTCACTCTGCATGGTGGTAAAGAAAGGCCTCTTGGCAGAGTGGACAGTCATCCAGGCCAGACCCAAATCCCAGTCTCACTCAGTTATGGCCTGGACAGGTCCTTCTGTTTCCTCTTGGCTGGGGGCAGTCCTGGGTTGGCCAGGGGCAGGGGCACAGCTGCTGTTCACAGGGGGAGGAGGAGAAGAGGGACCCTGGTAGGAGGGTGGTAGGCTGTGGGCTCCCTGACCCCTCTTCCCAGGCCCTGCAGCCTGTTACATGCAGTGGTCAGCATCCACCTGCAGAGAGCCTGGGTGGGGCTGGGTTGGCAACCCTTAGGGTCCTGGTGCACCCTGGGCTCTGGGCTTTGAGCTAGAGATGGGTTAAGGAAGGACACACGCCCTGCTCCTTTGGGAGATGTCCTGGATTATAAGCCCTCCAGGAGGGGGCACTAGCAACAGCCAACCCCACTTAAGGCAAGGCCCCCTCAGAGCCATGGATACCTTTATAGCACCAGTTCTGCCCAGAGCTGCCACAGCTGGGCCCTGTAGCCCCAGTCCTTGAACTCTTGGCTTGTTCTTGCTCTCTAGTTCCCAATTTGACAGGTAATAGGTGAAAACTAGTTCAGAAACTAACAAGCAACCTGTCCTGCTCTGGCTCCAGGCTCCTTCCTGCAGTATGGGTCACCAAGAGACAAATGGGGAAGTGGGGGCCTGCTGGCAAGAGAGTTGAGGTACACAGACAGGAGAAAATTGGGGGCCTCAGCAGACTGGTACAGGGCTAGATGTGGGATCTGTGCTTTGGGATGGTTATAGTGGCTGAGATGGGGAACCCAGGTAAAGTGGGGTCTGTTCAATTTGGGCTTTGCTGAGTCATATGCCAGAGAGGGGCTTGGGAAGACCATAGCCATAGGAGTGACTGAGAGCCTTGAGGAGGTGAGGGCACATGACACCAGCAGGGACTCCAGCTAAGAGGGGCAGAGGGACATGAGTTCTACTCCAGTTGGTGGGGTGAGGTCAGGTGCACAATTCCAGAGCTGATGACTTTCTCAGACACCCAGAGTCACATATCAGACTGATGGGCTTAGCTCTGGCTAAGGGGAACCCAGTGGTGGGAGTGTAGGGCAGGGGCTCAAGTGACTGTCTGCTGTTAGGAAGGTGGAGCAACAAAAGTCTTTCTTATTTCTCACTAGTTTTTTCCTTAAATGTTAGTCTTAGGTTAATATCCACCCGAGAGAGAAACCAGGGAATACCAGACCTGACCTGCCTCACTTGCTCTTGGTCACTTGCTCTAAAGTGACTCCAGAAATCGCCAATTTCAGAGGTAGAGATGACGCTTCTGATGGACTTGAGAATCAAGATGGTAATTGTTGCTGAATTTGATTACATGTGCACAGACCACTGGCTCTTTCCTAACCTCCAATCTCCTTTCCTCACGCCTCGGCCATAAATGCCCCTAAACCCTGTCCTTGGGGTGCTGGATTTGAGACTTGCTCTCCCATTTCCATACTTGGTTACCTGGTGAATCAACTCTTTTTCGTTTGCAAAACTTGTGCTTTCAGCGATGGGCATAGTGCATGCAGTGGGTGAACTGGGCCTTGTTTAGCAATAACAGGAAGAGTTGAGAAGGGGCTTAGCCTCTGTAGTAGTCTCAAGACCCACAGCCCCAGGCCAAGCAGGACCAAACCCCAGACAAACAGCAGAAATATTCCACAGAGTACCAACCAGTCCTCCTGGGGAGGTTATCAGGAACAAGGATGTCCGAGAAACTGCCATAGGCCAGAGCAGCCCCAGAGATGTGAGTGCCTGGATGGGCACTCTGGGGAAACTGAGGAAGCCTGAGGAACTCTGACCTTCAGTTGATAATGCTGTATCCATGCTGGCTCACCAATGGTGGCAAATGTACCACCAGGGGGCCCTAGGGTTTTGAGAACTCCAAACCTCAAAGGCAGGAGCAGAATCCTCTCAAGGGATCCAAAAAGAGCTGAGCCCTTTTTATACACACTTGGGGACACCAAGCCCTCAAAGTGAGTGGCGAGCTCTGAAGGGGTGGACTCAGAGCTCACTGCCTATGTGCTGGGGCTGGGATCGCCAAATGCTAGTTTTCCCAAATGCCAGGACAAGGCATACATAGGTGGGGTAGTCAGGTGGGAGGGGGAATTCCAACCACCAAGAACCCAGGTAACTTCAATTGGTTTGAGGCTCATCAGTCAGGAGAAAATTGCAAACAGGTTGGTTCAAGCAAGGCTCTGACCCTATTAAGCTGGGGCTGTGTGTATGTGTTGAAATGCAGTCAGATTCTTTCTCAGATCACCAGGAGCTGGATTTCCAAGCCTTCCCCCTCCAATCCAAATCTGGAAAATGAGACTTTCATGTCAGTCACTGGTCTTGGCGAGGACTTGATACTCCAAGCCCCTGGAACTCAATAAAAGCTGTGCTGGGGTGAATGTAATAGTCGTTCTTGACCTTTTTCTGAGACAACACACTTTTACCTCTGAAAGTGTCTTTCTATTCTAATAAACTAAACTTTCATGACTTGCCTGAAATCTCTCGATAGATGCAAGAATGGAGATAGCTGCACTGACCCCTCTGGTAATCTGGTCAGCCTTCCATCCCTTGTCAAGGCACTGGTCTGAATAAACACTGCTACTGGGTTACCAGGAACACAGAGTGACAGTCCAAGCTGTCCTGGGCTGGTCCTACCTTGTCCTGCAGCACTGCCCGGCCTCCACAGCCCATTCTGGGTGTGGTAGAGTTTGTTTTTTGTTGACTGGATGCAGAAGTGTGGGGGCAGCTCTATAACTCCTATTAAAATGTACACGGTTCAAAGATGCCTTTCAAAAGGAGTTTTATTCCTTTAAATGGCCAAAGCAGCAAAAGGACCACCTGCTTCTGTTAGTGACCTGCCCAGCATGTGGTCCTTCCCTAGGTGTGCCAATGACCCCAGCCCTGTTGCTGTGCGGAGGGAGACCAGTTAGAAACAGCAAAGCCAGCTGAGATCCAGCCCTCCAGAAGACTGGCACAGTGCTGCCCCAGCCTCCTTGGTGATCACAGGAGGTCAAGAAAAGCCCATCGGCTTCCAGGTGAACAATGCACCCTGACCAAAGGTGCCAGTGTGGGAGGCAGGTAGGGGTGAGATGCTATCTGCTTCCTTCTTGCACCCTGGAGGCAGTCTAAGTCTGTCCTTAAACTTGGGTGGGCGGTGCCCAGCCAAATGAAACATCCTCTGTATCCCCTGGGGACACAGAACCAGGAAGTCTAGCTGGAAGGGGCCACCACAATGAGGCCAGATGCCTGAGGCCTGAGTGAACCCGGGCCCGTAACCCCCATCCTCCTGCAGGGGTGGGATGGAGGTGAGGCTGGTCAGGAACAGCAGTTGGGACAGGGCTGTTGACCTGCACAGCAGTGGGCAAGATGCCTCCTGTGAGCCTCCTGCAGCCTTTGCTGCCTGCTGAGAGCCTGTGCAGAGTATCCATGGTCAAGCAACAAGTGGTCACATGGCCCTTAGTAAAGAAAAGGAAGCGTGCGGTCACTGGCAACCAAGAGAGCGGAAAGCACAAGAGAACACCCTGGGGCTGCCTCTCCCCATTTCTGCTCCTGGCACCCCATGATTCTCTGAAGAGAGGCCCAGCTCCCAGAGGTAGAAGTGGGCATCAACAGTTACCCACGCATGGACTGCAGGTGGCCTTGACCACACAAGCCCCCCAGAATTTTCTGCATCTACTCCAGCCAAAGGCCTGTGGAACAACTATCCCAGAGAGCACTGGAGAGAAGCAGTTAAGTAAGGTGAGGCCCAGGCAGAGCCATTAAACTGTAACCTGCAGTGGAGACTGCAGGGTGTTACCCAGGCATCTTTGGGTGAGCCTGCAGAAGCACACACATGGGCACGGGCAGGCCCGGGGGTACTCCTGGTCTGGGCACACAAGCACAGCTCTTCCCTTCTAATGGGCATTGGCAGGGCTGTGCTTTAGCTGTCCCATGTGCCTTCCACATCTCTCTCCAAGACCCCTGGCTTTGAAGGGCTGCTTTTGACCCCTGCTGGGCCTTCCTGTGGCACTGTCACTCCGGTCTTCCCTGCTGCTCCCCTCAGCAGCTCTAGGTGAGTAGGGTCGCCTCTATAATCCCTAGGGCCTGACTCTGGATCCTGAGCGCAGTGCCTTAGCCTATGGGCTTCAGCCCACAGAACCAAAGTAGAGTAGGGGATTTTCTGCAATTTGGGGGCTCCCACTGCTGCCACCATCTTGCACCTCCCTGGGGTACAGTGGAGGCAGTGGAAAGTGAATAGGAACAGGGATAGGAGACCTGCTCAGCTTCTTCCAGTATAGAGGAAAGCCTGGCACCCAGTTACCTAGCCTCTTCAAGTGACCCTGAGTTGCTGCTCATGGCCCTAGGTTGTGGAGTCATCTTCAGGTTTCATGAGGACAATGCCCTGCTAGCGAGACCCTCCAAGGTCACTGGCTGGGAGAAGGGCTTCAGGGGCCATTCGCCAAGTTCTGGGACTTGACAGAGGAAGGGTCCCCCACACCAGGCCAGGCACCTGTGTCGTTCTTCCTCCTGGGGGCTGGGGCTGCTCAGGAGGATCATGCCAGCCCTGGTAAGTGAGGGTAGCCCACTGAAGAGGAGCCTGCTGTGTAGCCTCTCCAGTTCTCTCCAGTCTAGCGCTCCCCACTGAGTCCAGGTCACTCAGTCTCACCTCCCTCCCCATGTTTGCCCCACCCCCAAACCCCTCCACCTACCTGGACCATTGGATTTCCTCTGCTGCTGCCCTGCGGGCCTCCTCTGGAGATGACTGCATGGGGCTGGGGAGCAGGACAGCATGGGTACTGCTGTGTCCCAGTGCCCTGCCCTCCGCCTCCAGCTCTGGCCGAACCACAGGGCAGCACCGCCCAAGTCCACGTGTCAGTCCCAGCACTTCCGTCTGCCACTCCCAGGGTGAGTTGCCCCCGGAATTGGGTCCCCGCCCCGTCTGGGGAGGCTGGGTCAGAGACCTCCCTGCACCACAGTCCCTGAGGTTTGGCCGCTGGGACTAACGGGCATTAGAGAGATATACTGGGGGTGATTCAGTGCCTAGTCGGTCCGATGGCAGACTTTGGGCAGGAAAGGGGGAGGGGGTCCTGCTCTGCCTACAAGCTAGGGGTGATTGAAGTGCCCACAGGGGTGTGTACTAATCCAGTGTACATGAGGAATAAATTCATAACCAAGTGCAGAAGTAAAATTCCAGGGCAACTAATTTTTAAAACGGATCTTTTGGGGCAGGCTCAACCCCGCCCCCCCTTAAGTGACTCAGGTCCTGATCAAGTGTGCACTCAATAGATGTTTGCCGAGGAGTGGAGATGGCCACTGGTCCCTGAAGGCTTGTACAAAGGTGTCTGAGCACTAATCACGGACCAGGCTTGGGCTGGCTCCCACACTGTCCATGTTCGCAATAGGCCATGGAGGACATGCCTGGCAGGAGAAAGCTGGGCACATGCAGCTACATTCTGCTTCTCCTGGTCCCACCTCACGCACCTCTACCTCCACCCCAACCCACCTAAATCCCTCCTGCATTCTGTAGCCAGAGGCCAACTGGAAACATACTATACAGTGTTAAAAATCCACCAAAGTCTTCTCACTGCACTCAGAAGGAAACCCCAGGCTCTCTCTATCCTCCAGCCTTCTGTGCCTTCAACAGCCCAGCTTACCACCGGGGCCTTTGTACCATTTCCAGGTCTTCAATGACCAGCTCTATACACTTATTGAAAAGAACATTAAAAAGCATTAGGACCTGAGGTGGGGGGTGGTGTAGCTCAGTTGGAGAGCCTGTGCTTAGCATATGAGGCTCTGGGTTCAATTCCAAGCATGCACACACACACATATAATCAGGTCCTAAAAGCAAGGTCACTTCCATTTGTATCACAGGTTCAGTAGCACAAAGATAGTGGCAAAGGCTTCTCTGCTCCAGCCCATGGCATTGAAAAGTTTGGGAATTGTTCCTAAACTTATGGCTCCTGAGTATTCTGTTCTCTTCCTAGAGATCATTCATTGACTGCGTGGGCTCTTTGGTAATTTATTTAACAAAACACAAACATAAAACAGTAGATATTTGTCATTTCTACTTGGAGCAGATGTTCTAGGGTGGGTGGACAAAAGGAAAGTAGAATGGATGATACTTCAGAGAAGCTGAGTGGAGGGACCTGAAAGATACTTGAGGTCTGCATCGAGTTGGAGTGAGCATGGGGCAGTGGGCACACAGCTCAGGCCAAAGCCTGGACAGCAGAGAGTGAACACCCATGTGGCCAGAGCTGAGGGAGACAAAAAAGGCAGGAAATGACATCAAGGCATGAGGGGAGACAACCATGAAGAAGCCTGCATCAGGAAGCACTGAATATCAGAAGCTCACCCTGGCTGCCATGTGCACAACCTGGTGGCCAGAGTGATGAAGAGGACAAGGTCCCAGGGGAAAGGGGGCTCTTGGTACTCAGGTTACAGATGGGGTCTTTGGAGAGCATACACAACCTCCCAGGGCCCCACCTTTACTCAGATGTGAGTGCAACCAGAACTGCCCAAGTGGTGGTGGGGGAACATATCTGGCATTCGGAAGGTCGGCAACATCTGTTGGTGGTGGTGGCTGGGACAGACACACTCTCCAAGCTTCCAGTTCTCTGTGAGCTGCCCCACACCCAGCTCACAGGTGGGTGTGCACCTCAAGGTGGAAAATTTTATGTGGAGATGAGAGTAGACAGGTAAACACCTGGGTTTTGGAGGGTGATCTGTGTGACAGCTGCCACGGCCAGCTGCTCATGGGCTTCCTGCTCCAGGGGCCTGTGGTTCTACCTCTGGTGTACCCCTGCTCCCATCTGTTTTGCTATCCTAGGTCAGCTGCAGAGAGACACACTGTGCCTTCTTTAAGCTGCCTCATGCTTTGCTGCTATACTGTCACCTCAATCCCCTAGTGCTATCCCACTGACAAGCATGAAGGAGGGTAATGTGGACCCAGATCATAGAGTTCCATGAAGGCAGCCTCCAACCTGGGTTGGGTCTCCTCCCTCACTCTCCTTAACCCCATCCCCTCCCAGCCCTATATGTACAATGGCAACTGTAAGAAATAAAAATCTCAGGATCCAGGAGTGGTAGTACTTGCCTATAATCCCAGCATTGAGACTGAGGCAGGGATCTTGAGTTCTAGGCCAGCCTAGGCTACAAAGTGAATCCCTGTCTCCAAAAAAAAGAAAAAGAATTAAGATCTCAGTACTGAACGTAAGTCGCATCCCCCTTCTGAGCTGAACGCTGTACATGGTAGAAAGAAAAATGGGACAAAGAGCTGTCACACTCCACTGTAGCCAGGTGTCGGATTCCATGATGAGGGCAGGTGTCTGTTGGAAGGCCAGTTCCGCTCACGGTTCTTTTCCAGGGCAAGTGCCTTCAGCTGAATCTCATGAACACTGCTGGTCAAGAATCCTAACTGGGCTGGGTGTGGTGGTGCATAGCTGTACCACCAGTGGAGACAGGAGACTCATGGTTCAAGGTCAACACAGGCAAAAGTTAGCAAGACCCTGTTTAACAAACAAACTAAAAGCAAAAAGGGCTGGGGGAGTGGCTCAAGTTACCACCAAAAAAGCAAAAAAAAAAAAAAAAAAACCCAATCCTAACTGGAATGTCCAGAGATCAAAGACTAGCCAGTCATACAAGTCTGTCACTAAGCAGCGACCTTTTGTCTGTGGCCAACAGCCTCCTGGCTCTGGCTGATGGCCACCACCTCCGCCCCTGGGCCTCCCCCACCTTCCATGCTATAGTCTTAGGTGACTTGTTTTTTGAGTGACTTGCTTCACTCACAAAAGCCAGCTGGGACATAACCTCAACTGTCAGACATGTGACCCCCAGGAGGCAGTGAGCAGCCCCTATTATGTGTGAGCAAAGCCTGTTGACATGTGGAAAGGAGAAAAGCTGGGTAGAGACTACGTCTGACGGGCACTAATCCTTGGCTCCTAAAGTACACATTTAGCCTCTGGACACAGCAGTCACATTTGGCACAGTAAGCAAAGCTCCAGAAGCCGTATCTTGCAATATGGCCTGCATCTAAAAATGCACCCCTCAAAAGACACATGCAAGCTAGGTGCCAGTGGCTCAAGCCTATAATCCCAGCTACTCAGGAGGCAAAAATCAGGAGGATTGTGGTTTGAAGCCAGCCTAGGCAAATAGTCCTTGAGATCCTATCTCAAAGAAACCATCACAAAAAAGGGCTGGTGGAATGGCTCAAGGTGTAGCGCTGACTCCAGTACTGTTAAAAAAAAAAAAAAAGACACATGCAGGCAGAGTCCGTGCATCTTCCACAGTTATATCTCTTGGTCACAGCCAGGTGTCAATGGGTTTGTTGCTCCACTAGCAGGTTTTTCTTCTGTATTATGGTCACACTGGACCCTTACTTGGCCTTCCATCTAGGAAACATTGACAAACTGCAGATGAACAGAGCACCACATCCTGTTAAATATCTACACACACCCTGAGACAACACATCCCAATTCACCACTCACAGTTCTCCTCCTGTGCCACTCTGAGTGTCCAAGCCCCTCTACCATCAGACATTCCATGGCTTCTGGAAGAGGCAGACTACCCCAGGACACTCTACCATGGACACACAGGCTCACGTTAAGTCTGCCATAGCAAGTTATACTAAGGTCCTTTTAGGTAAATAAAAAGTGAGGAAAACATTCCAAAATGGAGGGAGAGCATCTAGGACAGCAGGTCATATGTGTAAGGTGGTCCCAAGCCTCTCAGACTGACATGCAAGAGCTCATACTCAAGCACTCCAGTGACACCTACCATCGTGACCTACCACATTGCTGTCTGTGGGTGTGAGGCAAACAGGAGTGGCAAGGGCATGACATCAAGATCACCACAAATGTCACAGCCATCCTGTGACATAGGAAAGGATAGAAAGTCCATCCTTTCCTATGCCCTAACACCAAGACCACGAAGCACAGGACGTCACGCTGCAGGGTGTGTGCTGCTCAGAGTCCTTGGTATCTGTCTATCCGTGCTTCTCCCTCAGGCCTGAGGAGCCATGAGGGCTGTCAGGAGGAGCCACCAGCACAGGCAACCTGCAGCCATCTCAGCCAATGCCCAGAAGTACTGGAGCTCTCAGCTGAGTGGCTGGCACTGGGTGTGGTGCAGCACTCACTCTAGTTTTGATGTTTGAAACTTCCTTGTAAAAAGATTAAGTACTGTTGTGGTAGAGACACATCAAAAGCAAAGTGTAATTCTTTCTAACCTTCCAATTCTAATACATGACTTTCAATACAAAGTACTAGTACAGTACCTCTTTGTTCTTGTCAATATATCTTTAAAAAAAAAAAAAAGAAAAGGACTGTCAGACAACCATTCTGGGAAAAATGTGAAAACTTTTACTGTCAAATTAAGAACAGGCAGCAAAAGCAATCTATTCTGTATTTCTCAGACGATATGAAGTCAGGGAGTACCCTGGAATAAGAATTACAGAATCAAATGTGCACAACTGTCCTCTAGCAGGCTATGAATTTACACAGGATTACATGACTACTGCTGACAATACAATGTACTATGTATCTGAAAAAGCAACATGTTTATGTTTCTGAAACAAAAATATACCCGTTGTAAGAAATATCGTGCATGGTATCAGAGTAAAACATGTCAACAAAGCAGCAGTGAGTGAAGGCTGGTGGCCAGTCTGCACCCACACCATGGTACCCCAGTGTACACCTGACGCTCTTCATTTGGTCTTTTCTTCATACTGAGAGTGGACAGCCACAACCCGGAAGGGACTCCTGATCCATTATCGTGATGATGTTTGTGTCTTTATCATCAAATGTGTAAGTCCTTCTGGAACTCTGGTTCCTCCACTCTCCAAAACTAACGGCATACAGGAAGAAGGAAGAAAGGACATCACATTGCCTTAGAATAACTGTCCCTCCCTCCCCTGCCTCAGGGGACTCCGGTTTGCTGTTTCTACACACACAGGGTCACCAGTCTTCAGTCACACACCACGGAGACTTTGGTCTCAAACATCAACCCCAATCAGCACCTGCCTTTCCTGGGAACCTTAATTCAGGCAGCAAAGCAAATTAGTTCTTGTTCACTTTGCAATAATCTCCATGCTTCAGAAAATTCTAAACTGAGGGTTACTCCTCATATGACTTCATGATACAGGAAGAGTACAGAATATTCTCAAGTTTCATGTATTTCAAGGCACTTTCCACCAGAAGGCATGAAAAAGAAGGAACCACTATGTAAAACACAACTATATTTCAATAAACACAAGAAGGAGACCAAAAGGAGACAAAGCAGAAAAACCAAATCATACTGAACGTTCATTATCCCCAAGTAGCTCAGCTTGGTTAGTCTGCTGCAGAGACTAAGATTGCAGTAAGATGGCAACCAGGAGACGCATGTAGAGCACTCCCTGAGAAGGGACTTCCAGTCCACTAGCAGATCACGGCAAAGAGAACACCAGCATCTTAAACCCTCCAGTCTCACATCTTGCAAATTAAGATCCACTGATTGAACTGTAAATAAAACACCAACACATTGTCTTACAACTACTTAACATTTCATGCATGTGACAACCCCATGTACATCCCAACACCCTGTAGATGGGACTTCCCATCACTACACATCTCATACTTTCTAACTGTGAGAACATGCCAAATCGATTACATAGTTGTCATCTATGTAAATGACAATGTGTACACTAATAAAGACACTTAATAATATGCTGGTTATCTGCTGCTTTTTAAAAATGTACACTTTTATCCTCTCTCTCCAACTTCTGCTACATTTCACTCATCAACTATCTGAACATTAAATTTCCTTTACTTCTACCTTGATTTTATTCTCAAACATAAGGAAGGAGACCTAAAGAAAGGTCACATCAAAAATAACTGCTAAAACCCACCATACCTAGAAGGGCAGACTTCTGATGATACCCTCATGACTGAGAAGGGCAGCCAGGGGTTAGTCTGGAGAATGGGGTGCTTTCATAATGACCTGAACAGTTTCCCCTTTTCATCTGTTGCTAACTCTTGGTAAGAGTAAGCCCTGCCCAAAGCTCCTACCCACTGAAATGGAAGTGGAGAGCTGAGGATGCCTCACCCTGCTCCAAGTGAGAGAGGAGAGGGGTCCTACAGGACAGATACCAAAAGAGCAGCATTAAAGATAAGCACAACAGAGATGGCCAGTCAGCTGCCCTGCCTCCTGAGCAGCTCCCATGACAGCAAGATGGGATCAAACCCCAGCCTGTCCTAACCGGTCACTATGCCTCAGGCTATACAAGAACAAGGCAAGCAGTCCCTCAACTTGGCTGATCTCCAGCAGGCCCAAGCACCACAACAACCTGCTCCAGTGTAAGGACTCAGCTGAACGAAGCTGAGTCTAGGTACCGTAGGCAGGCAGGAGCTCCCGCAGACGATGGTGCCCTCGCATCTCCATCATCCTCACCAGACTTGCTGTGGGCCCCGCAGTACTGTGACCAACCTTCAGCACTGCTTCAGCAACGTCCCTCCCTGCCTGGGCCACTGCCAGGAACCCAAGCAGCTTGTGCTCTGAACTACACGTGCACACGCTCATCACCGAGGACACTGACCGACCGCTGTACCATGCCACACCTTGAGGGTCACTTCCCGTCCGCTAAGCAGGGGACAAATGCCTGACAAGAAACAGGAGATCTGCAGCACTGCTGACAAAACAAGAGATGAGAAACTACTCTGCCAAGCTCAAGTGCAGATCAGTGAGGCTGGACACGCAGTCTGTCCTTCTGGGACAGCCTCAGGTCACCCAGTCTTGGCTTGTCCCCACCAACATCAGGGTTGCTCCCCAGGTACACAGACAGGGCAGCCATCCTTCACATGCAGGCACGGCACTGTCACTGTTGTTAGCACAGGGAAAGCATGCCCAAAACCAGGGCTGTTTGAGATGATGAGAACTCTTCAGAGGCTATTTTGGTCATTCTTGAAATCAAAGAGAAATTTTTATTTTCAACAAAACTGCCAACAAGAGATGGTTCATCGATCCACTATGAGCGAGTCTCTCATCACATACAGCACCAAAATATATATTAAAAAAATCAAAACACATAGCCCCGCCCTTCACACATATCTCCCCACCGAAAGTCACACAATCCAAAAAGAAAGGCAAAAACAAATCAATACCTGCACACAAATCATCTTTGAGTAAGGATTTACAAATTTATATATTCTTTCCTATGAGAAAAAAAAAAAAAAGGAAAAGAAATAAGAAAGAAAAACAGGGGGTAAGGAGAAACTTGAAAGATAAGGCCTGACAAGACTCCGGAAGATGAAGAAAGCATATGAGCTGCCTACAAGCTAAACAGAAAGCAGAGCAATGATCAGTGCTCCTCTTGCTCTGAGTGGGAGGCCTTAAGCTCAGCTGATACTCCCTAACAATGCAGTACTCAATGGCAGAAGAGAGCTTCAGTAGCCAGAAACACCAGGCGCACTGGCACAGTAAACTGCAGCATGTCCAACTCCTCAGGGTATACCATAGTGCACAGACGGCATCAGACTTCCAAAGAGACAGTGTCTTTCACCGTGGGTTTGCCAGCATTTAAAAGGGCCATTTTCCCTTCTTAAAAGATGCTGGGCCAAAAAAAGTACAAGGGGGAAAAGGTTCTCTACTGCAGTGAAAATCTGTCAGTTGCAACCAGAGGGAGGCGAGTCCTGTGCCGGTGGCAATGCTGGGATCCGTACACAGGCTCTACTTGGGCTCCTCAATCACACCTTTGCTGAGGTCTGTCATTTTGGGATATTTTACTTTCTTCTGATCCAACTCATTTTGTGCCCAGAGTAGCAGTTTCAGTAACTTTGCCAGCTTGGGTGTGGATTCGCGATTTTCATAATCTAGAACAGCTTGGTTAACTTCACTCCATACCTAGAAAACAAGCAACATCCAAAAAAGATAATCACACATGCAGAGCACAGCAAAGTCTATGGATAATAGCATTTTATACTTTTTGACAACCTTCTTACTTGAGAAGCTTGTTACTCATTTAAATAAACATTCGGCCTATAAGTTATTCTGGGGACATTAAACAGGATGAGCTTTCACAGCCTGGCCAGCAATGTCACATCCAGCCTTGAGGTCAACTTAGTGCGAGCCTCTTGAACAAACCGCTTCTGGGGACTGTGAGAGCAAAGAGCAGCACAGCAGGCAATGCAGGCTTCCCCCAAACAAGCCTCAAGGAAACATCTCAAGTGGACCTTCCAGGGCAGCCAGTCCTTCATATATGGTGCTAGGCAAACAGAGCCCCAGGAGAAGAGCAGTCAGCATGTGGGGACCTGGGCTGTCTTGTTCAGCTGAACAAATGAGCAAGAGAAAGTTTCAGAAGAAAATACGGATTTTAAATGATAGGACACCTGCTTTTAAAGAGTTTCTAAGTAAGGTTAAGATAAGTAAGAAAAACTGGGAAAGAAGTTTGGTTACTGTCGATCAGTCACCTCTGCTGTTCCTAGTTTGACAAGATAAAGAGTAGAAATTAGGGAGGGGTTGCCACTATCACAAAGGAGTCCATGAGCGCAGGGCCATCTGTCTCATTCCACATCACAAATGCAGCACACATACCATCTTTTTGGCAGTCCCTCTCTGAGCATCTACAGAGGGTGAAAAGGACTCTTTCCTCTTACTGACCCCTACCTTTTGCCTCTGCATCATATGAAGGAGGTCTCCGAAGGGTGACTCCTCAGGGCTATCAAAGGCCAGCAGGGCCAGTGTGCGCTCCATCTCTGTGAGGCACTCTCTGCTCTCCTCACCCTGCTCTGCCAGCTGTGTCTGGGCGAATTCCAATGCCGCCTCAGTCTCACGTTGGCGGATCAGCTCAATCAGGTGCTGTTGCTGGTCAACAGCAAAGACAGACAAGTTTAGCTAGCACACCCAGGCAAGTGACACTCAGCATGGTCAATGGCAAAGACATACAAGCTTGGCCAGCACACACCTAAAAGAGCAACCCTGAACACTTTGTTCCAGTCAAAAGTAGGGCTCACGAGGCTGAGGGTGCAGCTCAGTGGCAGAGTGCTTGCTCAGTACGCGTGCAAGGCAATGGGTTTGATCCCCAGCACCACACACTAAAGAATATCTCAAAGGAAAGACTTTTCTAGCCCTGAGTTATTAAATTCGCATTTTAAAAGCAAAGCTTCTGAAATACATAAAATAGCAGCTAACGCAAACTGCATCCCCACATAAACTAAAACAACATTCTATTAATGCATGTCAGTCCACTTACTTCTGAGCATCCACAACAGACTGCTGAAACTCACCTGTAGATGAAAGTACAGATACCGGTTTGTGTCTAAGAGCTCTGGGTGGAGGCTGTTGATCAGGGCAATGGCCTCCTGAATCTGACCCTTCAGAATCATCTCCCGAATCTTGATTCTCTCATCAAGTGTTTCTAGATCTACACTTGGTTCAATCCCAGATTCCATTCGAAACTTCTCTGCTGCTTCCTTAAAGCCCTCTGAAAAGAAAATTATCTTCACTGCTAGGAAAGACAGCAGGGAATTGTCCCAGACTTTGTACCTCTAGAAAGCCCAAACACCTTAATTAAACAACCCCAATATGAACCACACTTTCTTAGGGACTTTCTGCTGCTATCTCTGTGATTTATAGGTTATACCCTCAAGATACAGAAATGAAGACTACTTCATTCCTTTTCAAAAAGCTCTAACCACCAGCCCAGAGCTCAGAATGACTGCTGGCCCACTGTGTGGCATGGTGCCTTGAAGGCTGGGATCACAAATCAGGATGCCAGAGCCGCAGAGCTGGCTCCCGGTGAGGCAGACACACTAGCTGTGCCTCCACAAGCCTGCTGTACCTCCATGCTGGCTTCACCTGCAATGACATGGTGACTCCCTCTCTCTAACATCAAAGCCAACTATGGGTCTAGATTTCCTCATCAGCTCTCTAAAAAAATGTTAGCAGAGATTAATTTGTGACTGGGGCACTGGAGATTAACAGAGGGATAACTTCTCATTTTGTGCTTTTAAAAAACCCCCGGATTTTCTCACCCCACCTGGCATTGATCTTCCTTCTCCCAAAGGAAGGAGGATCCAAGTGCAGTTTCCTTCTACACACTCCTGCCCTTCCCCCTTCCCTGTTGGGCACACTTTCTAGAAACAGGACAGAATACTTTACTAGACTGGTTAAAGGACAGCAATTATTTGCAGTTTTAAATCTAGTTCAGAATAGTCTTATTTTCTGAGACAAGAGTCTTGCTATATAGCCCAGGCTGGCCTGGAACTCAAAATCCTCCTGCCTCTACCTGCCAAGTCAGAACAGTTGTAACGACCTTGATTATCTAACTGTAAAATTGTCAAGGCAGCTAGACATGGTGGTGCACCCTTGCAATCCCAGCACTAGGAAACCTGAGACAGGAGGATCTTGTGTTTGAGGACAGCCTGGGTTACATAGTGAGACCCTACCCACCCCCTCAAAAGAAAAAACAAATCTGGGCAAGGCTCTGGGTTCCATTCTTAATACCACAAAGAAATTGTCAAAGGCCAAGAAATGCTTTTTGCCTTCAGGTCTCAGAAACATCCTGTCATCTCCAGGAAAAGCAGTCTTTAATATGATAATTTACAAATGTTAGTTAATGTGGTTTTTGGGTAATCTTATTATTATTATATAATATTCTATATGAAACCTTTGTAAGATACATGTATTATAAGTATTTTCCCTCAGTCTATAGCATAGTTTTAAATTTTCTTGTTTTTTTTCCCTTTTGGTGGGACTGGGGTTTGAACTCAAGGCTTTGTACTTACAAAGCAGGCATTCTACTGCTTAAGCCACACCTCCAGCCCATTTTGCTCTGGTTATTTTGGAAATGGGGTCTCGAGAACTATTTTTAGGGGCTAGCCTTGAAGTGCAATCCTTCCGATCTCAGCCTCCCAAGTAGCTAGGATTATAGGTGTGAGGCACTGGCACCTGGCTTAATTTTCTTTTGCATAGTATTTTTATAATGATTGACCACAACATAACTTTACCACTGAGTTTCAGGGGTAAAGTGCTACTTATACAAAAAGGAAGAACCAACTATGTTCTATTCAAGTGGTGGCATCCTTACACTCAGCCATTACCTGTGACCAGGTAGTTCATGATGAGACGGTTCATGTCTGCTCGCTGGACATGTAAGTTGTTGAGCTTTTCCATCCACTCATCTTTCGTTATTTCATCGGGTTTTTCTGCATAACTCATTCTGATTTATTTCTATAGGAAAAAAATACTTTTAATAATTCGGTGAAGAATTCTATGCCATTGTGACCATTTCAGAAAATAAACAAAGCAATGTAGTAAGAAGTGGGAGAGCAAGAAAATATTTTCAATCTTGAAAACAGTAAGTACATTTGCGCCTGAAACCCAAATGCATGTTTGGGGAACACCAAGAATGGGGTGTTTAGAAAGTAGGATGAATGCAACAATTTTCCCAGAATAAGAGATCAAGAGGTCAGTTGGCATCAGACTGAGGAAGGCCTTACAAGTTGAGGGAGATGGTTAGGTTCCTTACTAAGTGCAAAGGGCAGGCTCTGGACAGTAGTAAACTAAAGAATTATGTGCTATGAGGAATGTGTGAAAAAGGAGGCTGCAACCCTACACCCATCAGACTGACCAATCAGAGAGTCTGACAGTGCGAAGGCACACAGTCCTCTCAAATACTTTTACATTGGTGTCAGAACAGACCACTATGGAGGAAACAGTTACATATGCCTTGTAAAGATACACGTGGTGCCCCTTACAACCCAGTTAACTCTATTCCTGCTAAATCTACATTGTAGAAAAACTCATTAGTATGCACCAAAGGTAATCCTGTTCACAGAAGCACTGTTCAAGATGGCAAAAATGTGGAAGACATTCACCCCAATGTTCATTCAACAGGAGCATATTGTCTATGGGATACTGAACCCATGTCCAAAACCCTTAGGCAGGTGCACTGTGGAATTTGTGTACTTATGATATGGCACAAGTTAACCATCTATTTTAAGACATCATCTCCAGGTCCAGGGAAGCATCCCACAATAAGGTATTTTTTTCAGTGAAACGTGTGTGTTCACACTAAGTGTAAGGGAAGCTATTAGACTTTACTAAGTCAGGTTTTACCACCAAATAGATTTTTAAAAAGACTTGGTCTCAGAGATACTTGGATTTGAGAAGGAATTGTGGTTATGTATCACACAAAATTTAATAAAGCAGTCAAACACAATAAATGAAATCATACAGAACCACATGGAAGACTCTTACAAAACAACGCTGAGTGCAAAAAACAAGTTGAAGTAGAGGTTTGAGTATGGCATGAGTTTTGAAAACAAACAAATACAAGACATGCTACATTATATGTGCTTTAGCAACAAATAACTATGTGGAAAAACTGTCTTTGTTTTACACTTTTAAGTAAAGATGTGCAATCTCGCACTTAGGAGGTGGCACCTGTGGGTGGAAGGCAGGATGGTGGCACCACAAGGGCAGCTATACCAGCTGAACTCCAGGTGGATGCTGAACACCACTGCCTGCTGCCCTACAAATTGAGGGAGGTGGTTAGGTTTTCATACTTCTCACTAACTTATACCTTGCAGATATTTCTTTGTACACAGCAATGTACAAGCTAATTTGCTTCAGTATATTAAAAAAAATTAAAAGAAGGCTCTGGTTTCTGGGCTGACAATGGGATCAATGTTGGGTAGGGACAGCTGAGCAGCAAGTCCAGCAAGGAGACACCTCAGCCAGAAGGGACAGTAGATCACAGGCACCCCAGGTCAGAAAGCTTTGGCTTTGGAGCTGATGGCAGCTACTGCTAGATTAAATGTGAAGAAACAAGTGAAAGGCAAGAACCAAAAACAGTCAGAGGTTTCCAAGTGTGAGGCCTTGGAGGATGGGGCCATAAACAAGGAGGGAGGACTAGGAGTGGAACAGGTTTGAGGAGCAGGGCAAGTCTGAGTGACTGAGAAAGGCAGCTCAAGAAGTCTAGCAGGCATCTAGATTACAGGTCTTGACCCCATAAACATTAATTAGGGGAACACCACCACCAAAAAACTCCATGCCAATATTTAAAGCCAAGAGTACAGCCAAGACCACCTTGGGTGAGAGTGACAGGGGCACATTACTTGGGGGAGTAATGAACTTCAGAGAGCAAGAAGAGCTGGAGGGCCAGCAGAAGCCTTGCTGGGAGGTGGCAGCGAGGGCGGAGGCACAATTGGGAGGCGCTGTGCAGTCCCGATGCCGCTCCTGTAGCTACAGGTCAACTGCAAAACTGGCCCAGAGCAAACTTGTATGCACACCACACAGATCAGGTAGGGACCCATCTGAAAGATCCCCACAACAGACACCGTCCTCTCCGCTCCCACGTGGGGAGACCAGGCCTTTGCGTTTCTGCAGGAGTCGGAGCCCCAACCTCCAGCAGTCACACTGTGGACAGGCTCCCAAGCCCGGGGACGACCTAGGTCTTCACCGGCTCGGTCCCCGCGTTAGCGCAGTCGTTATCAAGTCGCTGTCGTCACAGAGGCAGACACACATTTCCCGTAACCATCCCGGTGCTGGCTGACACCCCTCGGACCGCAAGCCGCGGCCTCCCGCGCGCTCCCCTCCAAACAAGACCGCCCGCGCCGCGCCGCGCTGGGCACGAAAGGGAAGCAGAGCGCCTAGGTCTCGACTCCGGTTCGTGCCTCGGACCCCTAAACTTCCCTCCGGCACAGACAGCCCAGTTGGACACCGGCCTCCGCCCCCAGCCCGAGACCACCGGCCCCGCGGAGACGCCCGGCCCGGCCATCCGGGTCCGCCGCGGCCATCTTACCGTGCGGATCCCGCCTCCCGCGCGACACGGTCTGGGCGGCGGCTCCGCGGCCGCTCCCGGGGCAGGGGAGTGGCGGCGGCGGCAAGAAAAAGAGGCGGAGGCGGAGGCGGAGGCCGCGGCGGAGGCAGGGGCGGGGCGGGGCGAGGTGCTGGCGAGCAGACACACCGGCAGCCGCCCCTCCGACACTTCTCGCGAGATCGCCAGCCGACAGCCAATAGAGCGCTCCCGTAAGGGGGCGGGACAAGCGTCCGCCGGAAGTTACGTCCTCCCTCAGCTTCCGTTCTTGCGCACAACTCCCCAGCGGTGCCCTCACTCTACGGGTTGGCGCGAGAGTCAAAAGGTATCGGCCGCCTCCGAGCAAGATGGCTGCCGCGGAGGCGTCAGGATACGGAGTTTTCGGGACGGGATGGCGACAAGTAGACTGAGTCCAAAGCGAAGGTCCCAGCTCCTTTCCAGTCGTTCGTGTGAGGCGGGGAGGCATGGAGCGGGGCGGGAAGGGCTCGGTGCCTGAGATGAGGGCGTCCCTCGCTGGCGCCCTGCCAGGCTCGAGTCCCCGCGGCCCAGGGAAGGCCGCCAGGCGGGAGCTCTCGCTTCAGTGGGTGGAGGCGAGTTCCTCGGACTAACTATGTGGACATTACCCAGTGCGTCCTCGCTTGAGGCTAGAGCAGTGTTCCAAAGGGACTCTAGGTCCCGGGGCGCGCACGGAGGGGACCCACCCCACCCCAGGGCGGGTTTTAAGAGCTGGCGCTATGCGCAGGGCTGGTGGATCAGGGCTGGAGGTGGTGTATGGATATTTGCAGATTTACTGCCCTGTTTTTGTCTGCTGGAGACGAATGCAAACTCCGGCATTGCAGGGGGTCATTGTAATGTTAAGAGATGCAGTAGCGTTTCTGGAAGAAATGTTCAGAGGCCTAGGCGAGATGGTTTGGTGTGATTGCTTAAACGAGTTTTGAGAAAGCGGTGTCGAACATTTCCTCACAGAAGCTAAGTCCAGTTCGACAAATAGATGAACTGTAGACATTTTCCATTACCTGAACGAGCTAAATCTGCTTAGCTCATTCAGAGTTCTAACACAAAGCTGTTTAAAACACAGGTGCAGTGCGGCCAGTGACATAGTTGCAGTGCTTAGCCCCTGGGTAAACAGTTGTTGAATGTTAACTCCCAAGGATGCGAGGGGGCGCCCGAGGGAAAAGCTTGAAGCCAATACCCTAAGGAGAGAGAATAGTCCACTCCGAAGAGGCCTTGTGTGGGTGATGGGTTGGCTGCCTCCACTCCCAGCAGCCAGCCTGTTGCGTGGTGGACTGCTCTTCCTTCTCTATAACCCTGCGTAGAACCTGGCCCCTGTTTGGTGTTTTCCAGCCACTTAACCTTGAGGCTATCATCTTTGCTCCTTGGATTGCCAATGTTTTCCTAGACATGTGCCCATTAAGTTCTGCCAGCTCACCTTTGAAACCTACAGGAAATAGGGTGATCTCCAAAGCCATTTCTCTTTGTTTTGTTCCCTTCGTGCCCTTCAGGAACTCCTCGGTTGCTCACCTAACATGAGCATAGCTAAAAGTCTCACCTTCCCGCTCCTAGCACTTTCTACTCCCAACTATCTTACCTTCTGTGGTTCTGCACTGAGCACTTTGTCTCTGGCTCTGACGAGCTGGGTCCTGCATAAAATCCTTCCCTCCGCTGCTCAACAGAGATGGCATTTTCTTGGGGACTTCTTCCCTAAACACAACGGGATTCAGAGTCTCTAAAATATCCCTTCCTGGTTCTTAGCACCCTATCTGCTGATGGCTCACAGTATGTTCTGATTTGCTATAAAAGTAAGGTTCACAAGGGTGGGACAAAACCTGCTAATAGCTGAAGTGTCCAGTACATAACAGGAGCCTGATAAGAATTTGTGGAGTAGCTGAAGGAGTAAATGAGTGAATGGTAGTGGTACTGAGGATGTGACCAGAGCAGCAGTAGCAGAAATGGAAAGAGAAGACCTTCAAGTGGTGGGAAGTGGACAGTCATGGTGATTGACAGTTTGTGGAAGCTAAGGGAGAGAAGTCTACAATGAGGCTCAAATGTGTAGCCTAGTGGCCATGTGGTGGCACCCACTGAGGGAAGCGATCATGATGCAGAAGGTGGAAAGCCTAGGGGTTTAGCTTAGTGGTAGAGCACTTGCCTGACATGCTCAAGGCCCTGGATTTGATCCCCAGCACTGGGTGGGGAAGGGGGTTAAAATAAAAAAGGTAGGACACTGGAGGGAAAGGTGATAGCTTCAGCGTGAGCCAAGTTAAATTTGAGGCGCCTGTCTGATGCGTCTAAAGCGCAAATGAAAGATCAGGGATGGAAAGTTGATGAATTCAGAGACAGACACATAGACAAGGAGTGGATTAATTCCATTATCTGCAACATGCACTCACTAAGGATGAGCTGCCCATGGAGGCAGCAAAGAAGGGGAAGAAGAGCCAGGGCTTAGAGGATTCTCCCCAAAGCCTTAGTAGCAAGAAAGAGCAGGGGACAGTCCACTTGAGTTGTCAGTGACAAAGCAAGGAGTTGAATGACGTGGTGGTAATGAGAAACACTCAATTACAGAGGGAACAGTGAGGAGAAAAGACAGCCAGGGCCCAGCAGCAGTTACGGAGAGCCATAGTCACGAGCAACACTGAAAAACAGGTGAGGGAGCTGAGGAGGAGTGCAGCAGTAAAGGATCATTTCCAATTTTTAGGCTTCTGGCACTTGGGTTTGTAAGGTGGAACCATCCACTAAATAGGAAACATCAGTGAAGAGCCTGGGTTTGGAGGGAGGGGGTGTCAAAAGTCAGGAGTTCATTTATGTGTGTGTTGGGTTTTGAGATGGTTTGGGGTTACAAGTGAGGGTGCTAGGGAGCAGGTGAATGGATGGATGCAGATCCAGGCAGAGATAAATGTAACTGTAACCAGGTGTGCATGAGGTCTCTGCAGAGTGTATGGAGCAAAGACAGGAGAGACTGAGCCACAGCCCTGAAGACACCTATGTGCAGTGAGAGAGCAGAAAAGAGCTGGGTGGGTCAGGGACATGGCCACATTGATTATCATCTGGGGCACCAAGACATCGGCCTGGTAGGTTCAACTGGCTGAGCTTCCTGTGTGGCAGAGGTGGGCTGTGGGAGAGGGTCTGGCCATGGCTGGCAGGTGGTTAGAGATGCCACTTCTGCAAGCCAAGGTAAGGCTTTTAACCTGAGTAGTTTCAATTTGAAAGAGATTAGCATTTCTTTAAGAAGAGCTGTGTTAAAAGGTTTGTTTTAAAAAGGAAGAACATTTTGAAAATAAAATAGCAATGCTTCCCTTAGATCATAGAGGTTCAAAAACCAGGATATCACCTGTGTCTCACAGAGCTACATTATCCCTGTGGGCGTTTTTGCTTTACTGTCTTACCCTACATTCTGGGGTCTCTGGCTTCCAAGCCTTATTCTAGATAATCTATGAACCCATCATTTGTTGCTGCTCAGAATCATTGACACAAGTAGGTTAGTAATACTTACATCCCAATTTTCATAGCCTTTCACAGTAACTGTTTTAAAGTTTCTTAGCAAAGTGTTGGAAGGAGTAAGGAAGGATTTTACTGCTCACCTCTGCTGTTCTTTTTTTTTTTTTTTTTTTTTTGTAGTGCTGGGGATTGAACCCAGGGCCTCACGCATGTTCTCTGTGCTACACAAATTCTGATACTATGTGCAGGTTACAAATCAAGACACCGTAAAGCACCGTTAGTGGGGATTGTTTGATATGGTTGCCTTTCCCTCTTCCCTCAGGCACTGCTTAGAAGTTTTGTTGTTTGGATAAGAATTATGTTTGGATTTTTTTTTCCCCAGTAGTGGGATTTGAACTCAGGACCTCATGCTTGCTAGGCAGGTACTCTCCTACTTGAGTCACTCCACCAGCTCAAAATGTACTTTTTTTTTTTTTTTTTTGGTAGTACTGGGGTTTGAACTCAGGGCCACACATTTGCTAGGCAGCTGCTCTACCACTTGAGTTACTCTGCCACACCCGATTTTTTTTTTTAACTTAATGAGGTTGGAACATGAACTGGATGTAGCAGTTCATGGACTAATAGGAAAGTCCGAGACACCACTTTGAGAAGCGGTTACTTGATTTATGCAGCCAGCTCAGAGGACACAGTTCATGTTAAGCTAGATAATGCATTTCTTGTTTTTGGCAATACTAGGCATTGAACTCAGGACCTTGTGCTTGCCAGGCAGGTGCTCTACCACTTGAGCCACACAGCCAGGTGTGTTAAATTTGATTATGCCCTTTGGAAGTGGCTGGCCAGGATTTGATAATACACTTACTGATTTAGGATTTGACCTTTTTTATTTAACTAAAAATATATAAATTTATCTATGTGCACATTTGCATTACTGTATCTGTATACATCTTAAGGGTATTTTTGCATGAGCACAATTGTGATAAAGTGACTGGGAGGGAGGAAGAAGCACTGAGTGGACACAAGCAGGTTTTTGCTTTTTGTCCTTTCTTGTTTTTGCAGTGCTGGGGATGGAACCCAGAGGCTCGCACATGTGAGGCAAGTACCTACACTGAGTTAGACCGCAGCCCCACATTTACTCTCTAAAGGAGAAAAACTTTTATATGTTTCTGTCTCTCTCTGTTTCCCGCTCCCCAATTTCCCTACACAACCATAAAAGGCAGTATCTTTGGCCTCTCACCTTTTTGTAGACAGATTTGTACAGATCTCATTTTTCCTGTGGACACACCAGTTTCTAATCTTTAGAAGCATTTGCTTCACTTTGGAACTCAAAAAGATTCTGGTATTGGAACTGTAACTTACGCACCTTGATTTTGTTGAAATTCATAATAAAACGAAAGTACCTTTCGTTGTCCTTCTGGAGCCCCACTAGTTCCACCTCGATTGTTCCCACTGGTGCCTCCTTCAGGTACATTTCTTTGCATTTTCACCTTTGAACAAGAATTAATTAAGACAGTACAGGTTGAATATCCCTTATGGAAAATGCTTATACCAGTGTTTCATATTTTGGACTTTCTTTGAATACTTACATATATATGAAGTGAGATCCCAGGGGTGGATGTCTCATTATGTCTAAACACAAAATTCACTTATTGTTTGAGCCTGAAGTAATTTTATAAAGTATTCTCAGTGTGTCTGCATTTTACTATGACCCATTGTGGGAGGTTGGGTGTGGAATTTTCTACTAGTAGCATCATGTCAGCTAAAAAGTGTCTGATTTTGGAGCATTCGAATTTCAGGTTTTTGGATTAGACTTCAAAAAGGGTTTCACTTTTTTAAGTGTTTTCAAAAAGACCTTTAATTGCAGCCTGTACAAATGTACTTTATCCTTTCCCCTAAGGCCCCACGCTACAGAAGCATTGTAGTTGGGTAGAAAGGGGCAAGAATGGCCTCTTGCCTCATGTGACTAAATTTACTTTTTCTTTTTTTTTTTTTGAGACAGGGTTTCACTGTGTAGTCCAGGCTAGCCTCCAACTTGCTGCCCTCTTGCCTCAGCCTCCAAAGTGTTGGGATTATAGATGTGCCCATCATGCCCGGCTTCGAATGTCCTTTAAAGAATCTGATCTTTCTCCCTATATTCACCAGCTGATTTAGCATGCAGTGTTCTGTAGTGTTTCTTTCTCCCTTTTTCTCTGTTTCATATTTTGTGGTGTGATTAGCTTGTAAGGGCAAATGGTTGACTTGTGCACATTGCTTTACTTTTAAACTGCTTTTCTGTCAAAATCTGAAAGGCATTATTTTTGGCTTTTTTATTTGATGTATTCCTTTAAAGACTGTCGAGATTAAAAACAATCATAAGAAATACAGTTCTTGATGCTTGATGTTTATTCAAACATTACTTTCATCTGAAGTTGGCTTTATTTTTCACTGAACTCAAGGGGAAAACTAAGACATCTCAGAGTAGCACAAAACATTCTCAGAGGCTGGAACAATCAGCATGATTCTTGACTCTGTGAATGTGTTCACTCTTGTTTATATAATAAAAATAGAATTTTATTATAATGGGAAAATATTTTTGTTACTCTAAGGATCTCTGGAAAATGACGGGAAAACTGAGAACAACACGTCTGGACTCAGCTCCGTGTTTACATGCGCTTCTTTTTGCCTTATTCGTATTTTGGTGGGGGGGGCAGTACTGGGGCATAAACTCAGATCCTCATGCTGTCAAGGCAGGAGCCATGCCCTCAGCCCCACCTTATTTGTAGATTGTCATAAAAGTCCACAGTGCTTTGTCTTAAGTAAACTAGAGGCTAGAGTGATCAAAGATCCATTCCATGCTGCTTTTCTAGTTAAAAGTTAGTACTAAGTGTCTAGTAATGGTCAAAGCCAGCTACAAATATTCAGTGTGTATAAATTATTAATACACCATTAATGGGGTGATTTCCTTCTCCCATCTTACTTCCCTTTCATTTTCTGTTCTTTTGCCTAAAAGACAGAAAATGAGTGTGACTCTCAGTTGTTGTTCTGAACATGTAGGCACAGCTGACTTTCTGTTGGAACACAGAGTTTAAGTTCTAATACTAAATTTTCCGTGCATTGCTTTGTTTTTCTGCTGTTTTCTGTGTGTTCAGCCCCCTTAACTGTTGTCGTCTGCTTCTGACACAGTTGATTCAAACAGCATCAGTACTTTGGCAGTTTGCCTTTTCTGATGCTGTTACTCAGTGGTGCCTTACTGACAGATCTGGCTGAAAGTCCCCACATCTTTTCTTTAAAGGGGAACCAATGAGTAGTGCTTTACTCTGTGAGTGGATTGCTCTGTGCAAGTAGATTTATCCAAAGTTAACTGTTGGGGCTGGAGATGTAGCTCAGCTAGTGGTACAGCACTTGTCTAGCATGTGGCAGGCCCTGGGCTCAGTCCCTAGCACTGCCATCATTCAGTCAATAAATAGTTCATTATTAAAGTTATGTGCTCTTATATAGTGTAAATAATAAAAATTTAAAAATTCACCAGTTTTTTTAAACTCCAAAATCATAATTTAGCTTTTCTTAGCCAAAAGAAAATACAGCTGGCCCTCTTTGTGAATCAAAAATATTCGGACCAGGCTGATGGAGTGGCTCAAGTGGTTAAGAGCCCCTTCCTTGTAAGCATGAAGCCCTGAGTTCAAACCCCAGTGCTGCCAAAAAAAAAAAAAAAAAAAAAACAAAAGGGAACGTAATGAAAGTAAAGTTAAAATGACAGAGGCAGAGATCAGGAGGATTGAGGTTCGAGGCCAGCCCAGGCAAACAGTTTGTAAGACCCTATCTCAAAAAAACGAAACAAAACAAAAACCACACAGAAAAAGGATGGTAGAGTGGCTCAAGGTGTGGCCCTGAGTTAAAACCCCAGTACCAGGGAAAAAAAAATATTCAGGAGCTAGGTGTGGTGGAACATGCCTGTGATCCCCGCACTTGGGAGACAGGCAGGTTGATTTTGAGTTAAAGATCAACCTGGGCTACGTGGGGAGACTGACCCTCCCCCAAAAAATTCTGGGGGGAAACGAGTCTGGGGAACATGTAGACTTTTTTCTCATCATTCCCTAAAGCATGCAACATAGCATCCATTTACATAGCACTGACATCGTATGAGGTATTGCAAATCATCGGGAGATGCTGTGCAAACTGTGCTAGGTTCTGTGGAACCTACTCAACCCTTTAACTAGGGGCTTGAGCACAGACCTGGCACAACTATCCCTGGGGGCTGTGATTCTCTCTTCACACGCCTTTTGATTCCACTGTGTTAAAAGCGGAGACTCAGAGTGGCAGGCCCAGGGGCTGCTGGATCCGGGCAAAGAGGAAGAGGAGGCGCCCGCGTGGACGGGCTAGGCAAGAACCAGGAGGTGGGGGTCGAGGCTGCCGCTCGCTCCGCCCCTCCAGGCCTGGGCTCTCCTTCCCTTTCCCCACTCCCACCTTGTCGCGTGCCCCTCCCTAGGCGCCTGCCACTTCCGCCTGCTGTTTTCATTTGGAATCATGTGTTCTGTTGGGCCGCAATTCCCACGAAAGACGTTCGCGCGGCCATGTTAAGTGGGTTTTGGTTTTGAGACAGGGTCTTGCTTTATGTAGCTAAGGCTGGCCTAGAATTTGGGATCCTACTGCCTCGTTTCCCAGTTGCTGGGATTACAGCCTCACACCTGTAATACCAGCCGTTTTTAATTTAAAAGGATTGTAAACCGCATCAGCGCCTCCAGCACAGCGGACCACCTAGTGAGCTTCCCGCCCATGCCTCGCCCTGCTGTGCCTAGTCGCTGCTTCGGGCTGAGACAGCTGGCGAGTTTGTCTTTTGATTTTAGTTTTAAAATAAGTTTGTTTAGGAGGAAGTACGCTTTGACTAATAGAGTTCATTCAGTGCAACAAAGAAACCCAGACTAAATTCTCTGCGTTTCCCTCAGAGAGCAGCTGCTGGGAAGGCAGTGGGAGGGCGACCACCTGGGCTTCTGCCTCTCCCTCTCCTGGATTGGTTCTCTAGTTGCTGAGCTTTTTGTGCTTCTCCCTGTTTCTTCAGTGCCTTTCCTCTGAATGCCCAGCCTGACGCTGACTCCAGAGTTCAAATATTGCAGAAAGAACCTCTCAGCCTAAGAATGGAGAGGCTCCATTTAGAGCACCCTTGTAGGGAGATTTTCTGTGGCCCTCATCCTCCTTGGCCTTGAGTGTGAGCTCCCATTCTGCCAGCAGCTTGACCAAGATCACACTGCTTTTTTCAGGCTAGTTTCAACCCCATCTGTCTGGCTGCTCAACTCCCAGTACACCACATCCGAGGGCCAAACCTTTTCTCAAGGAAGGACACAAGGAAGAAATGTGGGCCCTTCTCCGCCTGATTTCCCCTAAGGTGATCCTGATGAATCTCATCCCCAGAAACCAGCCTGGCACTACAGTTGGGAGTTTTCTTTTGAAGAAAACCGCCTGTTTCAGAAACTGCGAGGTGTTTATGAGAAAGCAAGCCTTCTCAGGCTCCAGACTCCTGGACGGAAGCATCCGAGGCCCCCATTGTGTGGGTGTGGCTTTTTAGACTCGGGCATCTCTTTGCTGTCAGGAACGGGGCTAAGACTAGAGTCCAGAGGACGCCTTCCCAGGAGTGTGCTGCTGTGCGTAAAGTGGAGGCAAGTAATGGGGTGAAACCCTAGACCATGGTTCTAGACATTAATTGCCCTCGGACAAGGGGCCAGAGCATGGTGCCCTTGGGATGGCAGCTGCCCCTGTCCATGTTTCCGTAAGCATTTGGGGACAGAGGTGACGGAGCGAACAAAGGGGAGCCAAGTAGGTGGAAGGCCTAAGAGCCGCCAGGCCTGTGCTTTCCTGGCACCTCTTCTGTCATTCTGAGGGAAGCGGACGTGGCCCAAGAGGCAAAGGCTGTTTCCAGCACGAATGAGCTTGGCCTCCCTGCCGGGCACAAGGGCACAATGGACTTTCCCCTCCTGATAGCCCCTTTCCCTCGTCCTTGGGCAGAGGTTCACACAGGAGCGACCATCCCAGCGGCTGGAGCGTTTAAAGTGAAATGCTGGCCAGAGTGCGACCCCAGGGGGTGTTCCGGGAAAGCCTCACGAGGCACCGACCCCCGCTTTAATCTCTTGAGTCAGGAACCTGGGGCGGCGCAGACCCGGCGGGCTTCCAGGGCGACGGCAGGGGCGGTGGGCGCATGCGCGCGGGGCGGGGCCTGGCTGCTGGACGCGCTGCCGGCCTCTCTAGCCCCGCCGCGTCTCTGTGGTCGGCCTCCCTGCACTCCGTGCAGCCCGCCGCTTTAGGCCCGCCGCGAGAGGGCGCCACTCTAGCACCGCCGTCTCTAGCCTGCGCCGGTCGGGCGCCGGGCCGCTCTATCCCCGCGGCGGCGCAGGAAATGGCTGCGGGACCCCGGCGACCGCGGTGAGTGCTCCCTGGCGCGGCGGAGAGGCGGGCGCCGCGCGGGCCGCACTCGGGATTGGGACGGAGCCGGCGCCGAGCCCGACGGCCGGGAGCCGAGGCTGCGCGGGGTCGCTACTGCCGAGAAGATGGCGGCCGGGAGCGGGCGGGTGCGGCCTCCAGCCCCGGGCGCGCGAGCGCCGGCCCTCGGTTCGCGAAGACGGGGTGGGGGTGGGGGTGGGGGATCGCGGCTCCCTTGATCCTGCGTCGGTGGCGGGTGGCAGGGTCAGCTCCTGAGGCCGAGGAGCTCGGGTTCGGCGCCTGCGCGGCCTGGTTTCCGCTGAATCACGGGCTGTTTGGTGCGGCCCGGGTCGGGAGCCGAGCGCTCGTGCCGGCCCCTGGTGTGAATCGGTGTTGCCCACCGGTCCACGCGCAGCCGCGGCGCTTCGTTTCAGCGGGCTTTGGGTTCCCGAGCGCTCGGAGGCCACTTGCCCGTGTGGCTGGCAAGGAGTGGGTTGGCGCAGATTCGTCCCAACAACGGGGTTCACGGGGAAGAGAGACCGCCCGTCTGATTTTGGAATCCTGTGGATGTTCCATTTTCCTTGGGTTTCCTACTTATAGGTTCCCCTTGTTAGTATTTGATTAAATTGAGGTTCTGTCAGGCAAAGCCTGTAGCGTTCTGATGAGAGGGCACAAGTGAAAGACAAAGTTGTGTAATTGGCTGCCAGTCCCCTGCTGCACAGTGCGTGTGAGAGCATCACAATGGCTTGCAGAGGACATTGTGCCATTGGGGGTTAGGGGATGCTCAGTGAGATCCAGGTGGGCCCTGAAGACCAGGTGGAGTTGCCTTCTGTGAGCTTTGGCACCCTTTTCTCTTGTCTGCTGGTACTGCCTTTTAGACTACAGGGCCCTAATTTCCTGGTCAGTGCTAAGCAGTCCAACCAAGGGAGTGCTTTTCTTCAGTGTGTGTGAGCTTTCCCCAGTCTGTTTTACACCTGTTAATAGGACATGTTTTATCCTGTAATACACCTGCCCCATGATGCCAAGTGACTTCCATTTGGCTCTTAAAGAGCCAAATTTCCATGTTTACAGGCTAGCTTTTCTGTTGCTTTTGGGTCTCTGCACTGTGGCCCATGTCCTTGGCCCTGTTCCTCTTAGCCTGGTGAACTCAAGTCCATTAAGAAAGTTTTCCCTAAATGGAGTCTTTTGAATTTCTTAAGTTCCTTATGATATGTAACAGCCTCTTTATGACTGGTGTAAATGATGTATCTTAATTCAGTCACAAAGGTTATATGATTAACAGCTAGTGGTTGCATGCTCATTGGGAAAGAGAAGGTCAAAGCACAAAGTCTGAGTTGAGTTCATTTCGTCTAAATGCACAACTTCTCCTGTGAGGCAGGCCATGTTGCCCAGGCCTCCTTTAATTTTCTGAGTAGCAATTTTGAGGGTAAGTTGACAAGGAAAGTTGAATAGGTAGATGTATAGACTTTTGAAGAATTCTGTAACTGTGACTACGGTCTCTGTAGGTGATGATCATTCTCTGTGTAACTTATAAGGCAGATATTTCTCTTGAAGGAAGTGTCAAGCATATGTGCTGGAGTTTTGTTTTTCACATGCTGATGAGAGATATTTAAGAGGTATTTAATATGCCTTTACAAAAAAGTAAATCAATTTTTTTCTGAAACGAAGATAGCTGTAGTGTGTTTGGTTTACAAAGATAATACATATATAGAAAGTTTAAGCAGTATGTAAAAACAGAAAGTAACACCAGAAAGGAGTCCCACCTTAGAGCTGTTTGTGTGTTCATGATCCCTGTGCAAATGGTGGGGATGTTTAGAGAATTTGGCTGTCTTGTGGGCTGGTCGTCACAGCTCTTTCCCTGTGTTGTGGACTTCTCTGTGTGGCATGACTGTTGAAATGCATCATCCTTTACGTCTTAGATAATTCCATTATGTGGACGTCTCTCCAAACTAATCACCTGATAAGTGTTAGTTTGTGTTCAGTTTGTCACCTTTTGGGGAAACATAAATTGTCTGCTAAGTCAAAGGGAAGAAATCTCACCCTCTCCATGTGAACAGGCAGGGGTGACACTTGCTCTTTTACCTGTGCCTAGCATTTAAGAGACTCTTGGAAAATATTTGTTAAAGAAACTCAATTCAGAGGGCCTGTTTCTCCAAACCCTTGGGGACAGAGGTGTGCTGTCATTTTGGAGAGTGACATTGGTCATTTGTTGCATATTTGCCAAGTGTGGTCTGATTTGGCATTTGACCCAATAAGAGTTTCAAAAAACCTTTTAGGTAGCATTGTCCCTGTTTCATCAATAGGAAATTACTGCCCAATACACCAAAGAATGCTTGGCAGCTAAGATTGAAGACTTCTCACACTTGCCTGTCCAGGAAGGTCTTCCTGTGGTCCCTTGGGGTGGGAAGAGCTAGTTACAGGGCAGGATTTCTAGGAAATTTGTACCGAGAGATCTGTTCCCTGAAAAGTCCTCAGGCCCTTGCCCCAATGGAAATGCAGAGTGGTCGGGGCTAGCCAGGAACTCTCTGGAGTTGTTAGATTGTAACTTAAAAGAAAATGTTGTCTCTTTTAGAGTTTGTCTTTAGTAGTGACATATTCTTTCTTGTCACCTAGCCCCACCCATGTGGTACTGATGAATAAGTACTGGGAAATTGCCTCTTAAATAGGCTTGAGTATGGAATTCAGGTATACATGGATGTGTAAAAGTTGATACAGGAAATCCTCCTACTTGTGCCTGAACTCCTTTGTGGAAAGTTTGAACATTCTCTACTCTCCCCCATCCCCAACAAATAAAACTAGATATTGACCTCCAGCAATGCCAGCAAGGGAAGGAAGATTCTAGCTGAAATACAAAGTTAATTTCTGGCATGAGTTTCCAAGGCCCCTAGGCTGGAGCTGGAGCTCCCCATGGCATGCAAGATGTAGCTCCACCTTGCAGAGAGCAAATGCTGTGAGAGGTTTGGTCTGAACTCAGCGGCATTCAGTCAGTGCTATGTGGGTATCACCCCAATCGGAACGGGAACGGGGGAGGTATGTGCCAAGTACTGCAGCAGTCCTGGAAGCCCTGGCTGGGTGGAAAGGGCGTGTCAAAGGGCAGCCCTTTCAAGTGACATCTACCATCTCAGAATGTAGGGCCTTCTTATACTCCTAGAGATCCCTGAGGGCCCCAAAGAACTCTTGTTTATTTAAGCTCTGCCTGTTGATACCATATTTAGCATTAAAAATAAGACACTTAAACTTTCTATTCATTTTATAATACTTAAAATGATCAGCCCTTACATATTAACCATATTTTATGGGACCTATTTCCCAAGTTCAAAACAATTTAATGAGAAAGGTGACACGGTTTTTTGTAAATCTCTGTCTGGCTTAGCTGGCAGCTGTTGGTTTCTCCCATCTACTTCCCCTTCAGGTGGTACTGTCATTGTCATTTCGCTTCTGGAAAACTTGTCAGTATAGCTCTGAAAATGATGATGAAACTGTAAAATGCATTAGTGTTGTGTGGTAGTTTTGATTTGGGGACCCACACACCCTTTGGTAACTATTGCTCTTGACTATTGATTAGAAACAGTCCTGTTGAGAGTCAGTTTTAGAAAATAATGGATTCTCAACACCTCAGAAAGTAGATTTCTTTTATGAAGATAGGCAGTGTCTTTAAACTACTTTTATTGGCTCAATGAATTTTTTGCCTTTGGGGAAAAGTATGGAATAGGTGAGTTGTCAGTTGCGAGATGATGTTTTAGTGGATAGTCCTCAAAGTGATGTGAGCTGGGGACTGCCATTTTATCAAGAGGCTCAGGATGGGACCAGGTTCCTGCTGCAGCCTTTTCATGGAGGAGTCTGCTGGGAGTAGCGCAGTAATTATGCGTATGAACTGACACTTGACATTTACTGTGGGATGTGCTTTCATTTATGCACAGCCTCTCTGGATCCAGCAACACCTCTGTTGCAGAAGTGAAACTGAGGGTCTGGACAAGGGTGAAAGTAACCCACATCTGTGGGACTGTGGAATCTTACAAGTCTTTAAGATATGAAATGAGGAGAACTGAAAGGAATAAACTCCTGTGTATGCTGAGAGGACAATGAGTTAAAACCATAACCAGCACAGATGTTCTTGGAGCCTAGACAGGCAAAATAGACATAAAGGCATAGGGTGGCAAGTGGGGCAGAGGAGGGGAGGGGTGTCCCCAGTGATTAGAATTATTAATAGCTACGGGATCCACAGACTCCATGTTCTTTGCTTGCAGGGCTATCTGGGAGACACCAAGAAAGGACTCTCAAGTGGTCAGTTATCAGCCCAGGAATACCAAGTTTCCTGGTGAGCACAAGAACCTGTGCACAGTAGTGATCCTTGAGGCCTGGTGGGTGACCTTAAAGCTATAGTCACCCATTTAGGGTCTTGGGTGTTCTGGGATTGTGGAAGAAATGATGAACGAGCCTCACATTTTTCGTACTTACCCTTGATAAGTGAATTTAGGGTGACCGTTTGTGGTTCCTGGCGACTGCTTAGGAGAGTTGCAGTTTCCTCCGCCTGAGTTACCACTGAGGTCACAATCCTATGCTTGCACCAGACTCGACAGGAAGGAATCCTCCAGATCCAGGAAGTTTGGAGGCCTTGCGCTGGGCCTGGCTAAGGCATCAATCCTCAAAGCAGTTTTTCTCTAACAAGTTGTTACTGTTTGTCTTTGTGTCTATAAAGTAGTAACACCTTAAGTTTAAAACACCAAGCTTGCTGATTTTCCTTTTGTTCTTGTGAGGAACTTAATGTATGGCACCTTTGCTTCATTGGAATGATTGACTGACTTTGTGATTTGGTAAATAGCAACACATTGAATTAGTAGCCAAAGGCCTTAAATACAATTTGTACTGTTGAATCAGATTCTGTATAGATGCTAAAATAAATGCAAACTCTGTATCTTAGTCTTCATGGTGGACCCAGACCTCAGTGTGTGATGGTAAGCATAGCTTTTACTGCTGCAGACCTTGGGGTCCCATGTGAGTCTCACGACATCAGTCTGTTGCTCGGGTTATCAAATGGTCTGCAAGCAGCTGCCACTGAGGATGAGAGCCAAAAGCTTTCCAGTTTCTGGATATTGTCTGAATTCTAGGCATGTTCTAGTTAGTTGACTCTATTACGTTAACAAAAACTGAGGAATAGAAGAGCTTTTCCTGGGGGTGTCTTTTCATTTTTAGTGAAGAGCTTTAGCTTCTTCTCAGCCCCTCATCCACATGACAAAGCATCCATGAGACAGAAGAAAACATAAGGTTAAACTTTGGCCTGGCCTCAGAATGATCAGAAACTGAATTAGAGTCCCCTGCGATATTTATTATAGCACTGGGTATAATTTCTGATTGGCAGGTTAGAATCGCTTCAAAATTAAAGTTGTTAGGGGCTCAGCCTCCCTTATGGAGGCTTTTCTTTTCCTCTCTGCTTAACCTCTGCTCTTTCATTCAAAAAAAAAAAAAATTAAAGTTGTTTTAAATATTGTGTTGGGGGAAACTGAAGTTTGAAAAACATGTTTTGGCACCAGGTTGGGAGAATAAATAAGCACTGTGTGCTGTCTTTTTTAGTTAGAGTCATGGCTGTTTTCTGAGGTTGCCAGGATCAGAGTGATTATAGTAGCTTCATCATGCTTGTCTGTTGCATTTCAAAGGGCCTTAGAGACTGATCTGTAAGCTTGTGTAATTAGAAACCTTTAAATGTATGTGTTTCTGTTATTCTGGTGGAGTTAGAGTAGTAACCATTGAACATTCAAATACACAGTGATTGTAAAGTCATATATCACTAATATTTAAAATTTTTATAAGTAATATTTAACCAACATTTTAGGAGGATATGTTTTACATAGTTTTAAGAAATAAGCTGTGAATGTTTTTGCTGAGTCAGGGAATCTGAAGAGAATTTGGAGGTGTTATAGACTACTTGTAGAGGAATTTGAAGTCTGACAATTCAGCATAGATGCTGTTCCCTTGCATATACCTATAAATTTTTAAACTAGTAGGACTGGCATGCAGCCCAAGTTCTCCAAGGGGATTCCATGGCCCTGGAAGTCCCTTGAAGTCCTCCCTAGAGCTAAGAAGTCAAAACTTTTTACAATAATAGTCCAACCTGATGAGCCTCCCCCAGTCCAAAGGGACCCTGTGTTCTCACTGTGCACTGTATGTGTATAATATGCACTTCCCTTAAGAACGTCTTTGATGAAGCAGTACTAGTATTAATTTCATTAAATTTTAACCCTGTTCAGCTTTCCCTGTGAAGAAATGGTAAGTCCACCCAAAGCACTTGGGCGGCCTCTCCTTGCAAAAGCAGACACATGGCAGCTGTTAGGCTCAGTGTTAAGTAGGGATATTCTCTGAAATGAATGATATGAATCACAGGAAAAGCAGTTGTATACTCTTGCTAAGTAAAATTTATGCTTTCAAGTGGAAATTGGAATTTTGGGAAACTTGTATCTGCCAATGTGAGCTTGATGGCTTTATAGTAACTAAGCACACCTGAAGAGATTGAAGCTGACATTATTAACAAGTGCCTTTTCTTATTTATTTGTCATTTATTATTTGTGGGACTGGGGTTTGAACTCAGGGCTTTGTGCTTGGAAAGCAGGCACTCTACCACTTGCCACTCCTCCAGTCCATTTTGGAGTTGGGGTCTTGCAAACTATTTGCCCTTTGTGCCAGCCTCAAACCACGATCCTCCTCATCTCAGCCTCCCAAGTAGCTAGGATTACAGCTGTGAGCCACCAGGGCCTGGCCCAATTGCCTCTTCTTATATCAGTCTGCCTGAAATTCAGTGAGCCAGTTTTTTCTAAATGACTCACAGGACTGTGGGTAAAAGATTTAATTCAAGGTGACAGAACAGTGGGTTTTAATGTAAGAAAGTTCATTGATCTTGTTTCTGAATGCCCAGTTGTCTGAAAAGATTGTTAAAATACTCTTTTCTAATGACATAACCGGTTGTAAAGCAGGACTCCATGTTTCAACCAAAATCTTGACATGGCAGTAGATAGAATGGAGAGTATGTATGAAAATTTAGCTGTCTTCTGAGGGGGTTTTGGGAGCAGGGGAGGTGGTAACAGGGTTCAAATGCAGGGCCTTGAACTTGCTGGGCAGGTGGTCTACCACTTGAGCCACACCTCCAGCCTGTCTTCTATTAAGCTGGAAATTTGCAAAAACATTAAACAGCATCACTCTTTTTTTTCTTTTTGGTGGTTCTTGGGTTTGAACTCAGGATTTCACACGTGTGAAGCAGGCACTCTACCACTTGAGCCTGTCCTCTAGTCCAGCACCACCACTTACAACACTAATTTTTTTATTGTAAAAATAACATTTTTTCACTAATAAAATGTTAATGTGTGATGAAATTTTTGTTGTTGGGACCGGGGTTTGAACTCAGAGCTTTGCACTTACAAAGCAAGTGCTCTACCTCTTGAGCCACACCTCCAAGTCCATTTTGTTTTGGTTATTTTGGAGATGGGATCTGGAAAACTGTTTCCCCAGGCTGGCCTCAAACCTCTATCCTCCCAATTTCAGCCTCCCAAGTAGTTAGAATTACAGGGGTGAACCACTGGCATCTGGTTATGTGTAATGAACTTAAAAAAAAAAATCAATGTTTAAAACTTTGGGTATACCAGTAGATACATTTCACATAAATGAAAGTTGAAGTCCTCAACTTTTAAAGAGAATAAAGGGATGCTAAGACCAAAAGATTTTGAGAGTAGCCGCCCAAGAATGCTGTGAGCCACATCCCCTGTTCCTGGTGTAATTTTTCAGCACGTGTTGGCATCAGTCACTTTGCAGGCTCCATTCTCAAGAGAACTGTTGAGAAATGTTGGCTTTCATTTACGTATTTTTTTCAATGCTGAGATTTGATAGCATTACCTCTACTTCTGGTTGTAGAGAATTGACCAGATTTTACCTGAGGCATATGCTACTTAAAAATGCAGGAAGATTGTAGATTCAGCACCCTCAGAGATAAACTGCAGGTTATCCCTCCCAGGTTCACAAGTGCCCCTCCCTCTTCCTTTGTGGGGAGGAATTGTTTTCTGTGTGCTTAGCATGAAACTTATCAGGACTATTTTTACCTTTACTTTGTGCCTGGATTTTATTTGTTTTCTTCAGCCTTGATACATGTGTATTTTTAATTTCACAAGCCAGCTGAAATTTTACATTTGGTTTTCTCTGTTGGCAAAATAATGAAATGAAAACAACTTTGCAAACATGAAATGGTCTATCCTGAATGCCCTTTATCTCATTCTACTTAACAGGAATAGCTGCATTTTTCTTCCTAATTAAAATTCAGAATTCAAATCCAGATACATGCTTACTTTTCAAGTTCACATGTAAATTCAATTTTTAGAAATGATTTTTTATTTTTAGAAATGATTTCTCTGTCTTTATAAATAAATGCTCAGTGTTACCAAATATGAAAGTTTATTTCTAAGAAGTTTCTGAACCTTCTAAACTGGCTTTTTGTGGGTGGGTCTCCACATGGAGGTCATGTAAGCTATTCAGAATAGGCAGCAGGTCTGAATGCCGCTGTCCCTTTAAAGGGGGATGGAATGCTTGTCCTTTGTCTTGGGTCACCAGGGAGACCACAGTTATCTAGAAGGCAGTTGGAGCCAGGCAGAGGAGGTGAGAGGTAGGCTCTGCTCATTGACTTGGGCCGATGTGCTGTAAATGTAATATTCAGGACCTGACTAGAAGCAGGCATCCTGAGTGAGTGTTTAGATTATGGTTATTTGAAAGAGGAAAGATGGAAAAATATTTTTTAAAAACATAGATAAACCATATCACATTGATGTTTGGAAGCATAAACATTAGTCTTGTTAGTCTTTCATTTTTTAGTTTTTTAATTAAAATGATGATGCAGCTGTAATACTGATTTTTAAAATACCTAATTTTGTTGTTTAGCCTTTCCAGTTTTAATTGTGTTTCTCTGTTCTGTTGGGTTTGGTCCCTCTCACAAGTAGGCTTGGTCCATCTCACAAGTAGGCTCACATTTGGAGAGTCTGATTCCGGATTGCCATCTTAGAGCCCTTTTCCTTGGTGCCTCCCCCCACCTTCCTCGCCTGGGGTAGACCCAGACTTAGTGCTGCTCCTCCCTAGGGTGTCCTGGCCCTTCTTTCCAGAACACACTAACAGCACCTGCCATTGGCTCAGAGTCCTTAAAAGACTCACTTGAGCACTTTTTTTCTGACTCCCCAGATGCCTTTGTCGGTCACTCAATAATAGATTATAGGAAAATCTGGTGTGTCTCTTTTTTTAATTGTTAGTAACAGTTACCTAAGATCTGTAACATGTTTTCATTTTCCTCTAGGAGCTCACTCTGGAGCAGTCTGTCTACAGTCCAGACTGTTGTTGGAAGCTTGAATCCTCTCACTCCTGAGTGGTGACCGACGGCAGTGTGGTGAGGCCTGGTCATCTGCTAGACCTGATTGCCAGATTTTATGTTATATTTAGGGTTTCGGCAAAAGGTGTCCAAACTTCAACACTGGGCAGGTAAATCTTCAGTGGTGTTAAAATAGTAGCAAGAAAATATTAATAAGTTATATTTTCTGTATTTAAAGTGACTTTAGCCGGGTGCTGATGGCTCACACCTAGAATCCTAATTACTCAGGAGGCAGAGACCAGGATCAGGGTTCAAAGCCTGCCCGGGCAAAGAATTCATGAGACCCTACCTCAAAAAGAACTCATCACAAAAAAAGGGTGTGGAGGGCTGGTGGGGTGGCTCAGGGTGTAGGTCCTGAGTTTAAGCCCCAGCACCACACACACACACACACACACACACACACACACACACACACACACAAAATGACTTAATTGTTAAAGAAACAGGTATAAGTTATGTATCATTAGCTGGGCACTGGTGACCAGTAATTCTTCCTACTTTCGAGGCCTTAATGTGGCGGGGAGGGAGTTTGAGAGACCCCATCTGAACCCATAGCTGAGCATGGGTTGTCATTTCAAGCTGTGAGTACTGTCACCAGGCTGAACCCATCTGTCCACCCCCATGGAGGTGCCCTGCCCATGCAGGTCCTTCCAGGGAGACTTAAGAAGTTTACACTCTGACTTGGAATTACTGTTGGCATCTTCTTAGATGAAAGAAATGATTTGGTTCTTACCTCAGCAGCTTCTGAGTAACTTGGAATACGAGGTCAAGCATACGGGGTGATGGAGGTCAACATCAGGCAGTCACTATGACTGACAGACAACTACAGGGTGTGACAAAATATAAGGAAGGGGGAAAGTTGGGTTGCTCGTACTTTTTAATTCTTTGTATTTTGCATTTTTAGGGTTTTCATGTTATACCAGTCCTTCCTTGAATGGAGCACTGTAAAATTGGTCGTCATTAGCATCTAAATGTGATCAAAGCCTTGGAAGCTAGGAAAGGAATTCTCAAGGTATTCATTTTTTTTCTCAGTTTTATTATTTAAAATAAGAACAAGAGTGTCACGGACATCCTTTAATCTTTTATAAAGAAAGTGAAAGAAGACAGAAGGTAGACCATTGCCTAGGTCATTGGGTACAGTGGACTAAAACATGACTCATGCCTTGTCTCATTCCTGTGAGATCAGGAATCTGGGCAGTTCTTTTCTCATTTGTTGTCCACAAGGGTTACTCCATACTCAGCTGACAACAGGGCCCAAGTCTGTCCCTCCTGGGCCAGGCCCTGGGGGTTAGAGGAGTAGGGACAAAAGTCAGGGCTCCAAAGTCCAGAAAGGACTTTGCCAGTCCTTTCAAAGGCTAGGCCCAGAAGAAGCACAGCATTGAGTGTCCTGTGTTGTGGGACTGTTGTGGCCTCTAGCGTCACCCAAGGAGTCTGTCCACCTCATCAGTCATGTCCTGGTGCTGCTTGGCTGCTCCTTGTTTGATAAGTTTCCTGCCCATTTTGTAAAGCTATATCCTGTGCAAGTAAATGACAAAATCATACACTGGATATGTTGGCTAAATTTTTTTTTACTCAACATTTGCTCTGTAATTGTTAGAATTTCTTCATGAGTTTCCTCACATACCACACCTTAGGAAACATTGGTCAGAAGTGCTTAGTTTATGTGCATCTCCACTTTTGTAAGTAGAAACTTGTCCCATTTCATCACTTTTCAGAATTTGAGTTCAGAGGCACCTCTTGTGATCTGGCTACTCAGTGGCTTGTTGGTCATGGTGTGATTGCCTTTCTGTCATTAGGTATGGATGATAAAGGAGACCCAGCCAATGAGGAAGCACCTAAGGCTATCAAACCCACAAGTAAAGAGTTTAGGAAAACATGGGGTTTTCGGAGAACCACGATTGCTAAGCGTGAGGGTGCAGGGGATGCTGAGGCTGACCTTGCCGAGCCACAACCCCAGCAACACAGCCTCTCTCTGCGCCGCAGCGGGAGGCAACCAAAGCGCACTGAACGGGTAGAAGAGTTTCTTACCACAGTTCGGCGTCGAGGAAGGAAAAGTGTGCCTGTCTCCCCTGAGGACTCCGGTGAGCCTGCATCCTGTCCAGTCACTGATGTGGAGACTGCCTCAGAAGGGAGTGTCGAAAGCAGCTCTGAGATTAGAAGTGGCCCAGTGCCTGGCTCCTCAGGAGTGAAGGAATGCCCCACCTCTTCTGAAAAGGCCAAAGGAGGTGATGATGAGGAAGACACCTCTGATAGTGACAGTGATGGCCTTACTCTGAAGGAACTTCAGAATCGCCTTAGAAGAAAACGAGAGCAGGAACCAGCAGAGAGGCCCCTAAAAGGCATTCAGCATCGCCTGCGGAAGAAGCGTCGAGAGGAGGACCCCACAGAAACTGTGGACGAAGAGGCAGGCAGTGCTGGCAAGGATGCCCTGCCCCACAAACAGGAGCCTGAGAATGGCCAGGGGGCTGTCTCTCAGTCAGTGGAAGGTGATGGAGAGAGTCAGTCAGAGGGGACAGTGGTTCAAGAAACTGAAGATGAAGGCCCCGGCGACATAGGCAAACCTAAGCCTGAATGTGAGGTTTATGACCCCAATGCCCTGTACTGCATCTGCCGACAGCCTCACAACAACAGGTACGCAGAGGGAGGGAGGTTGCTGCTGCCTTCAGAGAAATCTAAGGGATGAGACCACTGAGAGGATTTTCCAGTAGCTTTGATGTTCAGAGTGTCAAGGCTGGGCTGGATGGGCAATTAGTTCCATTGAAAAAAGAAAGATGAACAAGTCACTGCAAGAGAGAATAGGTGCATGTGGAGTGCCTGGAGCTGCCCTCTCCACCAAGATGGCCATGAGTGCCATGTGGTCACTTCAGCCATGAGCAGCCAGTGGCCATTCTGTAGACTTGAGAAACAGCAATTGTCCTGGAGGTCCCTTTGGGACTGCCACTGCCCTGGACAGTTCTATGGGACTGTCCAGACTGATTGGACTCAGTGTGGCATCTTTGCTAGGGTTGGATACTAGATGGTGATGGGGTAGCCCTATGGACTTGTTAGTGGGATAATGGTGTCTTATGTTGTGTGTAGATACACGCTGGAGCCTGTAGTTCATGTAGTTTTTTTGCAATGTTAGGAATCAAACCCCAGGCCTTCTTGTACATGCTAGGCAAGTGCTCTACACACCAAACTACATCCTAGCCCTCTAGTTCACTCTTAAAATGTTTCAGTTGAAGACAGGCACCATTGACTCACTCCTGTAATCCTAGCTACTTGGAAGGCTGAGATAGGGAGGATTGTGGTTAGAAGCTAGCCTCAAGAGACCCTGTCTCAAAATACTCACACATAAACATGGCTGGAGGGGTGGCTCAAGTGGTAGAGCGCCTGCCTAGCAAGCATGAGGCCCTGAGTTCAAACCCCAGTACTGCCAAAAAATAAATAAATAACCAGAGCAAAATGAATTGGAGATGTGGCTCAAGAGGTAGAGTGCTTGTTTGCAAGCATAAAGTCTTGAGTTTAAGCCACAGTCCCATCAAAAAAAAAAAAACACCCCACTTTAAGTTGAAATATGAAGCAAATTTGACTGAATGCTTTCTCGTGTATTTGCATTTTTTTCATAAGTAGAATGTTAACCAGTTTAACAGCAGTATGTTGGAAAGCGACTTACTATTCTTCCCATTCCTGATACCATCATTGTATCATTTCAGATTTATGATCTGCTGTGACCGATGTGAGGAATGGTTCCATGGTGACTGTGTAGGCATTTCTGAGGCCCGAGGGCGGCTTTTGGAAAGGAATGGGGAAGATTACATCTGCCCTAACTGCACCATTCTGCAAGTGCAGGATGAGACAACTTCAGAAGCCACAGATGAGCAAGAATCTAGATGTAGACCTGGAGGTGCTGACGGCACAGACTGTACAAGCATAGGGACGGTAGAGCAGAAGTCTTGTGAAGACCAGGGGATAAAAGGTAGAATTGAGAAAGCTGCAAATCCCAGTGGCAAGAAAAAACTCAAGATATTCCAGCCTGTAAGTATTTGTCTGCCAAGACAACACAAAGGGGTTCACCTTATACATGTTCAGGCTTGCTGTTGGTTGAGACACCAAAAAACTGGGGCGGTTTCTTTCCTTTGGAATACTTTAAACTCTTGCTGGGCCAGCACTGTTTCTGACATGGGTAGGCTCTGGCAGGAAAATATCTTATACTCTGTATCTTTCTTTATCTCATACCATCCTGTTGGTACCTTTTACTATCTCCCCCCATACTGTTAATGACTTTTAAAAATTAACCTTTTCTTTATTATGAGTGTGTTAGCAGATTTGTTGAGGGAAAAGTGTCTCTGTCCCTCTCAGATCTTGAGCCAAATGGTGGTCATGTGTAGGCAGTCCTCATGACCTGTGCTCACACTCACTTCTCTGCCTGGCTCTATTTGTTCCAATTTCCTTCCCGCCTGGTGTGGTGCCCACCCAGGGCCATGACTGCTAATTTCTGACAGACCATCAGATTTTGCTGCTAAGAAGAGCTATTTCCTGTCGTTACGTGTCTCCATTCTAGTTCCCGTGATGGGCAGTACTCCTAAATTTTCACTCTCGTCCTTCCTGTATTCCCAGCCTAGCCCACTTCCATCCTCCAACAGGTGTAGGGTCTGCAGAAAGTTCAGGATGCTATGTCTGAAGCATCTTTGCCTAACTGTATTAGCTATGAAGTGAAAGTCCGAGAACCGGGCCATTGAAATTGGTGTGTGGTGTGGCATTACATGAGAATGTGATGGGAACTGTTAAGACCACATTTAGTCAGAACAGTAATCAGTTCCATGTTTCTGTTGCCAAAATGTTTGTCATGTCTGTGTTTTATTCCAAGTAATGTTTAGATTGTTAAATACTTAAGAAATGAAATTTTGCTGTAGTAAATGTGAGAGATGTACCTTGTGTGTCATCTTGACTGCTGTGATTATAAGCAGATAGAGCCGAGTGTGCTTGTAGTGGTGTCCACATCTACTGCCACAAAACAAATCACCACAAACCTAGCTTAAATACATATTCATGCTCCCTGCTTCCATGGGTCAGAGCCTAGCACAGTGCAACTGGGTCCTTGGCTGCAGGGGCTGTGGTCTTATCAGAGGCTGGACTAGAGACAGTCCCCTTTGAAAGTTCTCACGTTGTTGGGTGTGTCCCATACAATTTTTGTGGAATAGTTACACTAAAAAAACCTGTTCTTTGAAACTCAAATTTTGTTTTTGTTTCAAACGGGGTCTCATTATGTAGGCTAAGGCTGGCCCCAGACTTGCAGTCCTCCTGCCTCAGCTTCCTGAGTGTTGGGATTGTAGGCATGTACCACCATACCCAGAGTTGTGATTCAGATTTAATTGGGTGTCCTGTACTTCATTTGGCAACCTTACTCTCACATCCTAGCCAGGGATGACCTCTCTCTCAAAGACAGCTTACCTCAGAACCAGCCATGAAGTATTCTCTTTGGGAAAGGGTCAGTCCCTCTTTTAAGAATTTTCACCTGATTAAGTTGACCGTTTTGACTAAATTATGTCATTTGAGACCTGCATGTTTGCCCTATAGTGGAACCTAATTGTGGAATGTGGGTGTGAAACCCCATCCTGCTTGAGCCTCACTCATGCTCAAGGGAAGGAATATACAGAAGGCATGTGTCACAGCACACAAAGGACAGTCAACATGTAAACGTGTTAGGCGTGGGGAATTAGATTTGTGTTGTTTGCGTAAACAAAGATACTGTTTTTGGAGCTGGTCTTGCTAAGTAGTCCAGGCTGGCTTCCATCTTGGGATCCTCCTGCCTATGCCTCCTCAGTGCTGGGATTACAGGCACATGCCACCACATTCAAATAAAGATAACATTTCTATTCATATTAAAAGCACTGTTAGTGTCTCTCAATTAAAAAGTGACATGTCACATAGAGCTCTTAACTGCTGATGTTGACACATTGTCTGAAGTAATCTGTTTCATTCTGCAGGTTGTAGAGGCTCTTGGTGCTGCAAGGTGCATTGGCCCTGGGTGCTCCAATGTGGCACAGCCTGACTCAGTTTACTGCAGTAATGACTGTATTCTCAAACATGCAGCAGCTACTATGAGATTTCTAAGTTCAGGTAAAGAACAAAAACCAAAACCTAAAGAAAAGGTCAAGATGAAGCCAGAAAAACTCAGTCTTCCCAAATGCAGTGTTCAGGTAAGCTGACCACAGTCACTGCTGGAGCCATTGAAGTAGAAAGTGTGCACAGTGCTCTTCCCCTAAGCTTGCTTTTGTTTGCTTAAGAAGTGTAGAGGACAGGAAGTGTCAACCTGCAGATCATACCACCTTTACTTCTGTCTTTCCTCATTAGCTGCGGGATTAACGTGAGTGGAGTAAAGCAAGTGCAGACACCTTTGCCCAAGTTGGTGTCCGCCTGACGCCTGACAGAGTCTGCATGCAAAGTCCACTCCAGGGTAGTGTAGGCAGGATGCAGTTTCTCTGTAAGGCTTTGCACCTCGTTTACGAGAACTCGGAACTGTCATCTTCTCAGTGATTTGAGGAGAGCCAGGGACTGTTTTCTTAGACTGGAGGCACTTGATAAGACTCTTGAAAGTGCTGCCACAGTCCCATTCATGGTAGCAGCAAATGATTATCCTGTTCAGGGAGCTGTCTTGATTATTTTCAAATACTTTCCTGCGTTTAGATGATTTCATTTTTATGGCTGATGATTTTGGGTCCTAGAACTGCCGAAGAAGCAGTTGCTGCATGCAGTGAGAAGGGTGGCAGTTGTGAACACTGGAAGCTGACCATGGTTTCCCAGTCCCTAGACTTTGAACTGAGAAGGCAAATGCTATTCCTTCTCCTCCTCCAAGTCACTGCCCCTTCCCTCCAGGTGCTCAGTACCTCCTCATGCCCACATGCAGGCCCTTTCCACTTTGCTCTTGGCTTGTTTCATTGCCTCGGCAAGTGGTTTATTCTTCTAACAGCAGTCTTGTGCCTCAGCAAGGTTACGGACAGTTCTGTGTCAGGGACCTTCACATCACCAAAATAGTTAAATCCCAAATGTTAGGTGAGAATGCTATGGATTGCTGTGTGTGTAGACACAGCACACTGAGTGAGTGGTGTGGAGACCCAGGATGGGTTGAGGGGTCCTAAGGTGCCCTGAAGAAGAGGTAGTGTTGTAACATTCATTGCTTAATGAGATGAGGCTCAGGTGTCATTCCTGACCTTAATGATTTGGGGTTTCACTGATTATCCAGGCAGGGATTAAAATCTCTTCTGTGCACAAGAGACCAGCGCCAGAGAAAAAAGAAAACTCAGCAAAGAAGATGATGGTGGCCCCTCCTAGAAACGAGTCCACAGGGAAGGAGGCGACCTATGAGAGCAGCACGCCATCCTGGGCGAGTGACCACAACTACAATGCAGTGAAGCCAGAGAAGCTTGTTGCACCCTCACCCGCACTGTTGTGTAAATGTACGTATGCCCAGGGACTGGCCTCCAGGGCCTCCCACAGTCTCTGCATAGCTGCCTGGGGCTGACCAGAACTGCAGGCACAGCTGTGTTTAGTGCTGGTGGTAGATGCCGGTTTGCTCATTGCCAGCCGGAAGCAAAGCCTGAGTCCAGGAAGCCTCCGACCTGGGCACTCATCCCTAGCCTGTGAACTCCTGGTATTTTCCAAAGTGCTGTGCGAGCCTCACTGCTGAGTGCCTCGCCTTGGTGATGTGATTCTTTGACCTCCAGCTCCAGTTTGGGGCCCTGGTAAGTATTGGCATTGCCTCCAGCGAAACCGGACTGCACTGGAGCTGCCCTGAGACCAGATCCGCCGCTCTCCAGGCATCAGCTGGTTTATCACAGCCCCAGCCCTGCGTAAAACTTGAGCTTCCCACCGTGCCCAATTTCTGCATGTAGAGTCATCACTACTGTGTGCTGCGGGCGTCGCTTCCTGCAAACTAGTGTTGTAGACGATAGATAGCTGAGATGTTATTTCCAGTTCACGTGCTGCACACCCATGTGCACCGATTCTGAGGGCCATTTCTTCAGATGCCATAGTGAGTGAGCAGGATGGCCTTTTCACGCAGAGCATTGCCCTAGCTAAAGGGAGGAACATGGGCTGATGTCATAAGGTGGGAGCTTCCTGAATCTCAAGTGTTTACTGTTAGCCTGTCCCAGATTCCAGATTAATGAAATGAAGAAACTTCAAGTAGATCTTTAAAGCCCCAGATAAATCATGCCACTTGGATCCATTCTTGTTTCTCATCCTTCACAGGGCACATTTTAATTTTGTCAAAAAACTATTTCCAAGTCAATTTTTATTTATGCTCTCTTTATAATGCATTTTGTGCCTTTTTTTTAATTAAAGGCACAAAAAAGCTAAATAGCCCTGGATTCCAAGAGTGTGTAGACTACCTGTACTACATTTGTACCCTTTTAGCTGTCCTGTCATCAAGCCACCCAAGGGAGGGTGCTTGTGTGGAAGTGCTAGGTCTCATGTAATTAAGAGAATGAGATTGTAGCCAGGCATGGTGATACAAACCTGTAATCTCAGCATTCAAATGACTGAGGGAGGAGAATTACAAGGTCAAGGCCAACCTGGGCTGCAAAGTGAGAATCTGTCTCAAAAACAAAGAGGCCCAACATGTAGGAAATGGAATCTCAGATGTTCTTCACATTACAGCGGCTCTACAATATCAGTTTTACAGCCCTAATGACTAAACTTGAAAACGAGCACATTCTACTTAAATGGGTCGGGGACAGCCACTTTTTAATACTGGACTAAAGTGCTTTAAGTTGTTTATAGGCACATTAGAATAAAGGAAAGAAAAACCAGGGGTATAACCACAGCACAGAGAGTTGGGTTGATGCTTTCAGTTCAGCTTACAGGCAGGCTGCCACTGAAACTTGAGGGTGATGTTTTAGGAGACTCCTTGCACTGGAGAGAGGAAAAGTTGGTCTGGAGGATGGGGAACGGTGAACTAAAATCTTGAATTACTGTCTCCTGCCTCATTCTCAAGGGGAAGGGCAAGGGATGGCAGGAGCTCAGAGGGGGTCAATGAGGAGGTCAGTTTCAGTGCTTCGGAGTTCTTTCTCTTGGACCCTTCCCACTTCTTGTCTTCTGCCATTGACTCCTCAGTGGAACTGATAGGCTCTTATGGCAGGATGTTGGGACAAATTAATGACTGATTAATCTTTTCAGCACACTAGCATCTCAAAATTAAAATAGATGATATCCAAAATATAGCAGGCACATGTTTCTGAGCTTATTGCTTCTGATCTTTTTTCTGTTATCCCAAAAATGTTATCTCTGTAAACAGTGGTTGGGAGAAGAATAGGTTCATTGGTGAAATAACCTGAATCCAACATGGGTGAGCAGTGGTACCATGTCTCTGCCTCTCTCCCTCCAAACTTTGCTCACTTTTGTGGTAGCAGAGTGCATTCCCCTGCACCCCCTTCCTTCCCCCCCTCCCCACACACAGTGGAGGGGCACCACACACAGCTTGTTGTATTATATCCTAAGGACCCTGGCCTGCCCTCCCTACTGGCTGCAGAACACACTGGTGGGATGGGGGACTCAGACTGAAGCCAAAACTGGGAATACCTCCCACCACTTTCTTGTGAGTTGATCCACGTCGGGCTCACCATACACTGTGAGAAGATCCTGGTGGCAGAGTTGAGCTGCTACAGCTGCTCTGGGAGGTGCCACAGCTGCCTCCTGCCCTCACAGCACTGGTGCTGCCTTCAGGGTGGATGCAGGCAGGCGGACTGCCCTGCGAAGGAAGCGCTGCTACTCCATACTCCAGGTGATAATGATTTCACGCACAGTTGTTCCTCTGATTTGCTTTTTTAAAAATTGTTTTCTAGAGTTTCTGTACAATTTCCTTAGTTTATAGAAACAATTGTCATTTTAAAAATGTCTCCCAAAGATTCTTATGCTTTTGTTTTTATGTCCCTTTTTTTTTCTTTTTATTCCCACTGTTTACCTCTCGGTATTGTTAAGGCATGAAGTGGGTTAAACAAGTGTTCCTGGTTTGTTAGTTTTGAAATGGAATTCTGGTATTTAGACTTCTTTGCACAATTCCTAGATTTTGGACTCACTAAATGGCTCATTAAGTGACTTAAAACACTGGGAATGTGAGTGGGTTTTGACAGGAAGACAGCTCATCTAACTGTGGGAACTAAAATGGGAAACCTTGGCAGAGCCAAATCCTGGTGGTTGGCTGTGCATCTTCCCCCAGGGGAAACACTTCTCTCAGTGATGCATGCACACCACAGAGACACCCAGGTGGTGCAAGACGAACCAGGGAGGACATGGGGTTTCACTAGGGTGCCTCAGACTGGCTCCAGAAGCACATTTCATTGAACCATAGATGAACACATTCCCTATGATGAATACATGGGATACTAGATCCCACGTGTGTTTCATAAACACGGGGGTGGGGGGTCGTGTTTTACCAGCTGCATGAGCCGTTTATCTGTCTCCTCCAGAGCTGTTGGTGGCAATAAAATGAGGGTGAGAGAACCAGACTTTGTACACCTAAACCTCCCAATTGGGGTGGGGGAGTGCAGAACTAAAATTTGTACTGATAAAGGATTTAGCTTGACAACTTTTTAAATGTTATCCATGCAGCTGAAATTTTCTTGAGTTCTTAATTCTTTTGGTATTTTAATGTGTTTTGTTTCTTATGAACTTGAAAGAACTTAAAAAACAGTCTCACTGTTCAGAAAATGAGGTCACATCTCAGTAAAGTACCTACCAGGTGAGCCCTCTCACCATCCTGCAGCAGCACCCTCCAGTCTGCCCTCAGCTGCCCCCTTCCTCTTTGTACTTCCGTCCCCCTGACTAGGGAGGTGGTGATGGGGGGTGCAGGTGTCCAGTGGGGGTCCTACTCAATTCACTTGTTCAGTGACCTTTAACTTTTTGGAGCTGTGGATCTACTGTTTAATTCTCTTAAGATTAATACTCCAGGGGAGTTCCTTTGAGCATTACCAATGTCATGGTGCAAAGGTCACCTCTGAAGAAAGATGCCTGCTCTAATTCTTCAATATGGTACACAAGTTTCAAGTATACTTATATAAAGTTGTAAAATACTTAGTATTTTTTTGTTGTTACACATCAACACGCACATAGTTTCAGTCTTAGCTTCTAAAAGCTGGAGAGAGAAACTTAGAAGATTGATTAGAATGTTTGCTACTTTGTTAAAATGAAGGTTGGGGGTAACATTCATTTGCCACAAGCCTGGAAGAGTTCGTCAAGAAGAACATAAGGTAACTGCATCCTCTTCACCTGGGGTCTCCACAGCGCTCTGAGCTTTGGGGTTTTCACACTGAGTATGACCCTTTGGGTTTGGAGGGCTCTGGGGAGGAGGGTAAGTGGACTATTTCAACATCCTCCTGTCATACTGGTTTAATAAGCAATTTAGGCACAAGAAGTGATGGTGTCAGTTAAAACTTAACCTACTAAAGTAGTGCCTGGTGCTGGTTGGGAGATCTCAGAGAAGCAGCAACCTGCCCCATGAGTCTTGAGTTGGACAGCCCTCTGCTGTATGCTGGGCAGACTGGATGCCCACGTGGCTCTCATCACACTCCATTCTAGTGGTTCCCTTTGAAGTGTAATCTGGCGTTATTAGTATATTAGCAGCCCAACATGAATCACATTTTAGTTTTTAAGATACTATATGTGAAACGTTAAGCTAAGGAAGGGTAATTGCTTCTAGATATACAGTTGTAGTTTGTAAGTTTCTTGTGGAGAGTTAGCCTCTCCATTAAAATGGAAGAATCTCAAATACTGGCATCAGGAGAGAAAAAATTACCTAGAAGAGTTTTTCATACCCCAAAATGTGGCAGTTTAGCCAAAACTAAGTGCAGAAACATTGTGGTCACAACAGCTCTCTGAGGCACTTCCATGATGCTGTTGCTTGTGCTTTTTTTCCTTCTCCCCCTACGTCCCCACTCCCCCTGCTGAGTTTGAACTCCAGGCCTCATTCTTGCTAGGTGGGCACTCTGCCACTTGAGCCACTCCACCAGCTCTACTGGTGTTTCTTGTTATCTATGTTTCATTATCCCATATAGAAGCAAGTAACTTACTACTTAGTAAAGTTTTTTTTTTTTTTTTTTTTTAAGATAGGGTCTTGCCCTCTAGCCCGGGCTAACTCCCAACTCATGATTCTCCTGCCTCAGCCTCCCAAGTTCTGGGATTACAGGCATGTATGTGCCACCATTCCCAGCTAGAAATATAGTTTAGTTGAACATTTTTAGACATATCACAAGGAACAAAAAGATAGTCTCTTGCCACTGTCATCTTGACTTTTCAAACTAGGGGAAATCTTGACAGTGAAGAGATGGGAAGCTCCCATAGAAGCCCCTGCAGCGCTTGCTGGTGCTCTGGAGTTTGCCTGCAGGCTTGCTTTCCAGGTGCAGGTAATCACCTTTTTTATTGGCCACACTGGGAAACACCTGTGTGGAGGCAAAGGCAGTTTCCCGGCAGGGGTGTCTGGGGCAATTAGGACTGTGTAGACTTGGTATTGGGTCCCTTATTTGGGACCCTGTTCCCCTGTTGTGACTTCTACCTGGGCAATTGCACATATTCTGCCCAAACAACCGATTAGCTGGTTCCTCAGATGGAGAACCAGTTTTTTTCCCACCCCCCTTTCTCTGTTGAGGCTCACTAGTGCCACCTAGTGGTCAATGGTGTTAGAGCACCCAACTCAGCCTCCGGTGTGACAAGGCCCCGGGGTTTACAGTATCCTGCTTCCTGTGCAAAGCGACCTGCTTCATTTATCAGCTAAACCCCAAACAGTTTGATTTACACTACAAAAGAATGGCCAGCCCTGGCAGCAAGTTTCATTGGGAATGGTGGCCTAGCCAGTGGTGGGTGGGTGTGGGGGGGCCGACCCTGTAGCTAAGCTGTTAAGTGTTGGACAACTGCCTCTCCACAACCAAGCCCCAAGTCCAGGAGTGAAGAGGGATGGGTAGGTGGGGTAGGAGCTGGCACACACTGCCAAGCAGGACAGAACGCATGCTGCTCAGCAGAGTTAAGCATTCAGAGGAGGATCAGACCCTGAAGGGTATGCTGCTATGTCTACAGTAGGTATGGACAGTTATTCCTTGTGCCTCTAAGTTTATACATGGCCTAGCACACTTAAAAGTGAACTGGAAAGCCAAGTTTGAAGGTACACACCTGTAGTCCCAGCACTTGGGAGACGGAGGCAGGAGCAGCATAAATTTGAGGGCAGCTTGGGGTACATAGTTGAGACTCACAAAAAGTGAGGTGCTGGAACTGGGGATGTGGCTCAGTGGTAGAGCAGTTGCCTAGGATGCACAGGCTGTGGGTTTGGGTCCCAGGACTGCCAAAAAAATAAAATAGCAATTGTAGCTCTACTCAAGTGAAAACGAGTTCCTAACTTGCTGCATTTCAGCAGGAGCTCACTGAAGCCCACACCACTGTGCTGCTCCCACGCACAGGGGAACAAAGGTGTGTGCAGGGCCCTGGAACAGCTGTGGTGTGAAAGTGTTGGTACATTTTAAACACTCCTTCCAAAAAGTATAGTTGCTGTGTCTTTATAAGACACCAGGTAAATGAGACGACTGACCAGTTTGAGGACATTTTATCTATATTTGCTTGATAATCATTCCTATATACAATATTGGAAACGCAGGCAAGAGATCCCAAAGGTTGGCTTTTGCCAGACAGAAGCCACTGGTTCTGTGAAACCACAGCCTGGTGAGTAGGGAGCCCCTCTCCTCTTCGTAGGAGATGGAATTCAGGTATGTCTCCACCTGTGGGTGACTGATGTCTTCATAGTATTGGGAATATCCAAAAATAACCCTTGTCTTGGATTTGCCCTAGAAGAGGAAGGAGATAGACTAGTAGAACTTGGCATGTGCATCTAAAGCTTATGGTTTTGAAGCCCACTCACATTTGAAGCCAGAAAGTAGATAAACAGTAAATGTCACTGGGGATTTGTCTTTTAAGTTCTGGAAGTGCCTTAAGGCCAGCTTTGTGGAGCTTGAAGAGTGATATTAAAATTCAAGGTTTCTGTTTGTAAGCAAAAACTGATTGTTGGTCTAAATCTTCATGATTGCTGGATAGCTGTAAGCAAAAACTGATTGTTGGTCTCAATCTTCATGATTGCTGGATAGCTGTCAATCTTGTATACAACTGTACACCAGTGATGGATTCATTGTACCCCTACTCAGTGTCAAAGTTCTTTGGACATTGCTAGGTGCCTGTGGCTCATCCCTATAATCCTAGCTGCTCAGGAGGCAGAGATCAGGAGGATGGAGGTTTGAGGCCAACTTGGGCAAATAGTTCACGAGATCCTACCTTGAAAATACCTAACACAAAAAAGGGCAAATGGTAGAGTACCTCCTAGCAAGTGTGAGGCCCTGAGTTTAAACCCCACTATTGCCAAAAAAAAAAAAAAGTTTTTTGAACATTGTTCAGATCCTGTGAGCTACATCGACTTCTTGGGTGTATACTCCTGATCTGGTGGGATTGCACACCTACTCCAATTTAGGATAGGGTACCTTCTGTATTTTTTTTTTCTTTCTCTTTTGGTAGTACTAGGACCTGAACTTGGGGCTTTGTGCTTGCTAGGCAGACACTACCACTTGATCCACACCTCCAGCCGGGATGTGTTACCTTCTGATAAACCCATCATAAAATTAAAACATTGTAAGTTGGACTCATCACTTTACACTTTGTAGTATGAAAACTGCCCTGGACACAGTGCTTCTTGGCACAGAGACTACCTTTGGTAAGGGGTCATCAGTGGTATGAACTTGGACTGTGAGGTGAAGATAAAACACTTGCCATTAAAGTGATAATTAGTGAATGTAAAAACTCTAAAATTGGGAGTTAGGCATGGTGGTGCACACCTGTAATCCATCAACTCAAGGGGTGGAAGCAGGAGGATCATGAGTTTGAGACCAGCCTGGATTACATAGCAAAACCCTGATTCAAAGAAAACTCTGAAGTTGGGATTAGTGCCCATAAACACATTGTCCTAAATTGTGATTCATGTAAAAAATTGTGAAATTGAAGAGATTTATTCTACGAAGTGGGGGGAACTTGTAGCCTCTAGGCTTTGAATGTCACTTGGTGAAATGACCATGTGCCAGCGGCATAGGCTGCTGGAGAAGGGTTGGTGACCCCATGCCACTCTGGCAGTGCCCTATGGAACCCTGGGCTTGGGATACGAGGGGAGGTACTTGTGGACTCAGGTTTTACGTCTGGATAGGCTCTCAGTTCTTTCCTCAGCTTGCCAGCCTCCCTGGTATACATTGGAAAATGGTCATTTGGAGCCAGGGGAGGGGAGATGGCAATAATCACTTATTTACTTAATGATCCCTAGGTCACACTGCAGGGTGGCTGGAGCATCTGGTGCCCCCATGTAGAGTTTGAGGGTGCACTGCTGTAGGATGCTGGAGGAAAGTCCACCTAGAGTCATCTTCTCAGTGGATATCTTTCTTTTCTGGGCATTTCCCTCCCTGTCTCACCACCTGGACTCCTCGTGCTGCAATGCTGACCCCCGGTGCTGCTAGGATTAATCTTGTACCGTACAGAGAAGTTTTTGTGTATGTTGAGGCATGTTGACTCTTAGCTTTTGACCACAATCCTCATTTAGATTGTCATCTCACCATGCTGACAGAATTCCAGCTTGATAGTTTCGTGAGGACTTGCACTGTATTCTTAGCTTCTGACTCCAAGAAAATAATGCTCTCCCCACATTGCAGATGTATCATCTTTTCATGTTTTTATTAGTAATATCTTCTCCAGTTGACTTGTCCAGAAGGATGATGAAGTGACCTCCATTCAGACAAGGGTGCCAGCCTCCAAAGCCATTTTCCCCCTTGCTGAAAAGGTTTTTGAAACTCAAGCTCAGGAAAAAAATAAAGCTTGCATTCTTAATGAAATTGCTGTTCTAGGCAGGTACTTTGCCATTGAGCTACACACCCCAGCCCTGACAGTACAGGTCTAAGTCTGCCCTTTACTGATAATGTGAAATTTGTTCTTCAGTTTTACAGCTCAGCTAGTGATTACATGGAGCCATTAATAGTTTGTTGGTGAAGTAAGAAGTTTAATGCATTTTTCTTTCTGAAATAAGGTGTAGTCACTCATAACTAGACTTCTTTTCTGAATTTTAAGGTTTTACAAACAGGTTTTATATTTTCTCTAAATATATCTTAGTAGCACCCAGGAAGTGCTCACTAGTTTAAGAGTGAACATGCTTTGAAGTGAGGTGGCAGTGCATATGTCTTCCTGTCTTACTCAGCATGCCTGCCTTGTGCTTTGCAGCTGTGAAGGACGACAGGAGGGCAGAGGACAGAACAGTGGCAGCTATAGCAGCCTCAAAGAAAACAGCCACTCCAGGCTCCTTGGGCAGACAAGCTTCGCCTAGAAATCTTGTTCCAAAGAAGACCTCTCCTTTTGCTAATGTGACAGGAGCCAAACCGACCATTAAAAAGTCACCCTTAGGCTTCAAGGGCACTATCCCCAAGAGGCCATGGCTCTCAGCCACCCCACCCGGTGCTTCAGCTGCCAGACAAACAGGACCAATGCCTGTCACTGCTTCCAAAAAGCTGCCCAGCTCTGCTACTATGGTGGGAACCATCAGAAAACCAATGGCAACTAATGTACCTGCAGCCTCTCCAGCCCCAGGACGCCTTGGAGCTTCGAGCCCTGCCCCATCACAGCCAAATTCACAAATTCGGCAAAATATAAGACGCTCTTTGAAAGAGATTTTGTGGAAAAGGTGGGCTGTTGTACTTCATGTCTTATCTGAAGTGGAAGATGTTCCAGTTTAAAACATGCAGCATAGACAATGCAAGTGGTTTATGCAGTCTCTTTTTTCATTCTACTCAGAGTCAATGACAGTGATGACTTAATCATGACAGAAAACGAAGTGGGGAAAATTGCCCTCCACATCGAGAAGGAGATGTTTAACTTGTTCCAAGTTACAGATAATCGCTACAAGAGTAAATACCGCAGCATCATGTTCAACCTCAAGGATCCCAAGAATCAGGTCTGTGCACCGTGGCCTAGATGTGTCTCTTAGCTGCGTTTCATGGTAACACACCAGACGGTATTTAAGCTGTTAGTATCCTTTCCACATTGTTGAGCCTTCACTGCCTTACCTGGAGTTTCGTCAGGGATTTCATTAGCTTTCAGAGCATTGCTGTGAAGTCACATGCCCCTCACTTTTGACTCCAAAATACATAGTTCAGATTCTTTATCCCAGTGTATGGGGGTATCCATATTCTGGCTTCAAGCAACCTTTTCTGCCTTATTTTCTTACCATTCCTCATCAGTTGAGCCTCTGTCAGTGCAATGAAGATCACCTCTTGCAGTTTGTACATCTTGGTCCTCTTTCCTTGCCCTTACCTGTGTTTAGAACCAGGATCAAGTGCCCTGGCTGTATCTAGCCATATGGCGCTCAATCCCCAATGGAAATGATCTCTTCTGCCTTTAACCTAACTGCTTTTTTGACTTGTATTACAAATTGGGTATGTGATGTTTTCCTGAGGAGATGGTGGACTTTTAACATGCAGCATGGCCTTGTAGTCAGCTCTCAGCTGGAACAGCCTCGTGCTTCCTTCTGAGGCTGCTGAGGAGTTGGCCAGTACGCACTTCTATGGGCATAGCACAGAAGAGTGCCTGGGGTCTGTTTCTGTGACTGCCACCCTATGGGCAGAGCTCCTCTTCCATATTGCTCCAGACAAACACACACACAGACTGTCTGATTGAAAGATCTTTATTTACAGGGACTTTTCCATCGAGTTCTGCGTGAAGAGATCTCTTTGGCAAAACTGGTGAGAATGAAGCCAGAAGAGCTTGTATCCAAAGAGCTCTCCATGTGGAAAGAGAGGCCAGCAAAACCTGTGAGTGCTGACGGGAATGGCTGCTTGAGGCCCTGATGTGTCTTCTGCTTGTAACACAGAGTTGAAATCTTCGTTTCTGTCTTTTTCATTGTAGGTGCCAGAGTCCAGAAGTAAGTTGCATAATGAAAGCAAGAAGACCACCGTTAAGCCTGAAGCCATTCCTGACATGGAAGATTCTCCACCTGTGTCAGATTCAGATGTGAGTATTTGAGGTTTTTAAGTATTCACAGAGAGACTAAACCTGTTCCAAATGCTTCAAGGTGTCTTAAATTATGAAATAAGATGCTGAACTTAAAGTACATCTGCCTGTATGTATAATTACAGCGTTTCTTGGGTGCTCACATTCACTGGGCTCTTGGAGGGTTCTTTCTGGTTTATTGAGAGAGGGTCTCACTGTATAGTCCAGGCTGTCCTCAAACTCACAATTCTCCTGCCTCAGCCACCCCTGAGAGGCTTCCTTCTCCTGGGATTACAGGTGTGCTTCACCATAGCCTGCTTAGTTTACCCTATTTCTCAGTGGTTTTTAATCCTTGGAGACTCTTTCATGTGTGCTGTTAATTTGGAGATGGATTTGGAAAAGAAATGACCTAGTCATTTTTTTCTTCTTTTGTTTCTAGGAACAGCAAGAATCAGTGCGCGCTGCCCCAGAGAAGAGTACAGTGCCTCTTCTGGATGTCTTCAGCAGCATGTTGAAGGATACAACGAGTCAGCATCGAGCACATCTTTTTGATCTAAACTGTAAAATTTGTACAGGTGAGCATAATTTGGAAGCCAATTAAACAAAGCAAGATTTAGTTTAAAATCATTTATCTTTCCAAAGGCAAGTGTATGAATCCCAAGTTTAGACAACCAACATAGATTAGAGTGGTTTTCTGGGGTTTACAGTTAGCCCCTCCCTTTATCATGTTGCTGCTGAGTCTTGAAAAAGCCTTTACTTCCTCACAAGCAAGCCATGCTGGAATGTGCTGGATTTCTCACTGAGCCTTTCCTTGAATTCTTCAGGTCAGGTGCCATCAGAAGATGAACCAGCTCCTAAAAAACAAAAGTTATCAGCTTCTGCAAAGAAAGAAGACTTAAAATCCAAGTATGACAACTCTCCATCTGATCCAGTTCCTAACTCAGCTGGTGAAGGGATTGCAGAGACTCTGCCTGAAAATGCCTCTGAAGTAGACCTGGAAAGTGCACCTCATCCAAACCTAGAGAGAAAATATTTCTCTGGGTCTCCAGGAGAGAGCCATTCCGAGCCCTCCCCACAGGAAGGCCTCCCCCACTGCCCAGCATCCTGTGGGGGTGGGGTGGTCACCACAGTCACAGTGTCTGGCCGGGACCCCAGAACTGCTCTGAGTGGGTCATGCATGGTCACAGCCTCCACAGCAGCCCAGCTGGACAGCACCCACATGGCAGAAACCAAACCAGATGTGCTAAAGCCTGCTTTGACTCCTGTAATGGTACCCAAGTCCATATTGGCTAAGCCATCCTCATCCCCTGACCCAAGATACCTATCAGTTCCACCATCACCAAATATCAGGTACATACTTGAGGTAGGGTCTGAACAAACCAAGAGTCTTTCTTTGTTTAGATTGTTAAGGGGAAGCTGATAATTGAACACACTGATTCAGATATAGCCGGAAACCCAACTTTAACCTTTTATATCCTAAAAAAAAAAGAAAAACCATTTTTAGTATGCTTTAGTTATCTTTATGTTATCATTAAGATCTGAAATTTGAACTTCCGGCCATCCAGATTTTTTGCTTGTTCAGCTTATTTTCCTTGGCCAAAATGTTGGTTTTAATCACTACAGTTAAAGTAGTTAATTGGCAGAAGTAAAGTACTAGCTTGGAGGGATTCACTGTCACTTGTAGATATTAGGTCTTTATACCTAAAAATTCCCATTGTACAAAAAAAGACTGACTTTTTTTTTTTTTTATGTTTTTGTATTACAGCATCTCAGAATCACGGTCCCCCCCAGAAGGAGACACTGCGCTCTTTTTGTCTCGGCTCAGCACCATTTGGAAAGGATTTATTAACATGCAAAGTGTAGCAAAATTTGTCACTAAGGCGTATCCTGTCTCTGGGTGTTTTGATTATCTCAGTGAGGTTAGAACCAACAAAGTGTGATTGTGTGTGTGCGTGCCTTGTAGAAGTTCCTGTACTAGAGTTAAACATGTGACACGCATGTTAAGCTCTTGGTAGGCACTTCTCAAGGTAAAGCAGCAGTGGCTATGGTGAGGTTTCAGATTTAGCAGTGTGGGCGGGGCAGAAATTTGCATGCGAGATCAAGCATCCCAGTTATGTCTTAGCATGGGAGGTGTGTGTAACCATGTTGCAGGTTTTCTAACACAAATAGCCCTAGTAGGGCCTTAGCAAGGGCCCTGAGTCATTCCTGTAGGTGCTCATAGGGGAGAACATAAAAACGTGCAGTAGCTTCAGAAGCTACTGCAAAAGGTGGTTATCATCCCACTCTCGGCTAGGACGTTCCTCATCCTGGGTAGCAGTTGGCCTGTCGGTATTTAACACTGTCTTTAGCATTACCCTGGAAGTAGTCGGGTGATTTGGCACCTTGAGATTCCTAGTTAACCTGTTTATGAGTGTCACAGCTTTACTAGTTATTTACTCCAAGTTCTTGTTTAGGACTTGCCTGACACGATTCACATTGGTGGCAGGATTGCTCCGAAGACTGTTTGGGACTATGTCGGCAAGCTCAAATCTTCCGTGTCTAAGGTATCTGTCACAGTATGTCTCTGCAGCGTGGAAGGCAGTGTCTTCAAGCACACCTTCTTTAACCTCTCATTTGGATGAGTTGATACTTGAGATGACAGTCTGTAACTTATCAGATATTTAAAATGTTCATAGTTTAAGTAGGTAAGAAGGTGTGTGAGTAGTACATTGGCAGGAGTTTGTTTCTTGATTTATTAGAATCGTGTGTATGGTTAAATTTAGAAAAAAATATGCAAAATTTGCTTCCATTTTCATGACTGAAAGAAAGGAAGGTGGGGACTTGAAAGTGACCTTTCTCAGACACTCAGCCTGAGCTTGTGAGGGGGCTTTGACCTCTGTGGAACCCCCGAGGTTCAACTACAGCTGGCATGTGCTGCACCCTTTAGGGTGGGCTGTAATTTTCCTCAAGCTGACTAAAGGGGTTAAACCCTGTTGTCTAGGTTGGCCCTCTTATGTGGAGACATCCAGATGACTCTTGTGGGTCACATGACCTGTTCTCCAAAACCTCCATCTCCGCCTATGTATTGAAAGCTTGCTGTTTCAGACACTACTGAGCTGACGCTGCACCCGGACCACTCATTGACATAGAACCCTATGCGTTGGAGGCTGAGTGGAAGTCACTGAAAGGGTTTCATGCTGAGACCGAGATTTCAGTCCAACAGTCTGAAGCTGGAGCCTGTGTTTCCTTTACACTTCATTATCTTAACATGCTGAACAGCAGGACTATGAAATCAGATCAGAATTGCTTAAACCTCCTATTTGAGGACCTTCGTTGGAGGTTCAGGAACAGACTTTACAAACATGCTTGTTCTGGGGCAGCCACAGGTGACTGCTTTGCCCTGTGCTCTGTTTGCCTTGCAGGAGCTCTGTCTGATCCGCTTTCACCCTGCAACAGAGGAGGAAGAGGTTGCCTACATTTCTCTCTACTCCTATTTTAGCAGCCGTGGCCGCTTTGGGGTGGTAGCTAATAACAACAGGCATGTCAAGGACCTCTACTTGATTCCACTGAGTGCTAAGGACCCCGTACCATCTAAACTCTTGCCCTTTGAGGGACCAGGTAAGCACCCACTTTTTGGGAATTCATGAGGCACATCTGGTCCCTACACCCCTCCCCACTGGTGGGAGTCTACCAAGTTGTCACAGGGTGGATCTGCTGCCTACCCCAAACCAGACTTCCCAGAGCCAGAATTAGGAAAGAGAGTGAAGCAGTGTTGGCCGAGGAACCTTCCTCTGGTATGTAGGGATATGGCCCTAAAAAGTACCCCATTAGTATAAAAATTACCTCAGGTATTTTAGGAAGAGGGGAAAGTCCACTTCCAACAAGTGTGTTTGCAGTCTCAGACCAGTGGACTGTTCAAATGCCTGGACATGAGGACCAGCCTCGAGGAGAGGAAAGACACCTGGCTTCTGGGGGTGCCCTTCAGTCCAAGGGAAAGGCTCATTGCTGCCGCTCAGCTCAGGAGAGAGCCAGTATCAATGAGTGAGTGGTCTCTTGCCTTCTGAGGGTACCTCTCCCACAGAGATGGATTCCTAGCAGGTATGAAAAATAGTGACATACAGAAGAGCATTTCTCAAAATACTTTTAAATCCCCTGCTCAAGTTTTGATCTTTAACAAACATCTTTGTGTTTGCTTATTCCATAGAAGTACTATTTAAAGGATTAATTGTTGATTAACATTCCAGAAATATTCCAGATTTGTCCTGGGTTGAGATGATTCTGAGGGGAGTCTTGGTCCAGTAGTGTCCAGCTCTTCTTAGCCCCTTCAAAACACTGACATGACTTCAGTTAGGGACTTGCCCCTGGGGGCCTGAATTGAAGGTCTCCTTGACCATGATGTCACCAGAGGATTGGTCTTACCACAAGCCTGAGTTTGACACATGCTAAATGCTCTTTAAGGTACTTTGTCATAGAGGTGGTCTAAATGCACCCAAACACTTAAAGGTGCAGCCCATTGCACCAAGTGCCCTTGGTCCCATTCCTAGGCCTCAGCAAGTGTTCCTGCCACCGCCTGTGTGGCGCTCTCAACCCTTGCTACATCTAAGTTATCTGGGATCCTGAGGGGCCCGAGCCCATCACGCTAAGTGTGGCCCTTGGCCTGACTGGAGTCTGGCATGGGTTCAGCCTGGGCCTGCTTTGTGGAGTTATGCACCCTAAGGTATTTGTTGGGAGTTGATAATTCCATAGTTAAATACTAGCTGGCATGATGTAGTAATTTAATGCCAAGCACATTTAAAAAGCAAGATGCTTTAGTGTGTCCTGTCAAACCCTATTTGGGGTAAAGAAATGCCACCTGCTGGGCAGCAACAGGAGTCCTGAAGGTGCTTGGTGGCAGCTGTGTGAAGAGTGCTGGCCAGCATACTCATGACCAAGGGGAGGAGGTGTCCCATCCTACTGGAGGTGAAGATGCAGAAGCTGACCTCTCAGCACCCCTGAAGAGAACTGGTCAGTCACCAGTGTATAAACTCATGGGTAGGAGGTAGTGTCCACATGTTGTTCCCTGTGACAGGGACATATGTCACCAGGAGTACCTTCTTCTTGAGTGAAGAAGAGCAGCTTTTATTATAAAAATGTGAGTTGGATCCTGAGCCTTCTCTTGATAAACAATTAAAGCAACATTTCATCCTTTCGTGCTGTCCCTACCCCATCTCCAACCTGACGTTGCCAGATGAGAAGGGATTGTTGGGTGGAGAGTGGGCATGGCAGTGCACGGGCCATCAGTGGTCCCTGCCAAGCACAGGAAGGGGGTCAAGGGAGCTGCGCCTCTACTGTGAGCCCCACAGCCAGTCATGTGGGTATAGGACTGTGGGGCAGGACAGAGCCACACTGTGCTTCTCAGTAGCCTCACCCACTAAGATGATGGGTGCTGACCACCCAGACTCATACTTTGTGACCAGCCAAGCAGGTGTCACACTCCCTCACCACAGCACTTGTGGAGGCCATGACACTACCTAAAGGGGACACTAAAAGGACAGAAAGGTTTCCAGCCACAATAAGAACAAATATATTTTGTTAGGACAGGAAGGAGAGTGTTAAAAAGAGTAACGAATGAAATATTGCCTATTAACTTGCAAAGAATTTTTAACTTAAGGACTTCACTATGTTGTCTTTATCCTGATACCACTGTTGGCCTGACTACGTGTGTAGCATTTGCACACTGGCAGGACAGAAGCCGTGGCCCAGGTCAGACTTGCAACTGGACCTGCCTCTCACACTGATGGCTTGACTTGGCATTTCCTAGGTACAAGTGTGTACATGTGTCCTAGTCTTGTGATACGTGCGTGCGTGCGTGTGTGTGTGTGTGTGTGTGTGTGTGTGTGTGTGTGTGTGTGTGTAAGGCTGGGCTGGATCCTTGCACCTGGCTTGTTGTCCCTGTCCTCATGGTCTGATGTTCTGCACAGAAGCCTTGGGTAGCTGAGGCCTGTTGGCGAGTGGTAGCAGTGTCTCAGCAGACCCACAGCTCATTCTCAGCACCTGCTTATACAGAGAGCTGGGGGCTTGGGTCTGCATTGGCCCCCTACGCCCAAAAGCCTTTTTCTCAGTGCCAAGGCTCTGCCCCTCCACTCTGTGTAATGCACGAAGCCATATAGGACTAAAGAAGATGTAGCACCTCTGCCTTAGAGCCACCAGTCAAGTCAGAGGCTGACATGAGCAGATGGAATCAGTCCTGGGCTGAAGGTCATGATGGATGTGGAAAGGTTCATTGCAGGAGAGTGATTCACATACCCAAGAGCCTCAGTTTACAGAGTCACAAGTATCCCTCCCCTCCTGGACTCATGGCCACATAGGTTCTGCTAACGGGCCTCGTGAATTCTGCTGACACTTAGGAAGTAAGCCGTGACCCATGCTTAGCCATGCCCTCACAGGACATCTAAGTGTCCTGCCTTGTGGCCAGTGTGTGGTCCTTGTCCCAGCTACACTGTGGTGGCCATGGTCATGGAGAGCTGCCCTGTGGGCTCCTCAGCAGTCACACACTGTTCACAGGCCACCCTGAAGCACATCCAGAGCCATCTGATTTCTTTAGGAATCTTGGCATCACATATCTAATGACCACTTTACAGAAATACGGGTTGTCTTGTTCTGTCAGTCATGTTTTAAATAACGCTATTTTAAAGGACAGCAAGAAAGCTGAGGTTCCTTTAACTCAACTGTCCATCCTTTCCACTTACACCTAGTTCAGCTGGACTTCAGAGTCACTGACAGGGTCTCGTGGGGGTGGTTGGGACCTGGCGCCTCAGTCACAAGAGCAAGAAGACCAGTCAGGGGGGCTCACTTACCCATTCTCTGGCCCTGATGGCACTGGGCTGGAAGAAGCCCACACAGCAGTCACCAATCCTCTCGCCAGGTGTCAAGTCAAAACCAAGAGCCCTCGGGCTTGATGCAGATGCCTGTTGGGCAGCTCAGGTTCACTGCGAACACAGTTCATCTCCTCAGGTGCTCTGAGGTAGAGAACGTTCTCTGACTACATGGCAAAGCATTCCTAGAGGAGTATCAGACTCAACTCTCTTCTGTGTTCACTTTAAACTGCTTCTCAATTAGCTGGAAAGTTCTATGCCTGGAAATACTGGCAGGTAAGCACTTCAGTTTTCATGTGTGTATGTTAACAGCTTTGCACAGCAACTGTAATCAAAGCCAAATATAGTATTGAATGTAATGTATTACTTTCTCATTCTAAATCAATAAAAGTATGTCATGGAAACTGGTCATTGTTTGTCTGACTGGGAACTATGTAGCAGCTTTGGCCACCTGTCGTAGGTCTACTTCTGCTTCTTGTAAGCCAGCATGACCTGCCTCTGGTAGTGCCAGTGGCTGTCCTCCAAGCAGTGCATAGTAGGCTGGCCTGTTCCAGGGCATCCTCTACACCTGGCACCTGGAAGAAGATGCACAGCTCCCTCCTCTTACCTAAACCAGGCACTGGGCCCAGTGGCTTCCTCTAGGTCTTAGGGATTCAAAATTGAAAAAGAGGGAGGGACCTGTGAGTGAGTGAGTGAGTGAGTGAGTGAGTGAGTGTGTGTGTGTGTGTGTGTGTATGTGTGTGTGTGTGTCTGTGCGCTTGGTGGGTTGGAGAAGTTTATTTCCCCCCATATTTGCCAAATCTGAATCATACTTAAGAACTACTGTCTATTAACTTCCATACAATTTTTATTCCTGCAGGTGCAACAGTTTTTTGTTTTGACAGGTTCAGATCATAGGAAGGTTTTCATCTTAAATGAATAGTTGAACATATCAGGTGGATTTAAAGGCATTATTTTGGTAGCTGAGGGGTCAGTAGAGGAACCAGCTTTCAGGTGGTTTCTTTAATAAAAGAAAGTACTGTCCTGTGACATCAGGGGTAGTATACATGGGAGGTCACTGACCACCACTTTCTGTTGTCTGTAGAAGCAGTGATTTTCTTCTGGCTACATCATCATCTTCAGTCCCTGTTGCTGACAAACCTGGGTATAGGTCCTGGTTTTAGACTTGTCCCAGGAGATTAATTGATACATGCCTTTTCGATTGTGCCCCTTGTCCTTGGTTTCTCCGTTTCTTTTCCTGAGGCTGGCTCCTTACACCATGAAAGACACAGAGTTTAAAGGGCTTGTTTTTATATATGTGACATTTTCCAAAGGCAAACATTGACCGAGGCACGTAGGCCTCCCTTGTGCACATGGAGGACAGCACATTTTAACTGCAGCTGGTACTTCCATATTCCATCGCCTGTTTAGTTTTTTGTTTTTTTTTTAACCTACTGTATGAATTGGAAACCTCACAACAGTTCTGAAGAGGGGTGGGTAAGTAAGGGTCTGTGCCCAGCCCTGACTCAGACTGGCCCCATTTCTGCACTGCAGCTTGTGTGGCCATTGTTCTCAGGACACACACACCAACACCCAGGGACTAGCACGCTTAAGATGGTGGCTGCCAAAATGGGGTGAGCCTAGAAAATGGGCCCCAAGAAACCTGGGGCACTACTAGGTGGACTTGTGACCTTTTGACCTGGTTTGTCATTTTTCCTACCAACTACACCTTTCTTAGCATTATTAACTTGAGACATACCCTTCCTTCCTCAGTGAAGTTGCTGGTAAGCCCAAGATGGATAAGTGATTTTATTCCACAAGTAGAAGCTGTTTCCAAAGTGTTACTATATTTCAGATACCGATTGCGACATGGTAGCATCAATACGTGAGTCAGGTGGTGTGCGTTCTCAGGCAGCCCAGTCTGAACTTAGCATTGGGGAAGATTAGTGGGAAATCCAGAGCACACTGACCTGTCTGGTGCTCGATTAGCTCCTTCAGGGTACAGATGGGACAATCAGGAGATAGCACCAAGTCGGATGCAAGTTCACACAGCCTGCTGTACTCAAAACCAGTGTACTTACTAAGTGGCAGACGTCACCTTACTGCAAGGGCAGTGACAACAGAGGTCAGTCTGGAGACTCTTGCACAGTTGGAGTACACTGATTTTCATTTATGAGCACATTGGGCCACTCCTAGTCGTAGCTGGAGTGGAGCACTGCACAAGGACAGGGTCTTGTCTTCCAGCCTTTCACAGTGGGGTGTGCCTAGCACTTGAACTTTGGTGACCTGAGACTTCCATACCACCAGCTGGGACACCAGCCCCATGGAAGTTAGGCTTTTCCTGGAGTGAGGCAGCATAGCCCCGCTTCGTGAGGGGCAAGGAGTCACACTGAGCTTCCCACTCTCCCCACACCAAGACGCCGTGCTCTTTCCCCATCCCACAGCCAGCTGAACCTATTTCTGCTTCTAGCATCAGGTTCTGGAAAGAGCCTGGCTTACGGGCTTCAGGCTTGAGGCCCAAGTGTTCTACAGGTGCTCAGCTCTCAAGCCTGCTCTGCAAGCTCGGGCTGTTTTCAAGTCACTTGTCCAGAAAGGCCATAAGACTGGCTTAACAATCAACTGTACCCCCAAGACTATGTACTTGAATAAGCTATAAAGTAGTAAATAGCTACCACAGGGAAAAAACAAGTACTGTTTTTAGTAAAAATGCCCTTCATATTCATTGGGAAATGAACTTGGTCGAATAACCTCCACATTTGTTGACAGAAGTTCAGGTTTGATGTTTGGGGTGACTGACCTGGCTTTGCAGTTACTGTTTCTCCTCTGCTAGCTCTTCTGATGCTCAGTGCCTTTCTTCAGTGAAAGGATGGTGGGGTGGGAGTAGGAGGAGACAATAGGGCACATGACAGTTACAGGTCTGTCTCAGCTCTTGAACAAACCCTCAGGAAATGAGGCCTCAGGATGCTTGGAAGGAGGGAGAACAACAGGTGTGTGTGAACTCTCGGTTGCCAGCTTGCATGGTCAGGCCAGGTCTTCCTCCTGAATTGTGGGAAAGGGTGTTTCCCCAAATGCTTAGCCTGCTGGTAGCCTTACCAGGATTTAGGAAGACTGACACCACCCATATACCAACCTACATAAGTGTCCGAAAACAACTGTTAGAAGTGATTTGTAGTAACCTTTAAAGTCACTGGAAGAGTACGAGACACTTAGTAGTGGCCATAATTGTAAGAAAGTACTGTGAATACTTTATGCCACAGTAATGTAAAATTATCTGGAAATTGAATATACAACTCTATTAACTTTAGCTATGTTCCCCTAAGTACCTGTTTTGTGAGATGGTGTTCTTGATTTATCATGAGTATAGGAATGGGGATGCTGTTACTGGAATATTAGCACTCCTGGTTAATGTCACCACAACTTAGAATGTTTGAAATGATCCTTTTCAAAGAGGTAATTATCTGCCGGGCGCGGTGGCGCGCGCCTGTAGTCCTAGCTACTCGGGAGGCTGAGGCAGGAGGATCGCTTGAGTCCAGGAGTTCTGGGCTGCAGTGCGCTATGCCGATCGGGTGTCCGCACTAAGTTCAGCATCAATATGGTGACCTCCCGGGAGCGGGGGACCACCAGGTTGCCTAAGGAGGGGTGAACCGGCCCAGGTCGGAAAGAGGTAATTATCTTTCAAAGCCCTGCACCCTAAATTTCCTGTGTTTCCTGCCTGTTTTACCCCCCAATGTACTGAATGCCCTGTGTTTATGAAAACTTAAAACAGTGGGTAATTGGGATTTTGTTGTTGTTTGAGACGGTGTCTTGCTACATAGCCCAGGCCAGCCTGGAACTTGCTAGATAGCCCAGGTGGCCTCAAACTCTCAGTCCTTCTCCCTTAGCCTCCTGAGTGCTGGGATTACAGATGTGCACACCAGTGGATAGTTCTTGATAGGTTAATGCTCAGTGAATTTTATTCTAAACCGAAAATATTTAACTGTTTCAGACAGTTTCATTTTTTCCCTTCATAATAATTCTGGTCCCAAAGACATGAATTCAATGGCTGTGCTTCATTGGTCACTAAATTGAATTGAATTGATCCCTAATCAAACATTTACCATTAGTCCATTTAGCTTAACTTATGTCTTGCAACTCATAGGATTAAGACAAAAAAGGCCCTGGTAGCAAGGGGCAAATAAAAGGACAGAGCTGAGATTTTGTCTGAAACCTTAGTGCATTCATACCTGTGGCCCAGGATAGACAGACATTGGCCTAGGGTTTTCCTCGCCACTGCCCCTGTGCTGCAGCTTTAGCTGTATATGTAACTTTTTAAAAGATGGAGCATACGTTCTGATGGTGGAATGAATTTGCTTGTGACTTGGGTCCTTGGTTTGTAGTTTGTGACCCATGTGTTAATCACGCATCCTCTTTCAGACAGCTGCCACTCAGACCAACCAGGCAGGCACCCTGTTGTGTTCAGGGACTGGAATCACCTGATCTTTTGCAACAAGCTCAAAAACTCTTGATTTTGTTTTCCACAGAAGTTCTTCCTCTGCCTATTAAACATTCTCATGAAAAGACCTTAATAAAATTTGCCTCTGAAGCACAAAAACTGAACTTATATCCTAAAATTTGCACAAATATTTTGTTTTTCAGGTCTTGAGTCACCACGTCCAAATATAATCCTTGGGTTAGTAATCTGTCAAAAAATAAAACGTCCTTCGAGTGCTGGCGAAATAGAGGAGAAACGGGCTCGACTTCAGCAAGAAGAAATGGATGCTCCAATCTATCCCAAAGTAACTGCAACCTCACAGTCTGAGAAGAAGCCCCCTAAGTGCCAGCCCCACTCTGTGGACACAGCTGTCAGCACCACGCCCCCTGGGTCTCCTCCACCCCCACCCCCTCTTCCTGAGCCCCCAGTAATGAAAATCCTCTCATCCCTCAAGCCAGGTGCCACTAGCACCAGCACAGCGTCCACTGTATCAGCAGTGGTCACCACAGCAGCTTCCCCTGTCGCTTCAGCCGCGTCAAAAACAGCCTCACCACTGGAACACATCCTACAGACTCTGTTTGGAAAGAAGAAATCTTTTGAACCCCCTGCCAAAGAGTCTGCTGGACCTATTCCAGCTCCCCATCAGGAGTCTAAAACCAAGGGTGAAGACGGTGTGTCAGCACCTCCGTTACTGGATCCAATTGTTCAGCAGTTTGGTCAGTTCTCAAAAGATAAGGCTCTGGAGGAGGAAGAAGACGATAGACCCTATGACCCTGAGGAAGAGTATGACCCCGAAAGAGCCTTCAACACCCCGCTTCCTGAGCAAGGAAGGCACCATGATGCGGAGAAGGCTCCTGAAACAGCTGAGAGGGAAGAGGTAGCCTACGACCCGGAGGATGAGACCATTTTAGAAGAAGCCAAAGTGACTATTGATGACCTGCCCAACAGGATGTGCACAGACGTGAATGGCAACGCCACAGAGAGGCCAGTGGAATATGCTGCTGGCGTCTCCACTCCCTCTCTGGTTGAGCAACAGAAAATGTTAGAAGAACTGAACAAACAAATAGAGGAGCAGAAGCGACAGCTGGAGGAGCAGGAAGAAGCTCTTAGGCAGCAGAGGGCTGCTGTTGGGGTCTCCATGGCACACTTCTCTGTGTCAGATGCATTGATGTCTCCACCTCCAAAGTCATCGCTGGCCAAGGCAGAGCTATTCCCGCAGGAACAGCAAGCCTCAGACTTGAGTCAGGGAGCCCCGGGAACGAGCCTCAGCTCGGACTTGAGGCAGAGTAGAGACCCCCGGCAGGCCAGGCGGCTAGCTGCTGAGAGCATTGAGAGTGAGCCTTCCCCCAGGGGCCAAGTGGGCAGTACCCCGAGTATGCAGGGTGCTCCAAGGGAGAGTCCTGCTGCTGGGGCTGCAGCAGGCCAGGTGTCTGGGCTGGCCCAGGAAGTAAAGGAGTCAGGAACTACTCCTTGGGCTCCAGGTGAAAAAGCTGCACTGATATCTGAGCAGGATGGCCAGAGGTGTGAGCACCACAGAAACCCTGTGACGCCCCTGGAGAACACTCATCCTCCAGCAACTGGAGATGGTGCAGCTAGACCTGCTCGGAGAGTGCTGCTGCCCACACCTCCGAGCACATCCTTTCAACCCGGCTTCTCAATGCAGAATGATGCACAGAATTTTAATGCTCCTGGGGGAAGGGAGCCTTTCTCAGGTCCAATATTTACATCTCAGGAAAAGTCACTTGGTTCGTCTCAATATGAGGACCCAAGAAATGCTCAGTCTGCTGGGAAGAGTGATAGCCCAGCAGTGGACACTGAGGGGGGCCGAGAGCCACAGCCCAGGCCTGTCGAGGGCACAGCCTCCTTCCCTGTGTCTGGGCAAAGGGGAGGAGCTCCTCAGCCCCAGTTTCCAGGCCAGCGTGAACCCACACCTCGCACTTTTGGGATGTCAGGACTTCATGGCCCCAGTTTCCCAGGACCACGGGGGCCAGTCCTTCCATTTTCAGAAGAGAATGCGCCTAACAATGACGGGTCAAGAGGACCTCCACCTCCACCTGCCAGATTTGGAGCCCAGAAAGGGCCCATCCCTTCCTTATTTTCGGGGCAACATGGGCCACCTCCTTATGGGGACAACAGGGGCCCCTCGCCCTCTTACCTTGGCGGGCCTAGAGGAGGAGCACCGGCCCAGTTTGAAGAACGCAAGGATCTCCATGTGGAGAAAAGGGAATTCCAGGACACCCCATACAGTGAGATGACCAGTGCCCCTGGCCAGTGTGAAGGACCAGAGCAGGCTCAGTTCATGGGGAACAGAGTCACCACACCTTTCCAGTTTGGAGGCCAGAGACGACCTCTGCTGACTCAGCTGAAAGGGCCCCGAGGAGGCCCCCCACCCTCTCAATTTGGAGGCCAGAGAGGACCACCCCCTGGCCATTTTGTGGGCCCCCGCGGGCCGCATCCTAATCAGTTTGAAACTGCTCGGGGTTCCCATCCCAGTCAGTTTGAAGGACCCAGAGGCCAAGCACCAGGCTTCATGCCAGGTCCCCGGGGTGGTCAGCCCCAGCAGTTTGAGGAACAGAGAGTGAACTCACCGCCCAGGTTTGCAGGTCAGAGGGCACCAGCACCCCTGCCATTTGGAGGACCAAGGGGCCCTGTTCCCTTTTCTGAAAAAAACGAACAAACACCTTCCCGATTTCACTTTCAGGGACCCTCCTCGCAAACAATGAAGCCTCCCCCCAGGCCCCTGCTGGAGCTCCCAAGCCACCCCCCACAGCACAGAAAGGACAGGTGGGATGAGGCAGGCCCAGCTGCAGCCCTGCCCTCTGGTGCGGCACCTGGACAGGGCCCTGAGGCTGATGGACAGTGGGCGGCTTCTGATTTCCGAGAAGGCAAAGGCCATGAGTACCGGAACCCGGCTTTTGAAGGGAGGCAAAGGGAGAGGTTCGAAGGTGGGCCCAAAGAAAAGCCACTGGACGAGTCTGAAGCCCAAGGGCCAGAGAACCGACAGGGCCGGGTGTTTGAGGACAGGAGGCGAGAACGGGAACGAGGCAGGAACTGGAGTCGAGAGAGAGACTGGGAGAGGAGCCGGGAGTGGGAACGACACCGGGAAAAAGACTGTGGCCGGGAATGGGACAGAGGCAGGGAGAGGAACACCAGCAGGGACAAAGAGCGGGAGGCCGAACGGGCCAAGGAGTGGGACCGAAGCCGGGAGAGGAGCAGAAACCGTGACCGCGACAGGAGGCGGGACCGAGACAGGTCCCGGAGCAGAGACCGAGACCGGGAGAGGGCCCGTGACAAAGACCGAGAACCTAGAGAGCGAGGTCAGGATCGCAAGGACCGCAGCAAGAGCAGAGAGAGTGCACGGGACCAGAAGCCTGAGGCCACCAGGACCTGTGAAGGCGGTGCAGCCTCCTCCCAGGCCTAGAGGCCTGCACTGGGCACGGGCTTGGCCACTCTCACGTGTGTAGGCTCAGTTGGGTGGGCAGGGATCCTCTTAAAAAGACAAGTTCATAAAGTGTGTTGAGCAGTCTTTGAAATGGCCATGAGCTTAGGTGCGGGATAGAACATTCTGGACTTTAAGAATTGCTGTAATTTTGTGCATAATGGTTTCTTACAAAATTTCCCATCTTTACAATGCTGATTTTTTTTTAAAAAACTCAAATTTTCCATTTAAGGTTACAGAAATGGGAGAGTACTTACAAAAGCATATTGCTTTTTCAGATTACACAGTCATCTTTTTCCACAGATAACTTTAGATAGACTCCAAATAGAGTTTGAGAGAATGTCAGTGAACCTAGAGCCATACCTTTGCTGGCATTTTGTTTGCTTCCGCGTTTCTGAAACTGTCTCCAGGACTCTTGGCGGCCGTCCTGGGTGGCGCACTGTCAGGCAGGTGAGCTGCAGCTGCAGGAGGACAGTAGCTCCCCTGGATGTATCACCTCATAAATGTTTTTTAAAAACAAAGCAACATCTGTCCTAGTAGAAACTGTTGCATTTTAAGTAACAATTTATTGGAAAATGTTTGATTTTATTAGCCTAAAGAAAGAGAAAGCAAACCAATTAGTGTGCGTTGAGAGGTGGGTGTCTTCCTTGGATGAACACAATCAGGAACGCCTTGTCAAATTTGGCCCTCCGAGCAGCTCCCCAGGCTAGGACGTGCATCTGAGCCCAGCTGCCATGTGTTAGGTGATTGGTTTGAGAGTTTGTCACTGGATTGGAGCAATATTTGTACAAAGTCTGAGGAGGACAAGTGAAACAGAGGACTTCTCACTGACATGCAGCGTTCTGCTGCTGGTCACAATTTTCCAGGAACTTCCGAATTGTGAGATAGAGAAGGCTGGCTAACTTATTTGCCTGTATAAATACACTTTGATAATTCTTTTTATATTTTCATAAACTTACTTTTGCAGATATAAAATTAGAGAATTTCATTTGTTCTTTGGAGTCTTTTATTCCATTGTGCATCACTACAGATTTTTCACTTTATAGCACAAATTTTTAAGTTGAGAGAACATGGAGAACTTAGCAATTTGGGATGTTTGGTATCACAAACCAAGTGTCAGTAGGTTGAACTACATCGAAGTAAGTCAGTTTCACATCTAATATGATGTGAAGATTTTTTTACATATAAAGCAGATTTTTCTAATTTAAATACCCAAGTGTAAAAATCAAGTGTGTTTCTTTAGGTGTACTTGATAGAAATTTCTGTAAATTGTATTTTGTATCGCAGAGTGTTATATCACTGTACATTAAAACACAGGACTTCATAGGTTTTGTTACTTGAAGTAGAATAAATACCTACAGAGTTCTTGTCTCTGTCTTCACTCGGCCTTGACCTCCCCCCTCCCCCAGTTTGCACAGGAGTAGATAGGGGTGCCCTGCTCACAACTGGCTCCCAGGTCTCCTTGGTGGATCCTCCCACTGCCTGCCTGGTGGCACCAGGTCTCAATCACCACCTGGCCCTGTGCAGGGGATGGGCAGTAGCCAGTCAGCTGATCTGGCATTGGCTGGAGACCAACACGGAGGCCCCGATGCAAGTGCCCTTCCTATAAGGAAGCCCAAGGATGCCATCAGAGCTTTAGTCACTCTGTTAGTTGGAGCAAGAGCTGCTGAGGTGCAGGAGGAGTGAGTCTGGCCCTTTACTGCTGGCTCCACCTTAAAAGGGGTGTCTGGCTGTTAGGAAGCCACTGGTTAGGCAGAATTGGTGGACCTGGGTGCCTTCACATGGTCCTGCCCTTGAACGCCATCTGCTGGTAACACTTGCACCAGAACCTGGTGCTCTACCAACATGGACAACACAAGCAGCCAGGAGCAGGGACCGTGGCGCAACCCAGGGCAGCAAGGACCCAGCTTGGCGGAGCATTTGGTGGAGCTCATGGAAGTTCTGACCTCCTCCCAGCTGAGCACACAGGGGTCCCTCTGGGGCAATAATGGGGCTAGGCAGCCCACAGACCACCCTCATGGCCATCAAAACTGCTTCTGTGATGGTTCCATCACCTTGGAAGGGCCATTTCCTGCCCCGCATGGCAGATGACCACAGAATATCTTCCTAGGGAGGACTGCTCTGGAGAGTCCCCACAAGTAGTGAAGTTCAGATTCAGCTGCCAATGCAAGTTCAGCACAGCTACAAAAGTGGGTGAGCCCCTGTGGCCTGCATGTGGCCGTCCCCAAAATGTCTTGGAAATATGTCCTATTTTCACTTTCACTCGGTGTCATTTTTGTTCACCCCAAAGCCCTGTGGAGACCCAACTGTGGGGCCACTTGGGCGTGGCTCCTGGTTTTGACGTGTCTGCAGAGGCAACTCTTGGGGAAAAAAAAAAAGGAGTCAACCCCAAGAGGATGGACACCCTTCCTGCCCATCCACCCCACACACTGCCAAATCATGACCAAGACCAGTGACAAGCAATGATGACCGTGCCCCAGGCAGGGACAGCAGTGGGCACTGTGGGTTTGGCTACAAGCTCTGGGATGAGGCCTAACCTTCGAGAGAGAAGGAGGAAGGGTGTCTATTAACAGACTCGGACCATGAGCTCAGGCCCTAGGGCAACACAGCAAGAGTCAGGAAGGCAGCTGGGTTGTACACCTGCTTCTAGCCCACGCCTCCTGTGGGACAGTTCCCAAACCCAGCTGTTATGTTATACCAGCAGGGACTGCTGCTAACACTTGCTCTGTTTCCCTTCATTTTTTCTCCCTCTCCATCTCATTTTTTCTTTCACAAAATTGAGATTTTTATAGGACCTTGGGGGTTTTTATGTTCTTTGTTACATTCTGGGTAATTCCCAAAGGCTTCAAGTATTCATCAAAAGTATTGTTTCGGGCTGGTGGAGTGGCTGAAGCAGTAAGAGCCCCTGCCTAGCAGCAAGTGTGAGGTCTTAGTTCAAACCCCAGTGCTAAAACAAAAACAAACTGAAAAATATTATTGACGCTTTCGCTGTGTTCGGAAGGCTCCCATCTCCCACTTTTAGGAGCATGCGTGTTCCTTGTCAGATTGTGAGGTCCCAGATGTTCATGGTAGAGGACCTGGGAAATGAAGGAAAGGCGCTTGAAGACCAGCTCTTTGATAACTGCCCAGGGACTGCCATCGTGGTGGCTGGCACAGGCCTTTTTGCTGTGCTGAGTTGCTACTGGTTAGAGACAGAAACATGTTTACTTACCAGAAGTGGAAAGCCCCGTGAGCAGGACTTAAGCAAAGAGGGCTTTGTGTGCACTACACAAAGCCTGGGGTGGGCTGCCAGTGGATGGTTTGGTCCCATGTCAGAGTCCAGACTGCATCTGACTTTCTGCTCAGCCTTTCGTCAGCTGTGCCTTTTGTCTTCATGGTTGCAGGAAGGCTGTGCTACAGGCATCACATCACTGTTCCGGAAAGAAGCCAGCAGGAGGGACTAGGCCCAACCAGGCATACCTGCTGCATTTGTACAACTTTTGGCCACCTCTTGACCAGGTGCAGCATGCCCACTCATGATACAAGGGAGGTTGGAGCCTGGGGTCTCACTGAGCACTTTGTCCCTGGGCAAATCAGGCCCAGTGTGGGTAAGGGAACTGAAACCACAGCAGATGGCCCTGTGATGCTGTGTGTCAATAGCTGACTGAAGGAGTTGCAGGGCAACCAGGTCTCACAGACAACGTGGCTAATGGGACAAAACACAGCCCCTGAGAAAGGTGGCACTTGCGCCTCGACAAGTCATCACCCACCCAGCAACCCTCCTGGACAGGTCAGAGCCAGTGTTGTCAGAGGAGGACCCACCCCAAGGGGAGGGGATTGGTTCCTGGCAGCAGGTATTGTACTTACAAGGTGGCCAGTGGCTCTGCAAAAGCCAACACTGGGCAGAGTTTGCTGTGTTGGGAACCGCGTGGAGGTTGGCAGTGCAACGAAGAGCGCGCATTTAAAGAGGCCCTGGTCGAGGAGATGGCCTGATGGGCACCCTGCACACCCACACGTGGATCCTGCTGTCCAAGGGGCTGGCTGCAGCATGCCCAGCAGCACAGGCAAATGGCAGGTGCGTGTGTAAAAAGGCCACAGGCCATATGGGTCCCTAGTGGGGTAGGCTGGGTGAGGAAGCCCTCAAGGATCAGAAGGTAGATCGGGGTGGCCATGGCTGGGGTGAGGGCATGGGGATCACGGGGAGCTCTCTGGGGGACTAAACTGCTCCACATCTCCAATGGGGTGTTGTCACATGAGGTTTTTGGGGTTTTGTTTTGTTTTTTGCTGTATGGTGGCTTGAACTCAGGACCTACACCTTGAGCCACTCCACCAGCCCTTTTTGTGATGAGTTTTTTCAAGATAGGGTCTTGTGAACTGTTTGCCCGGACTGGCTTTGAACTGCCATCTTCCTGTTTGCTGTCTCCTAAGTAGGTACGATGACAGGTGTGAGCCACTGATACCTGGTGTCATATGAATTTTGTGTGTGTTCGGAACTTACAGTCCTACACCACAAAAGGGAAGTGCTACCGTGTCACACCTCACTAAGCCTGACTTAGGGGAGGAGACACTGGCAGTGGGATGGCACCCACCAGAGTTGAGTGCTATCCCCGCACACATGTATATGCAAGCACACACATGCACATGCGTGGCAAACACACAAAAGCTGGGGTGCTGAGCAGGCCTAGGGAAGGCACAGCAGTTGCTGACCTGGCTGCAGTCACAGACCAGCGTGAGGGGTGTGATCTGAATATTTGCGCCTCTCCAAAATCTCAACCTAATCCTCTTTGTGGGGGGTGGTGGTATTAGGTGAATAGGTCACGCGGGCTCTGCCCTCATCCACAGGGTTAGTGCCCTTGAGAAAGAAGCTTGAGGAAGCCTGCTCCCATCTTCTGCCACGTGAGGATGCCAGAAACGATTACCTATGAGGTGGGCCCTCACCAGACCAAAATTCTGCTATGCCTCCATCTTCAACTTCCAAGCCTCTGGAACTACAAGCATCACAATCTTGATGTTTGTAAGTTACTCAGCTTAACATACTTTGCTACTGCAGCCTGAAGGGACTGAGGCACTGCTGGATTTTTACTGTGATGGGAAGGATCAATTTGGGGAAGACACAATATCACGATTGGACGTTGCACTCCGTGGCGATGCGGTACAGCTCTATATTCCTGCATCTTTTTTGATTTCTCTCAACAATATTTTATAGTGTTTACTTACAGATCTTTCACATACCGTGTCAAATTAAATACCTGAAGTACACCCATGGGCTGCCTAATGTCACTTCAGTCAACAATGGACTGTGTGTAGCACAGTGTTCCCGTAAGACTGTGATGCCACCCCACAGGTGGCATCTCACAGGGCAGCACACTACTCCATGAGTCTGTGGCGATGCCTGTCGCCCAAACGTGTCACAGCAGGTGACACTGACATTGTCACTATGTTACCAGTTTACTTAATAAACCATACTTTTTTGTGTGGGTGGGTGGGTAGGGCTTGAACTCAGGGCCCTCACCTTGAGCCACTCCACCAGCCCAATTTCTATGATAGGGTTTTTCAAGATAGGGTCTCGCAAACTATTTGCCCAGGTCAGCTTCGAACCACGATCTTCCTGATCTCTGCCTTCTGAGTAGCTAGGATTACAGGCACGAGCCACTGGCACCTGGCAGAGATGGGGTCTTGAGAACTATTTGCCTAGGATGACTTCAAACCTCAATCCCTCAATCCTCCCCATCTCAGCCTCCCAAATAGCTAGGATTATAGGCATGAGCAAGCAGCACCTGGCTTTTGCCTTCGTTTTTTGTGGGGTTTTTTGGGGTTTTTTTGGCAGCCCTGGGGTTTGAACTCAGGGCCTCATGCTTGCTAGGCAGGTGCTTTACTGCTTGAGTCATTCCACCAGCTCCTGCCTTTGGTTTTTGACAAACATCTTTGCCGAATTATAAGGTTATGATTTTCCTTTCATCTACTTGTAGACATCACACACTGTGTTCCCACTCACAGCATTCCTGACTCAGTGTCCACAGGATTGCTACCCTTGTCCCTCTGACTTTTTCCTCCAGCTGCTTTCATGATTTTTCACTCATTGCTGGCAGTTTGATTATGACTCTTGGTATCACTTTCTTCATGTTCTTGTGTTTGAGTTGTGAAGCTTAGGTCTGCAGGTTGGTGATTTTTAACCACACGTTTCAGTCACTACTTCTTGGCGTTTTTCTCTCACCTCTTGGGCCCCAGAGCTCTTTTCTCCCACGCTCTGTTCATCCTCCCTCTGCTCCGAGTGTCAGTTTAGGTGACTCCTGCTGCCAGGCCCCGTGCCTTCCTCACTGGCCTTTTCTGAAATCTGAGGTTTTCACCCAGAAGCCATGTATTGTTTGAATGTATGCATGCATGATTTTAATTTTGCAAGGTTGCTAGTTCTGTGACCCACTATATGGCTCTGGTTGATGACATTATTGGACACTTCCATGGCTTGTCATATCCGTCACGTTAACAATGGACGTGCATTCTAGAGGCTGAGCAGTCACCTGTGAGAGCTGTAGTCCTCTTCCAGTCAGAGGCTAACTCAGCTTGAACAGGGCCATTGAGCCTGTTTTCAGCTTTGGCTCTGGTTCTAGGCATCTGCGCAACTTCCTGTCCTACCAGTTCTTTCCTCACCTCAGGTTTCTCCTAAGCCTGGAACGACTCCCACGGTGGGGAGACAGTCCCTGCAGTAATCCTTTCTAGACCTTTTGGAATAGTCATAAGTCAGTGTATGATTAAACGGAGAGACCAGCATAAAACTAAATCTCTCCTACTGTGTTCACTTTATTCTGTATTACAATTTTATACTGTATGAGTATTGGCCCTGGTCTTTCACAGAACAGCTTGTTCTAGTTAACCACAATTATTTTCTTTCTGGGAACAAATTGCCTCACTTCGAGCCAGTGGAATCCTGGGGAGCTGATCCCCTCATCCCTCGGTGCTTGAAAACAGCTTTGCTTCAGCCAAAGTTTGGATGTTCCAGGTCTGTCCTGACTTTTCCTCCCCGCGGATGTGGCATCAGGCAGCTTCCCGGTGTGCGTGGGAAGAAGTGCATCCCGACAGAAGAGAAGCGTGTCTTTTCAGGGTCAGAGGTCACTTTCCAAGTCAGCACACCACATTGTTCTAACTAATTTTCTATAATCTCAGGTTTCACCAATGACCAGCACTGTCTACTGTGCTAACCTCCAAACCAGTGGCTGAGCTGCAAAACACAAGAAACACGAGTTACACAGTGACCAAGCATGTGCACACACATATTTGTACTATTGTTTCACACTCAGCTCTTATCCTATTTCATGCAATTCACACCGATGTTTTGCTTTTGATTTTAAAGTTGATCCAGAGCCACCAATCTGAACTACTACAGGCCTGGAGAAAGACTCGGTCCCAATCAGTGCTCTTCCTGTCCTTTGAAAGCTGGTTCCTTCCTTCATCGTCCCCGTCAAATTTTTGCAATGGTCCATGACTGCCACCTTTTTTTCTTTTTTCTTGCATGTTTGGGGTCAGGAGTCTACTCTTTGCCAGAAGGAGCCATTGCTGGATTTTTTTTTTCATGTCCCTCCCTGCTCACTGGGCTCTGCTGGATCTCATCTATAGAGGACTGCCTCCCCAGGGCAGAGCTACGCTAGAGTTTGGAAAAGCACATTCAGAATTCTCTTCATATTTTATTTTTGATGCAAGCCTCAGAAAAGCCAGGCCACTGTCATGTTTTATATATAAAAGAGCATTCAAAACTGCCACCTGCAAGAACTCCACTCAAGACAAAAACTGAACACAATTCATTTATTTCTAATACACAAAGAGTCAAATCGGATCTGACCTTGATTTTATTTTCTCTTCTAAGCAGCACTAGCATCAGCTAGAAACACCCAGGATTCTGGATCCCACCCAGAATCAGAATCTGCTTTGTAACAAGATCCCCAGGTGAGCCTGTGCACAGTATCTGAGATGATACCACGTGTATCGTCTGTATCATATCCATATTATATCAGATCTATATCACCTGTATAATCTCTATATCTGTATCATATCTATATCATGTCATACATATCAGATCTACATAATCTATACCATTGTTACTGGTTTTATAATTTTAACTTTTTTTCATTTTTCTTTTATTATTCATATGTGCATATGATGCTTGGTTCATTTCTCCCCACTGCCCCCACCCCCTCCCTTACCACCCGTTCCGCCCCCTCCCGCTCCCCCCCCAATACCCCGCAGAAACTGTTTTGCCCTTGTCTCTAATTTTGTTGTAGAGAGAGTATAAGCAATAATAGGAAGGAACAAGGGTTTTTGCTGGTTGAGATAAGGATAGCTGTACAGGGCATTGACTCACATTGATTTCCTGTGCGTGTGTTACCTTCTAGGTTAATTCTTTTTGATCTCACCTTTTCTCTAGTTCCTGGTCCCCTTCTCCTATTGGCCTCAGTTGCTTTAAGGTATCTGCTTTAGTTTCTCTGCGTTGAGGGCAACAAATGCTAGCTAGTTTTTTAGGTGTCTTACCTATCCTCACCCCTCCCTTGTGTGCTCTCGCTTTTATAATTTTAACTTTTAAGTTTTGATATTGCAACCATCTGAACCTAACTTTCATCTCAGGCATGAAATAAGTGCCCTGATTTTTTTTTTTTCAGAATGAGTAGCCAACTGGTCTGATAGTCTTTATCAAAAGTCTACCATTTCCCCACTAAAGATATATTAGGGTAAAAAGAAAAGTATCCTATAAAACTCTGTGCAGGGTATAATGTTATTATTTATTGAAAAAAAAGAGAGACTGCAAAAGAAATAATTACATCTCCAAAGATAAACAGTGTCTAAACTGTACTGGAATCAGAGCCTCATTGGAAAAAACTGCCTAGCTCCCCAGGCCCTTATTTTTATTTTTTTTTTCAAGTTTAAGTTTTCATTTCTGTGTTAAAGAGAGAACTCTTGGAGGTCAAACAAGGAAAATATACCAAACTCAGAGCACAACTGAGCCATGACTTAGAAACCAAGCACTATAATCCACAACTTTTTTTGGGGGGAGGGGTGTTTATTTCCAGCAGCTATCATACCTCTCTAATAAGATTTTTTTTAAAGTCTCAAATTCCAAAAATATAATAATCCAGTCTCTAGAATGGGATGGAACACTACGACCAACAGAAGATACACAGATTTGTCATGTTAACTAAGTAAATGGTTTTGCTAAAAGCTGCCGACATTTCTGTCAGTAATAGCCATAGGGAGGCTGGCTGTTGTAACCATATTGTCCGTATTCTTGTGGATAATAAGGTTCTTATCTCTGCTGTGGGTAACTGTCACCCCAGGGTCGTCTGTGTCACTGGTTTGATTGATTGTCACTTGGCTCTCCCTAGCTCTAAACTGTAATCTTCCTCCCAGCTCTGCCTTCTATTCCTCCGTAACTGAAGGGGATTCAAGAGGGTGTTCCAGGTATTCCTGGTGCTGTCATCTTCTGTGAACTTCCTTGCGAACACCTCTTCAAAATTGGGAACCGCTTTAGAAGTGTCAGTCATCCAAGCTCGGGCCGAACCCCGCCGGCCAGACTCAGGAGAAGCGGCCTCTGGCCCCAGCACTCGGGAAAGGTCCCAGGCCTTTAAATGTCCTCATTTCCATACGGAAATCAGACACCTCTGCCTGAGATGGGGATGCAGGAGTGAAGGGCACAGTAATCATCTTTTAGGGGCGCACATTGCATGATGCCCCGTACATGAAGTGCCCAGAGTGGGTGACTCACAGGGGCAGACCTGGCACGGGCACGGGCTGTGGCAGGGTGTCAAAGGCGTGACTTGGGTTGGTCAGGGCATGGCTAGACGTGGGGTCACAGCCAGCAAGGAGCACCACCGTCTGTCATTCGTGGTGTGTCTGGACAAGGCGCATGGCCAGGCAGGGGGCTGGCCGGGCGGGGCCGGGAAGGGGCGTGGCCTGTCATCAGGGTACCTGACAGGCAGGGGGCGTGGCCAGGAAGAGGGCAGGGGTGGGGCCTGGTAGAGGACGGGGGGCGTGGCCAGGCATGAGGCAGGCCCGGAAGTGGGTAGAGGGCTGACCTGGAAGAGAGCAGGCTGCGGAGACTGGGGACCCGCTTCGGGCATCGGGGCGTGGCCAGGTGGGTCGGGGGCGTGGCCTCCCTTGAGCGCACGAGGACGTCGTCCCCGCCTCCCGCGGGCGGTGCGCGCGCCGCGGGTGGGCCGCGGGGGGGGGTGGGGTGGGGTGGGGTGGGGGGCGGGCGGTTGGCTGGGGCGGGGCCACGGCGGCAGGTAACGGAGGGGCGTGGCCGAAAGGGGTGGGGTTACCGTTGCGGGGCGGGGCGGCGCAGGCGCGTTGCGCCGGCGGCGCTCAGCGGTTTCCCTCCCCCAACGGTGTGTCCGCGGTGGCTGGCTCTGTGTCCCGCTCGGGCCGCGACCCCGCCTCGCCGCCCGTCCGCGTCCGCGTCGCCGCCCCCGCGCCCGCGCCCCGCCGTTGGGCCGCGCCGCGCCGGCATGTCGGGCCCCGGGCCGCGGGAGCCGCCTCCTGAGGCGGGCGCGGCGGGCGGCGAGGCGGGCCCCGAGGGCGCGGCGGCGGGGACGCGGCGCTGGGCGAGCCGGGGCTGAGCTTCACGACCACAGACCTGAGCCTGGTGGAGATGACGGAGGTGGAGTACACGCAGCTGCAGCACATCCTCTACTCGCACATGGAGGCGGCGGACGGCGAGCTCGAGGCGCGCCTCGGCTCTGCGCTGCTGGCCGGCCCGGGCGCGGGCGCGGGCGCGGCGGGCGCGCTGGCCCCGGCGCCGCCGGTGTACCCGGTGCTGTGCCCGCCGCTGGCGGCCGACGCGCCCTGCCTGGGCCACGTCGACTTCCAGGAGCTGCGCATGATGCTGCTGGGCGAGGCGGGCGCGGCCGAGAAGACCCCGGGCGGCGCGGACGGGGTGCGGGCGCGGGCCGACGGCGCGGCCAAGGAGGGCGCGGGCGCCGCGGGGACCGAGGGCGCGCCCGAGGCCCGGGCCAAGCCTGCGGTGCGCGTCCGCCTGGAGGACCGCTTCAACAGCATTCCCGCCGAGCCGCCGCCGGCGCCGCGCGGCCCCGAGCCCCCCGAGCCCGGCGTGGCGCTCAACAAGTGCGTGCGCGGGGGCCCGGGCCCGGGTGGGTGGCCGGCAGGGGAGGGAGGCGCGGGGCGAAGGCCCCTTGCCCGCCGTGCACACGCCAGGGCTTGGGCCCCGGACAGGTGCGCCCTGTCCACTAGCTGGGCCCCAGCGCCAGTGAGAGGAGGAGCTGGACCACGTGCATGCGGGGCCCCGGCTCTCGCTGCGTCCCTGACGCCCTGCTGAGCGCCCCGGGCGGACGCAGGCTGGGGCACGCTCAGGTGCAGACCTGCGAAGGGAAGGCCCGGGTCTCGGAGCCCCAAACCGAAGCTGCACCTGCAGTGGCCTCTGAGTGGGCGCTTGCTGACCGCCACGGTGGCGGTGGAGGGCGCTGATGCCTGGGGTTTCCATTCATCCCCAGACTGTAGCTGTCACCAGAGTCTGGAGGATGACACAAGTGATTGCTGACAGGGAGGCACTCCTCACTTCCTCCACCAGGAACTTTTCTCTCCCCGCAGCCTTGGTTGGGAGCCCGCTTTAGGGCTGCTGTGGACAGGGTGGGGCTTGTGTGCCAGTCTAATGTCACCCGTCAGAGGGTGGGTACAGTGTTTTGGGAATCCATCTGCCACCTGTTCCTCAGGTGGGTTTTTTTTTTTGTCTTGGCAGTTTGGTAACTCTGATTCGACATCCATCTGAATTAATGAATGTTCCTCTTCATCAGCAACAAAACAAATGTACGACGTTAGTGAAAAATAAAAGTGCTGCTGCCACGACTGCTTTGCAGTTCACCTACCCGCTGTTCACAAGCGCTTGCTCCACCGGGGGGAACTCCAGCCTTTCACAGACGCAGGTGAGTCTTGCTCTTCTGTAGCAAATGGACAGATTTTAATTTACTGGAGGTAGCTTCCAAGGACTTTTTTCCTTTCATGGAGCTTGGTAAGTTTTAAAAATTGGGAATATTTATGTTTGGTCTATTTAAAAACTCGTTGAAAGTTCCTCAAATAGCTTTGATGATTAATCAGTTAAGTGCATTGTATTTGTTCAGTAAAGAGCAGATTAAGGAGCTGGGTGGTACATGCCTGTAATCCCTGTAGCCTGTAATCCCAGTACTCAAGCTGAGGCAGGAGGATCATGAATTCAAGGCCAGCCTGGGCTACGCAGTGAGACCCTGTCTCAAAAAAAAAAAAAAAATTGAACCACATAGTGATAAAACTCCTGTTGCTTCATTTTTTCCCAGAGTTCTGGTAATTCATGTTCTATACTGGAAGCCGCCAAGCACCAGGATATTGGACTGCCCAGGGCATTCTCTTTCTGTTATCAGCAAGAGATTGAGTCCACCAAACAGACCTTAGGTAGCAGAAACAAAGCTTTGCCCGAGCAGGTTTGGATTAAAGTGGGAGGTAAGTGATGAAGGCAGCAGCACTGGGCACACCTCTCACTGCCTTGCCGCAGGCAATTTGGTCCTTTTGAAGAGAAGTGGGAGGTGGTTTGTACACATATGAGATTCCACCCCTCCCCTCGTTATTTAAACATTCTTCTGAGTTTCAGACTTCATAATTCAGCTTAGTATGGCAGCATTGAGTTTGAGGGCTTTTTTTTTTTTTTAACAGCAAAATGACAGACATCTATCTATTTTCAGTGATCTTAGTACTGAAATCACTTTATAACTTATTTTTGTTTCATACTCTGGTTGAAGCAGGAGTGTGAAATCTGCTGAAAGCTTTAGGGGAGGTGCAGAGTAATGGAAGGTATTGCAGGTGGGCAGGGATTGGGGTGGAGCCAGAGGCCATGAGGTGATCAGAAAGTTTGGGAAGTAAAGAAGCTGCTGCAGACAAACTTTGCCAACCTTGAAAGTTAACTCTCACCCCTTCCTCTCTGAAAAAAGATTATTTTTCAAGTGACACAGTAACACTGCTACACTAAGCTTTTCAGAGCTGATGAGACAGGATGGGGATAGAGCGCTGCTGTCTCCAGTCAGCCTTTTTCCTTGTTAGGACATTTTATGTAAAAGTACCTGCTAATATTTGTGAGGGATAAAGATGAGCATTGTGCTATGTATTCAGGTTAAGGAGTAAAATACCAGAATTTTTGAATTCCTCTCCATGACGCCTTTAAAATGCTACCGCCATTCTGGAACTGGTGTTAAGGATCCCTGGCTTTGTGTGGCACATGGGAATTGTGCAGGACCACACCTGCTGTGTACAGTTCTTTGATGGGAATTTGACTAATATTTCTGTAGCGTGTGTGCACATATAGTAGAAAAGCTGTGATACTCTTACTGCTCTTTTTGTGGAGAGAATCACTTTGAGGTGCAGACATACTTAATCTAAAGCCATTTGGAGAAAATAATTCCATTTTGCATTTCAGAAAAAGAACATTTTCTTGATTTCTGTATTCATGGATAATAACACTTGTTGACTAGAGATGGTGCATTTGAGGAAGTTTTATCAGTTGCATGCCATTGGGAGGAGTATTTTAATTTGATCATAGATTCATGCTCAGTTTTACAGCGTGAAGCAGGCTTGGAACTCAGTGCCATCTGTGCCTAGAGTGCCTGCCATCACAGCTCCCTGCGGTCCATTTCTCTCCTGCATACCCAGTAATGTTTGTATCTTAGATTGAAAATGCAAAAAACTATATTCACCATTAACGGGGATAAGTTAATAAAATAAAAAAGTAAATTACCAATTTTTCCTTCTTTTGCAAAGAAGAAGCGCTATGTAAACAAGCAATAAATAAGAGGAATCGGAGTAGAATCCGTCAGTTGGACACAAGTGTGGAACGAAGAGCCCTTGGAGAGATTCAGAATGTGGGCGAAGGCTCCACAGCCACGCAGGGCACCTGGCAGTCCTCGGAGTCCTCACAGTCAAACTTGGGGGAGCAGACACAGAGCGGGTCCCAGGGAGGAAGGTCTCAGCGGAGGGAGAGGCATAACCGAATGGAAAGGGATAGAAGGTAATGCATGTGACTTACTGGCAGGTTGACTCGTACAGTTACTTTAGATGACAGGTTAATTGTGATATGCGGCACTTAGCCACATTATCTAGAAAGAGGTGGCAAGAGTAGCATTCACTTTGTTTTGCTGGGTGGGTCAGCAGTTCCGTGATCACTGAAAGGCTATAAGGCAAAATCACCAGAGGCCCCTGGGAAGAAGTGTGGGAACACCAGGCACATGCCTCAGAGGGTCCCTCCCAGCGGGAGCATAGGCTGCCCTGAGCCCCCAGTGCTGTGCTCTGACGGCTTGTGAATGCTGCAGTGTAGGAGTGCTCCTGAAACTGGTGATTTTGGAAACACGTGAGCACTCCCTACCCCATGTGCAGTCATAGTCGGTGCTCCCGAAAGACAGCAGGTGCTCAGTGTTACCATGCCCTTGGTGACCACCAGTCACTAGTCTCAGAGGGCCAGCCTTGGCAGCAGGGCCTCAGGCCATCAAGTTACTCTGCACAGGGGGCAGTGTAGCTTTGCATTGTGTTTGGCTCTTTTTAAGAATGCTGGGGAGGGCTGGTGGCATGCTCAAGTGGTAGAGTGTCTGCCTTGCAAGTGAGAGGCCCTGAGTTTTAACTCCAATACAGCAAAAAAAAAAAGTTGGGGAAAGAGGAGGTTAAAACTGTCCTTTAAATGGTCTTATCTGCTGATTTTATTTGTGCTTGTCTGTGTAGAATCAAAGGTGACTAATTTTTCTGTTTTACTTGCTTTCTACACAGTGTTTCTCTAATAGTAATCAATTTTGTCAGTTTGTTTTCTACTCAGGGAATAAATAGTACTGAGTGAGACAAATACTCAGTTTTGAAGTTCCAATATTGACTGTTATGCCAAGAGACTTTCTTAAAGCTAGATAACTTTCTTTTCTTTCTGTTTTTGTTGTTTTTGGAGACAAGGTCTCCCTATATAGCCCAGGCTGGCCTGGGATTCTCAGTCCTCCTGCCTCAGCCTCCTGAGTGCTGGATTATAGGTGTGTGGTACCATACCTGGCAAGATAACCTTTCTCTCTCTCTTTTTTAAAGTATATGTATGTGTTGCTGAAGTGAGCACAAGATACCTTTCTTATAATATGTGTAGACTTCCCTGAACTCACTGTGAATCGTAAAGGGTGTCCTGCCTACTCTGACATTTCACTTAAAAGCATCTGTCAGATACCTACTCATGAATGGCCTCCCACTGCCCCTGACACCTTGAAAGTATGAATTCTCGCTCCACCTGCCTGGTTTGACTGACTCTTGTGTAGTTTGTCATCTGTAAAGCAGGACTGTTGTCTAATGCACAGATTTGAGGTCAGAACCAAGTGAGTGACTTGTAGAGGTTTTGGCCCTGAGCCTGGGACTCAGGAGCATGTAGTAAATGCCAGCTGGTGTTTCTTCTTTGCAAAGTCTCTGATCCCAGTTCTTGGAATACAGATATGCAGATGGCCATATTGTGTGTGCAAGAGCTCTGCGTCAGCACATTTAGGACTTTGCATAAAGGTTAAAAGCAGGGTCTAACAATTAGACTCAAGCTGTGATTTTAATTCTCTCTGGAGGATGTTTTAATGTGCTGGTGAGGAAAGCCCAGGGCTCATGCAACCCTCTACCACTGAGCTATAGCCCAGCCCTAATTCTCTAAGAAGGTGAGGTTCAGAATATAAGTAGAGTGGTGGTTGGGCCTTTTTTTTTTTTTTAGTACTGGGATTTGAACTCAGGGCCTACACCTTGAGCCACTCCACCAGCCCTTCTTTGTGACTGTTTTTTTCCGAGATAGGGTCTCTTGAACTGTTTGCCTGGGCTGACTTTGAATGTCAGTCCTCCTCATCTCTGCCTCCTAAGTAGTTAGGATTACAGGTGTGAGCCACTGGCACCCAGCTGGTTGGATCCTTTTTGAGTCTGCTGCCGGTACTGGGGGCAGCTCAGTGGTGGAGCACTTGCCTAGCATGTGCAAGGCCTTGGGTTCCATTCCAGCATCACATACACATTAAAAAAAGGAAGAGAGAATGATTTGCCCAGAAAAAGCGCATACAGAATTTTGATTCCAGTTTCAGGGGTTTGTAGCCATTCCTGGTCTAGAGACCACTGGCTCAACCAATGTTTCTGGGGTGGGGCACACTTCCCAAGCACTAGGGGTCAGCTCCATGAACGCTTGTTTTCTTTGAGTGAGAGTGAACTTCCCCTTGCTCTTTTCTTCACCAGCTGCCCTGTGTGATTACTCTGGGTTTTGACCGCAGGCGCAGAATTCGCATTTGCTGTGATGAGCTGAATCTTTTAGTTCCGTTCTGCAACGCGGAGACAGATAAGGCAACAACCCTTCAGTGGACCACGGCGTTCCTGAAGTATATTCAGGAAAGACATGGGGACTCTCTTAAAAAGGTTAGTGCTTAAGTAGGTCAGGTAGTCTTAGAATTGTATATGTTTTACTCATCAGTGCTCCCTTTTATTCTTTTTTCCCAAGTATAACTCAAACCACCCTTTATTTCTAACATCAAATACTAGGTCCAATATGAAGGAAGCTGTGCTCATTAATGATGTCACTGTCTTTTATTAAAGTCATAGTCACAGCCCAGACTTGCTTATGAAACTGCAGTACAAATGACTATCAAGTTTCAATTGTCAGATAACAAACTGAGCACCTGCTGTGTACAGTCTATTGTATTGGAATCTGAAGGATGTGTTGGACATGATTTTTGTGAATGAGATGAAAGCAAGAATAGGGAGAAAGATAAATAAGTAGTGTGGGCTTCAGGTGTGTTCAGAAGGCAAGCAGGTTACATTTCTGTGGGTTGCAGGGCCTTTGATGTCCCACACACTTCTGTTTCCTTCTGGCTGACCTGTTCTTGTCTGTCCAGATATGGGTCTTGATAACCAGATAGTCCACCTGGTTCTGCCAGAACCTGTGCCTGGTTTGAATGGGAATTTACTGGGCCCTGGGGTGCAAAGGAAGAAGGGTGGCAATTGCAGGTTGCTTCTGTGCTGTGCCTGGGGGACCTCAGGGCCACGTACTGGCCTCAGTTGTGGTGGTCTGTGACTCTTTGTTCCTCCAGGAGTGATTAGGCCCTAGTGAAGTAAGTAAGCCACCTACTGGGTCCTACTTTTATGTCTTGCCCAAGCTGTTGGGCAGTTGTGGCTGTAGAGCCCAGAGGAGTCTTCTGGAGAGTGGGCTCAGGTGGGTATAGCAAACTGGGACCTTTTGAAGGGTGCCTGTGAGACGCCCTCCCGAGGCCAGGTGCACTGTGCTGGGCTGCCTCCTCAGTGACCTTGCGGTCACAGTGTTTGTGTCCTTTCCCTTTATTTCTTGTGAGGGAAGATATAATTTCATGCCTTTGCTTTCGTTATACAGTTAACTGCATTTTAAAGCAGTGCTGTGTTGAATTTAATTGCATAATTTATGCTTATTATCATGTAGGGCTCTTGAACGTTCTTGTTAGTGATAGGCTTCTGTGTTTTAATAAAATAAAGCTTTGCTATTTGTTAAAAAGACAATGTTTGGTTTTGTATATACATTTGTAGTAAATTATTGATATAATTCAGTTAAATACAATGAAGGTGTTAATTTTGGAAATAAAATGTTTGTCAACTATATATTCAAAGATTAAATAGATTTAAAACTCATGGATATTACATTTCATATGTTTCTGATACTTCATGACATTGGACTTGTTTCTGGGTCAGGTTATCAGACCATCAAAAGAGGTGGAAGTAAAACTGTTAGAAATCTGGGGAACTGGAACGTCTCTGGTTTGAACACGTGTACCCGATTGTCTGCATAGTAATTTCCCCCTCTTATTTGGTGTGCACATTTTTTCTCCCTTTGTCTGCACTGGGCTTTGAATTCACAGCCTGTGCTTGCTAGGCCAGCCAATACTCTACCATTTTTGCTTCAGCTAATTTTGGATAGAGTCTCACATTCATGCCTGGGGCTGCACTGCGATCGTCCTGTTTATACTTCCTGTGTAGCTGGGAAGACAGGTGCACACTACCACACCTGGCTTATTTGTGGAGATGAGATCTCATTAACTTTTTTTGCTTGTTCTGGCCTCAAACCATTATACTCCTAATTTCTGCCTCCCATGTAGATGGGATTACAGGCTACCACATGTGGTCAGTTTTGTTCTCAGAGATGCAGTGACAGTTTTAAGCACCCTACTTGCTCAGAAGGGAACAGTCAACAAGTGGACAGTGAAACACACCATTTGTGTCCTACCCCAGGGTGGAAACACTGAAAAGGGCTTCTTTGGATTGGGTGGACACAGAAGGTGTTTGGGCTGAGCCCAAAGGCTGGAAGTCATCATTCCTGGCTTGGGTGGGAATGAGAGACTGGTAGGAGGTTGCAGCAGTAGCTCTGGGGAGAGACAGGCTCAGCCTAGGATGGCAGGGGGAAAAAGCATCAGGGCTTCAGCCAGGACTTGGCTTCAGCTAGGGGTACTCAGCATTCTGGGCTGGATATACTAGGTTTTCAGGGTCCACAGGACTTTGGGTGGAGGTTCCAGAAGAGTGCAGAGTGCAAATGAATGATTCACTTAGTGTCGTGTGTGTGAGTGCATGTGTGTGAGAGCGTGAGTGTGAGTGTGTGAGAGGTGTGCAAGCATTGTGAGTGCGTGTATGTGTGGTGTGTGAGTGTGTGTGGTGAATGTGTGAGTGTATGTGGTGTGAGTGTGTGTGTGAGTGACTGGGGATTGAACCCAGGCCTTGCACCCTACTAGCTAGGCAAGCCCTCCACCACTTGAGCCACACTAACTTTGCTCAAACTGACCTCAAACTTGAGATCCTCCTGCCTCTGCCTTCTGAGTAGCTGGGATTATAGATGTGTGCCTCCACACCCAGCTTCACTTGGTGTTCTGATGAGCATATGTGGTACAGGGAATTCTTGAATGCCCAAATGTCTCTGCAGTTAGTACATATTTATTGCAAACACACATTTCAGAGACAATTACAAACATGAACTTTTATCTCAAAATGTTTCTGCATGTACCTCCAAGAGACAGACTTCACCTGTGTGACCCCGGTGCCATCAGCAGCCCCACAAAGCTGGTGGCAGCAGTCTTACTGGCTCTAATTCCTAGTTCCTATTCACATTTTCCCAAAATGGTCTTAAATAACCTTTGTAGCTGTTTTTACTCCTTGATTCGGCATCTAGTCATGTATTGCACACTGCATTTGATCCAGGTGTTCATTCCTTAAGCCACAGCTATCCATCCCACTGACCGAGTGCATCGTGGCCTTGAGGTTTTGAAGCAATTAGGACAGTTGTCTATAGCTCGCTCCAGCTTCTAGACCTGGATTCCTTGTGAAAATTTTTAATTTATGGTGTAATTTCAGACTTAGACATCATGTGACTAGTACAAACAGCTCCAGGTGTACCCTCCCAGTTTGCTCAGAGTCTCTAGCTACTCTGTGTCGTGCATTTTTCTGTCTTTCCAGGCTTCCTGAAGGATTTTGTAGTGGTTCACAGATACCATGCTTATCATACCTAAATACTTCATTCAGTGTGTGCCTTTTGAAATAAGTACATTATCTTAAATAACCAGAACACAGTGGTCAAGGGCAGGACTGTAACACTGCTGTAATGTGGTTACCTGATCGGTGATGAACATTCAGAGTTTATTTCTTGTCCCAGTAATAGCTGTCTTCATGGCCTTTTTCCCAGTCAGGATCCAGTCCAGGAGCAGTAGTGACACTGAATTGTGGTGAAGGGCTGTTGTGGGTTTGTGACAGTGAACATCATTGAGGTTGCTGGGCCATCCTCTGCCTCCCTTTTCTCTGCAGCCTTCTCTCGCCCTCATTCCCCTGCACCAACCTGGGAACTCTGCTTTCCGCCCCCACCATCCCTGTGGCCACCTGCTTTCGACCCTCGTGGCAGGTCCTCCTGCTCTGCCCTTGCCTGCTTACTTCCAGCCCCTGTCCTGAGCCAGGAACTGCCCATTCCTTCTCTGTACTTTTCCTGCAAGCATGCTGCTATCCTTCTTGCTGTTCTGTGGGAACCCTGTGGGTCCCTTATAGGCACCCATCTAATTCTTTGCCCACCTTAGCTGCCAGCTCAAAAAGGCTGTCTGTACCCCTCTCTCTCCCTCATCTCAGATCTGCTTCCAGCAGCCTTTGGCTGCTGCCCCCTTCAGTGCCCCCACAAACACACTGTTCAACCAGAGGTGGGTCCAGGATACCCCCTTTGCTTTCTGCAAAGCACCCCTGGGTGTCTGCTCCCTCTCTCTGCCTGCCTTTTCTTCTTCCCACCTTTTCAGTAATGAGGTGCCCCTGGCTCCGTCCGTGGTCCTGGGGCTGAGTGGCCAAGGGAGCTGGAGTCTCCCCATCCATGTGCAGCATGCATCGGCTCCCTCACTGCACACAACGTGCCTCCCAGGTCCAGAGCCCTCCTCCCTCCAGTCAGGACCCCAGCCTTTCACTCCCAGGGTAGGAAGGATGGGTTGCTGGCTTGGGGGATGGACATGGGATGGGGAGACCATCCTTACAGAGACCTGTACCCACTCCTGTTGAATACCATCTTCCCCTGCAGACTCCTAGGGCTCTCATCCAAGCCTGTGTGGGTTTGCATCTGCCACTGACAGCAGGCTGCCATTGACCTCACTGCTGGCCAGCACTGTCAGCTGAGTTCATTGGCACTTTGCGTCCTCCAAGGTGTCATCTGCCTCCATGGACAAACCTTCACATATAATATGGACGATGGAGTATCTAGCTCATTTAATTGCATTCTTTATGATCTTGCACAAGAAAAGCTCCTTCTGCAAGAGACCCAACTAGGTAAGTATTACTCATCCAGCAGATGGGGTTTAAGACACGATGGGGCCGTGGAGCACTGTGACATGCACCTGTGCATTGGGCAGCTGGATGCGCTGCACTTGTGGTGCCTACGTTGCTGCTGCTCCTGCTGTTGCCACTGCTGCTGCTGATGTGGAGCCCGTGTGGCAAATCAGAATTGCAGCTCCCCCCAAGTGGAGGAGCAGGCCTGCACTGGCACTGCATCTGCGCTGCTCGGGGTGCAGTGGCCAGCAGCGTGCTTCAGCTACTGATTCCGGGCCTTCCTGTGGCTGTTGGCGCCAGCGTTCAGGGGTTGGGGGCCATTTGGTTTAATAACTACAGGTTTTGAAATGTCTTTGTAGAAGTAGGTTGGACATAGATGCAGGAGTGTGGAAGCCAGGAGGTGGCTCCCGTGGAAGCTGCTGGAATGCTTGCTTCACATGGGTTTATTCACTTTGCAGCATGCTCTGCAGGAGTGCCCCTCAGCTACCCAGCAAGCCCCTGTAGCTTGTGTGTGGCAGAACGGGCCGAAGCTGTGCTGTGTGACCTGTTCTAAAAATAAAGTACCTTGGAAAAACTGTGACTGTGCTGTGCTGTCTTTGTCCTGAGTCTGAGTCTGT